GGTGCTCGCGGGGAGACAAACGACGAGAGGACTCTAGATGACAAAAGAGAAGCGCAAGGCCAAACCTCTCGGAGAAATTCGCCCCTCGACGTGGTGGACGGTCGATATTCTATTCATCGTCTTCGGCGCGGCTCATCAATTTTAGGACGAAATTCGATCGCACCAAGGATCAATTTTTCCTCGACGTTGGTACTCAATCGAGTTCGAGCTCCTTGAGCGGCCTATATTCTCTCTCTGAGACCTTGCTCTCGGTGCGGATTACGTCCGCGTTCGCGTGCGGAATTTACGTGGACTTCACCAGTTCCAAGATTATTCGAGCGAGAGTCGACGTAGGCAATCCGAAAAATGTGATCGGAGGGTCGAAACCGGAGGGCCGCTCGATCTTTCCCGAGACCTCGATGATTGGTCGATGGGATCAGTGGAAAAATCGAAGGACCCAGTGAGGAACTGCATCGCAGCCACGCTGTGTCTATTCGAGCGCAGCGGTGGACCATGTCGTGTATGACGGGACCAGAATGAGCATCGTCTGTATGGCGGTCGTCCTTCGCGGAACACAGGCTTGCTGGTGACCTCCGCGGAAAATTCGGCGGCGACTCACTTTGAAGCGCCGGGGCTCGCGAGAACACACCTTGCCGGGATGAGCTTCGCCGCGGGACCGAGGCATTCCTCTATAAAGCTCGCTCTCGACATTCTTTATGGTTCTATTAAGGTTGACTCATGCTGCTGCATTCTGCCCAGTTTCAAAGTTATTGACTCCGGTGCCCTTCCGATTCGACCCAGTAATTCGAATCGTACTCTAAAGCTCTCCGGATGGTGGATCAAATCGTTCCTCTGTAACGCGAAAAGTCTCGGGACACGCTTCGGAAACTCGGGACGGAACCCTCAGTCTGTTGAGACGGAAGGAAATTTTTTTCGGAGGACCAGAATCCCCTGCAGGGGTAAATTTTATTCCTAAAAAAATCATCTTCTTCGATTAATGCCACTCGCGACGATATCGGGACATCTGCCCGCGGAGCGGGATCGAATTCCTGAGCCTGTCAGCCTTCGCCTCGCGTTCCTTCGCGGAGATTCGATCAGGTGCGTCTTTCTTTGAAGGAGCCGACTTCCGCAAATCGAGGCGCGAACTGCACCTTCATCTCTTTCGCACCTGTGGGAAGCAAAGTAGCTAGATGGACGACGCTCGAATTAACCCCAAATGCTCCTATGCTGAGAAATGATCGGTCGAAACGAGTGATGAATGGCCGACCCAAAGACAAATCTCGGAACATATATCCTTCAGAAGAATAGAGAGTCAGCTCTTGCTTCTCGTATCCGATGATGACGGCGTTCCCCGGGATCGATGAAGAGAGTTGAACAAAGCGAATTATTCATCGGAGAAATCGATCTGAATCTTCCTCGCAGTTTGGTGATCGCGGTGAGGGTAAGCGTTTTCCAGTGACTTTTCGTCCGAATTGCGGCAGGCTCGGGACTGTCGTGTGCGGCTCGACCGCTTGTCGTTTGCAGCCACAATCTGCAAAGCTGTCTGAATCTTGCAGCTCGTTTTTGTCAAGACTTCGCGGAACCCCTCTCGGATGTTCTGCCTGCGTCAGCGATTCTCGGCACGGGTAGCACGACGGGTTTGAGTCGCCGAACGAATCCGTTTGGCCTTTGGTATCGCTAATTCTAAGTGTTCGGTGTCGTGACAGAACAAGTCCCCAAGCAATATCGCGGACGTATAAGAGATTCCAGATCGAAGGTTTAAAAAAAGGTATCCTCTGGTTCCCGAAGAATGAACGGCAGGACATCTAGAAGAGCTGTAAGGGATCCGCGGAGGGCATCGCGTTGTCAAGCGAACTGAGCTTATGGGAGGTCTTCTGAAGAGAGGTCCCGGAACCGGAAAACTCCGCCGGAAAATCTACGCGGCTCACTCAGATCAGAGATGCTCCCATTCATCGAGGGAAGTCTCGAACGGAGTAAGAAAGCAGCGCGAGAAATCTGCGAAGATGAGCTTGCACAAATTGCGCGACCGACAGTGCGCCGCCGTGGGACGCTACGCATCTTGATGCGGGCATCATATTCGCCAGGAATCTGTCACTTTCGACATCGATCCGCATCCTGTCAAAGCATAGACGGAGTTCCAATCTCCTTCCGGGGGCCTCTGCCATGCTTACCGGAAGTTAGACGCAATTCGGCAGCCGGAGTGGGAGGCTGACGCGAATCGCAAAGGAGTTTGAGTTTTGAATTTCCGACAAATAGGATTTCCTCTCTCGAACCAAGCGAGTCTGGCGCACAAGGACGGGATTTCCTGCGAGATGGCCTCTCCGAAGTACTTTTGAAAATAGTCGTGATAAGAGATAGAGGAACCGCAGCACCTCTTCTCTGAGAATTGGGATTTTATTCGGTGACGTTCTTGTTGCTTTCACCAGTGTCGGGGTGCTCACTGAGTTCATGACTGGATTCGACTCCGACTGTGGAAGTACTGCCAAGCTATTTCCAAGTCACCACCGAGAGACAGCCGTTGACAGTCGCTACGAGTGCGATATACGACTCGTCTCCTGGGACCAGACCCAGCTCGATCTGCTCTCGGCCTGCCACGTCTCTCTCAATTCCCCCCATGCAGACCCAGGGACTTTGTCTATCTTCGGGAATCCGCTCATTATACGGGAAGCCACGGAAAATTCGCTCGGGAGGGAACCTTCCTCCCGCTGTTGGAACTTCGACCTGCAACACTTCGCCCGGAAATTGCCGCGACGATGGATTCTATTCCCTCAATTAGTCGGCTTTCTTCCGCGGCGAGAACAAAGAGGGAGGAAACTCGTAATGAGACATCGGATAAGTCTTACCCCCCCCCGCAGCAGGTTGATTACGTGTTTCCCAGGGAGAAGAATTCTGATCTGAGATATCGAGAGCTGAACTTGAGGTCGACTTGTGAATACAGAGTATATTCCACCGCTGGGGTTCTACTTACGGTAGTCCAGGACTAATCGAATGTGCCAAATTTCATCTAATTGTAAGCTAAGAATTTGCTCGTACCGGTCACCTCTTTCGCGGAAGGCTGCAGCTGAACCCATTTGATACGGGTACTTATTGCGGGTCCAGAAGCATTTTGATCTTCTGAGTTGAGAAACGAGAGACCGATTCGAGGAGAAAATATGTTAATGCGAGAAGAGACCGCCGTAGTTTACTGGGTCTTCTGAATTTTCAAAGATAAGGACGGAGGAGGAGAATATCGATTCATTGTGCTCCGACACGGGGGAAGTCGATTCCGATGGACCCCATATTCCGAAGTTATTCCGACGTAGAGAAATACAGCCATGGCAAGGATATTCCCTGGGATGAAGGGAGTCTCCCCACCTCTTCCGGAGCATATAATCAATGATCAGGATGCCTGCTAAATTCAATTTGGAAGCCAGTAACAGTGAACCTGTAAAGTCTCCGTTGGGCGTTTTTCTCCGAGGAACTCCCAGTCGTCTTCCAAGATCGTTTGAAGATGATCCCCGAATGAGCTTCCAGGTGCCTATCTCATCTCATACAATATAGCCCCGGGAACCATCTCTCGAAGTCTCGAATATGGCTCGATATCTGACCTTATTCCGAAGAGCTCGTTTAAGAGTCTGCGAGTATTTCGCCGACCGAAGTGACTGAGCTGGAGGGATGAGCTCAGGGGACGAGGCGCTCAAATCGTCGTCCATCTCCCTGATTCCGGAGATAATCCAGCCTCATTTAAGGCAGAGATCATCATTCGAATCATTTGTACTCGAAAAGTGGGCAAAGAGCCGTCCCGTATCCCCCTGATCGGCCGTAGTAACTCTCTGAGCTCGGGAATCGGTTCGGCACTGCGCGACCTTGATCACTCCAGCCGCGGCAAGATCTCAGAAAAAACACTAGATGGCCCGACACTGACGCCACTAATGGGATATATATTTTTTTGACACCAGCCAAAGAGCCTCTACCCCTAGCCCGCCCCGTTCCCCCAATTTACAAGGGAATTCCTGCTTTGCAGTGCTTTGAGGCCCACCGCTTTCAGCCAGTCGAAGACTCTCGAGACTTCCGAGACCACATATCCCCCGATTTTGTGTGACTCCTCCCGGCTCGGAGACTTCGCTTTCTGAGCTCTTCCCATTACCGACTCGTCCGTGGAATCTGACCAATCCGGGTTTGGCTTGAGCGAAAACTCTCTCGGATTCGACTCCGGTCTTGAAATGGTGACAGCGACGATGATCTCCTCGGCGATCGGCAGCCGAGCTCGATGATGTGGACGGCGAATCTCCTGTGCTCGGTCGCTGTTGTGATTTTCGAATCGTCACCGCGTGTGTCAGAAATGAATTTCATAACCATCGACTGTATCCACATCCGAGCTGCAGATCCTCCTTCTCATCGAAAAATATTCTGCCGAGACAGAAATTTCCACAAAATCAGAAAGCTGACCGCTGTCTCGGAGTCATCACAGCACCGGGACTTTCAGACAGAAGCTCCCACAGAAGGTTCCAGCGCCAGTCAACGACTTCCCTCGTGCGGAGGATTTTACAGCAGTTGCTAGACGAATTCCCCGTTCACCGTCCACTCCCGCTGAATGGCTCATCGGTGAGAGCGGGACCATTGAGTTGATAAATTGTTGGGAGAGTCCGGAGTGTCCTCTTCTCTCCTAATGCACCGCGTTGACACAATCTCGCTCATTCTCCCCTCCTCGAAAAGACGGAACGGAACTCCGTGCTTCCTGTTTCTCTAGGAATATGTCTACGGTCGCGGGTATTTCCTGTGCCGCGAACGAGATTGTTCGGTCCAGAATCGTTTCCCTCACCAAACTTCAGCTCTTTCCCGCGTGACAGAAACAAGTCCGCGTACCCGAAACAACCAGTGTCGAACATCAACACGAGTATGACCACCATCGCCACCATTGCCCTCATCATCATCAGCGGCGACTGCAGCATCAGCTTCGGAATCGACTGAAGTCGTCGGCCGCCGCCACGACCGAAGCCAGAAAATTTTTCCAGATTGACAAAGCGGCAATCGAAACGGCGATGCGGTTGTGGTGTTTGACAACAGTCTTTGGTGCTACTGCGCTTATTTCTGCTTCGGGCCAAAATCAGCGGGACTCATTAGTGGAACAAGTGCGTCAAGTGGACCCGGCCATATACAAATGGTATCGAGATACCTATTGGGATACCTGCGGCGAGATCGAACAGCGGTCGTCTCCGCCTCCCGATGACGTGAATCGAAATACGAATCGGAACGATCAAACGACTCGCGCTCCATCTTCGACTCGAGCTCCGTCTCGACCGCCGACGGTAGCCCCCAGACCAACTCCGGACCGAGGACAGCAGGGCAACGACAGCAACAACGGATACCGCGACCCCAGTTATCCGCCCAACTACGACCCGAATAACCCGAAAAACTTGAACACGAGGACTCTCCCCATAAGTTTCCCATCCGAAGCCGACGAAGCCCGGAACATCGCGCACCAGGACCGCATCAATAAGGAGGTTCTAGCCCAGCGAGAATATATCGGACCAAACGGGGGTGCTGCCCCGATTAGCAACCCGGGTTACCAAGCCGGATCACAGGGAACAGGACGCTTCCGCTTCGGTAACGGACAAAACAACGGGTATGGAGGCGTTAATAACGGGGGAGCCGGATACAACAACAACAACGGCTACAACGACAACAGCAACGACGGCTACAACAGAAACAGCAATGGCTACAACAACAATGGCTATAACAACAACGGCGTCAACAACAGACCAAACGGTGGTAAATACGGCTCTCGAGCTCAGAGTCCTCAAATAGTTCGACTGGCCAACGGAGACACTTTGATCATCCTCAGAACGAAACGTGAAACCGTCACGGACACGAAAATGTACTTCCCAACCGTGGTAGGGGGTCGAGAAGCCTCTCGAACCTATCCTTGGATGGTGCCCATAGTTGCGAAGGGTTCCGAGGAGAGCTACGTTATCTGGTGTGGCAGCACCCTAATAAGCGATCGGCATCTGCTGTCAGCAGGTCACTGCTTTGATATTCGTCAAGATCCGGCAACGTTCAGCGCTCTCATCCGAGCGCACAACATTTCGCAGCCGCAGGAAGTTGTCGACCTGAAGAGTATCGTCATTCATCCGGACTACCAGCCAGGAAAATTCTACAACGACATCGCCATCGTGACGCTTGCGAAACCTGTGAAGAATTTCAAGCCGGCATGCCTTCCGATTGAAGATCCGGTAGGTGTTGATGACGCGGGGAAGACCGTCGAGGTTCTCGGATACGGTTCGTTGGCGTTCGGGGAACGAGCGAGTCAGACGCTACAGGTAGCGAAACTGGAAGTTTTCAAAAACGACGAGTGCCGAGCGAATTATTCTTCGAAGCAGGACACGGCGCTGAATCAGGGAATAATCAAAACCCAACTCTGTGCCGGGGCCAGAGACGGATCTAGTGACGCGTGCCAGAACGATTCCGGAGGTCCTCTGGTGAACGATGACTATCTGGGTCGACGCATGGTGGTCGGTGTCGTGTCGTTCGGTTTCCAGTGCGCTCGGGAAGGATATCCGGGAGTGTATTCAAGGGTGAAAGAATTCCTGCCCTGGATTATGCCGATCATTCGAAAAGTTTGAGAGCCACTTTCTTTCGATGAGTTTCTCTATTGGAGTCGAACCATAGAAATGGAAGAGTCCGCGGGAGAGGGACGGAAACGATCAGGAAAGAGCGCTCGCGCTCGGGGAGGACCCGCTGCAGAGTGAATCAAGGAGAGAAACTCCAACTAAAGGTCACGAGATCTGAACGTGGATATCTATTTAGAGATAATAAACAACCCATTCATTATTATCATTCCCATCATCATCATCATTCAGAATATTCCGATACTTTATTCAATTCACGGATTATCGCATGGGTCATCAGAGGGGTCGGAAACCCTCCGTCATGAAGACCAAACCGCATCCGGAGGAGGGTGCTCGGGGGAAAGCGCAGCACGTCTTGAGAATCATAGCCGCGTATCCCCGAGCTCCCGAATACGAGGGAGTATCGAGAAATATCTTGTCAACCCGTCACGCGATTCGTTCCTATTGTGAGTCGGGTCGAAAAGCGTCGAACTCGGAGGAAATACGATGGGAGAGACGCTTCCACGCGGCGTCTCTGAGAGGGCATGTTCTCGTTGGAAACAGCGACCGAGAGAATCGCTGGAAGCGTTGTATTCAACATTTCTGAAGGATTCTTGTTTCCTCGAGTGTTTCCATCGGTCTTCGGCGAATTCGTAAAACCGGCTGCGATAATTGCGTCATCGTCCCCAACAATGGCGATTTCAGAGCTCCGGAGACGTCACCGGCGGCGGACCATGTAACATTGAAGTCTCTCGCGCAAGCCCCGCCGCGGTGAATCAGCATTGATTTGAAACGAAATTCCGGGAGAACACTGTTTTGCTGCACGGCGCGCGCCGCGTTTTTCGTGGTTGCTCCCGCATCGCAGAAACGGCTAACTCCGTGCGAAAGTCTCCTTGCAATGAGAAGACGCATTTCATCGCGGTGACGTAGGTGATCGGGTATGGACTCCCTGTATAGGGAAAACCGTCGTTGATTGGAATGGTCGGAACAGCGGGAGGATTGAAGGTGAGGGGGGAATGGAGAGTCGCCTCACACTGAGGAATATAATTGATCCTGCTCGAAATTTCGTCGACCTCTCGCCTATTCCCTCACCATAGTGTGGGTGTCTCAATGTTCCCTCATTGAATTGATGCACAGAAGCACAGTCTAATATCTTGGAATTGTTTACCCGACGTTGTTCTCCGTGGAGAAAGCCTTACCAGCAGTGCCCGGCCGCGGGAATTTCTGCGGTTTCTACCGAAAACTGTCGAAAGACATCATGCTGTGCCGTACGTTCGCGCTTCTCAATTTGCTCGTGTGCGCGTCGGCGTTGCCCGGAGGGATAAATGCGAAAGAAACTTCAGGAGACGCCTCCAGCCTCGAGCCCGGACTATACCAGTGGTACATCGACAGCTTCTGGAGCACGTGCGGCCGGACAGAAGATAGAGTTCGCCCTACGGAAGACCACAGAGATCTTTTGGGCAGTTTGGACGAACGCACACCTCCGTCGAGTGGAGTGGACGACACTGTGAAAACAACCGAAAAGCCGCCTGCACTGGCTCCTGAAATAACAACGCTGTCTACTAGCCCTACGGAAAGAACAACATCCCGGGCGTTCACAACGAGTGAAGCCGCTCCAAAAGCCGATGGACTTTTTCCGTTTTCGGGGGACCGCGAGATAAAGGCATCGGATGGGTTCATCGGCAAGCCCAATAATAACGGACAGACTTCGACTGCTGGGGGGACCCAGTCGCTATTCATAAGCTTCCCTTCCGTAGCTCAGGAAGCGCGGGATATCGCTGAACAAGACCGTAAAAAGCAGGAATTCCTTTCCTTACGGGAGAGACAAAGGTCCCCGTATAATGCTGAGCCAGGTGAAGAGTTTTCGTGGGTCCCTGGCTACATGCGCGGATCCGATGAGGAACGCGGAGCGGTGACTCACGGACCCTCTCGAATGCGATCAATGGACGCGATGGGCTACCACTCGAACGTGGGGGAGGGTTCCCCTGTCAGCAGGAAGGAGCGAGACGCTCGTACACAGGTCGCTGGAGGACACGAAGCTACGAAAATATACCCCTGGATGACTCCGCTCATCGCGAAGGGCATAAATAACAGCTCAGTAATTTGGTGCGGGAGCTCCCTCATAACCAGCAGACACCTCTTGACCGCTGCCCACTGCTTCAACGTCAGGAAAGATCCGACGCTTTTCAGCGCCCTGATCAGAGTTCACACTCTCAGTGAGCCTGGAGAAACCATCGATCTGGAAACAATCACCATCCATCCTGATTACGAGAAGCACCTCTTGTATAACGACATCGCAATCGTCACGTTGGCGAGAAACGTCGAAAACTTCAAACCGGTCTGTCTCCCAGTCGGAGAAGGCTCCGCAAGCCTCGGGGAAACTGGAGCGCCGGTCGAAGTCTTGGGCTTCGGTTCTCTGGCCTACGGTGAAGGATCGAGCAAGACCCTGCAGGTGGCGGAGCTGGAAGTTTCAGCGAATGAGGACTGTCACTCCAACTATTCCACGAAGCCGGACGATGCGCTCATCAGAGGAATTATCGGTAGTCAGCTCTGTGCGGGAGCGGCGGAAGGATACGCAGACGCCTGTCAGAACGATTCCGGGGGTCCACTGGTGAACGAAGACAGCAGCGAGCGTCGCATTGTTGTCGGTATTGTTTCATTCGGATTCCTATGCGCAGGAGAAGGCTTCCCCGGAGTTTATACCCGAGTGTCAACGTTTTTGCCGTGGATCTTATCCACAATTCGTGGGTAGACGAGGTTGGCCGTGGTGAACGAGGAATGTGATTGGGAGCAACCCAGAGTGAGGAGCCGACGTTCGTGTTAACCTGAAGCCCTCTGACATTTCGATGTGTTTGATCGATGCATGACATCAATGCGTGCCATCGGGAAGTCTGTCCGCCCGCCGAGCAGAAGTTAAGAGCGGTTCGTGTCCTGTGAATGAAATACTCAATAATGAATTGATAAAGCACAAGACTCCCACGCCTGAATTCCGACTCACTGTAGTGAGCAGGGCTGAGGGGAAAAGGAAGTTTGATTGCTCCGTGGATGCTCCTTCTGGACGGGAGAACTACCGAGGTCCTTTTCGACTCCGAATAGATCCACCGTTGAGATCTGCGACTCGGAAGGAAACAACCACGATTACATGGATCCAGAGAGTGGAGCAGCAATGTCAGGTCTGGAGACAATCGGCGATACAGGGAGTTTCCGACGGGACTGACCCGAAACGAGCAAAGTCTCGGGGTCGGGGAGTAGTGGAATCATCCGGTACCAACGAGTAATCGTCTGGATCTTTCGTTGGGATTTTCCGCTGAGGTTTCTCGAGATGGAGCAGTTGGCCCCTCCTTCTCTCTCCCTGGGTGCTCGGAGAGAGATCCCATCAGAGAAAGAAAAATTTTGTGTCACATGTAAACGCTCCTGGTTACCGACTAACCAGTGCAGATTTTTATTTCGTAATTAAGCAGTGTGCTTGCCGCTCGATTTCCCTCCCTCGTTGGATCCCAATCGGAACTTCAACAAATTGATTTAGATTTGGTCTCTGATTCTGTAGTTCGTTTCAGATTCGACGGACATGAGCCGCGATCGGAGTCCGATCCGCTTCGTGGAGTTCTGAACTTGCATCATAGAAGATGTTCCCATCATAACAGTTGAACGATCTCGAGTCGCCAAGAGATTCGTATTTAGAAATAAGATGTCGGCTCATTCATTTTATATTAATCATCATTCCTCCTGGATGGTTTTTCTTTGACCGTGAGATCACTCCCAGGACCGCTCCGGGTGCGGTCACATCGACCCCTTCTCCGGGGAGGCTCCGAGAAGAAAACCTCAGACTACCATATCAACTCTGGAGTCTGAATCCGCTCGATCACAAAGTGCATTTATACATATGCATCACTCTCTTAGGCATTCAATGTTCTCATTTCTATGACAATCTTTTCCCTACCTAGGAGCCCGGTTCGAAGAGCCGAACTCAAACAACCTTGGTGCAAGAAAACAGTTCTGTCAAAAGTCGTGGAAAATAGTTGAAAGAACCCTACAACACCAAATTATACAAAATATACAAACGAGCCTCACAGTCGTCCGCTCGATCGATCATCTATCTAGATGATCACAATAATCCATGTAATGATATTATTACTCGAACGAATCTCCGCTCTGACGACAGACGCTTCGAGACGTCCCTCGAAATAATTGCCCCTTTTTGGATACCGCAAACTCTATAGACTCTCGAACACATGGATTTTCGTTCAGACGCAATACAATAAGATCGATTGTCACCGTTGATAGAGCAGCTGCTGGGAGTCGGAAACGACCCGCATCGCCGACTCAGCTGAGAGACATCGCCTTGACATTTATTCGAGTGTCGCTGATGTTCGTGTTGGTTTTGCCGTTCAAACGAGCTATCGGAATGTTATTCGGCTGGAGACCTCGGAAATGTTCTTGGAGAAACGCAACTGTTCGTCGTCTCGAGAACTCCATGGCCTCCTCGGACGGAGTGGTGAGCGAAACGCATCCCTGATGAGCGAATGAGTCGAGTTAGGAAATATTTCGAGGCTTTTTCACGAAGGCTTTGGGATCGGGACGGATATCACGGCGATTCTAGGGGCGGGGGAAGCCTCCGGTTGTAAATCGTCCCCGAAGTTCATTTTGGGAATCAGCTCCGACTTACGGAAGAGTCTCCACTGAGACGACCAGTGAAGGAAACACTCGAATCTCGGAGACCGCCTTTGTTGAGGATATTCTGACAAGCTTGAACTTTATTTCGAAGAATCGCTCGACGTTGGTATATTGAACTCAGTCGGACGGTTGCTTCGATTAGAGTAAGACATTTACGCTTGCCATAGATCATTTCGAGCTCTTCCACATCTTCTACCGCATCTCCGAATTCCTCCGCGTCTGCCTCGCCTGCAATTATGGCGAAAAAGGATTTGAGCAAAATTATTTGCTTCTGTCGACGCCGACAGCTTCGAGATGAAGAATCGGACCGAGTGCGCCGTCAGTTCCGCTTCACCGGGGGATTCGTATGCGACATACTAACCAGACGAAATTTTTTCTAGGATCATTTTCTGCTTTTTCAGAAGAATCTCCTCCTCTTGGAGTATTTTGAGGAGGTGTTCGTAAATGTCCTTCTTGAGTTCAGTGAGACTCCGGTCTTGCTTCTTTGGACTATTGCCTTGGGACAGTCGGTCGTACTCTCTGTGGAATAGGAAGCGAGACATGAGAATCTTGAAGTCTTGGATGCTGCTATCGGGAGTTTTCTTCCAAACACACTGGATTTCGACACGATAATCGCGCTGGGCTTCAACATATTTGGAGAAACTCACCTTCGTTTGAAGGTTCTGACTGCCATCATCCAGCGCAGTCTCTCTTGACTCACAAATACACTCAATTTCAAGAATCGGGCTTGATGCGACGCGGTCCAGCGCGCGAAGTCGACTCCGGCACCGTGGTCACGTTTCATTCGATCTCGCTGACCTATGCAGGAGAAAATCGTAGAATCGAGTGAGCTTGCAATTTTGGGAATAATTTCATTGGGACTAAACATCGTCGCGGCGAGGAGAGGTCAATCCTGGGCGAAAAAACTGTCGATTGAATAATGCAAATGTCGCCGAATTCCACGCCATGGGGGAAAAATTCGATGCTGTGCGAGCCGAGAATCGGGAGTCATCGGAGGAGACAAGAATGGACCGATGAGCGAGAAACGGCACGGATGGCACTCCGAACTTATGGTCATCGAATCTCCGACAATGAAGATGGGTCCGGAAACCCAGACAGACTTTCATCGCTCTGCGGAACGAGAAGACGAGGAGCGGAAACGTGGTCGGCTACTTTCATGGAAATTCCGTGGCCACCACGGATTAACTAGTGGATTGAAGGAGACGTCGCATCACACGCTTGTGTTTTAGTTCCGGAACGACGCCCCGCGTACGGGTTGAAATTCGCCGCATTCTGCTCGGTCGCTCGCTCGCCTGCCTGCCTGCCGGCTGACCGTTAAGCCGGATAATCAGCGACTTCAGCAGCGATGCTTGGTGCTACATTGCTGCTCCTTCGTTTAGATGCTTATTAGATTCCTGCGCACGCTTTTGGAACCGCTGTCAGAGCTGTGGTGCGTAGCGATGAGCTATCACAATCCGGTGCTCGTAGAGGTAAAATGGCTTTTCCAATAAATCTTCGAAACGATCCAATTCGAAACCGCAAGTGAAGGTCGTCGCGGAGAGCGCCGGGGAAATCGAGAATGACCAGAGTATAGGGAGAACGTAGAAACATTGGTGGCCCCTTAATGACAGAGCAGATTTTCGAACGACAATGATTTAGGCGTCTACGGAGAACAGCTCTACCCACCTAAGACTAGATCGAGACAGGCGGCGTGGTAGATGATGGTGAGTTCATCCACCGCTTGTTGAGCTTGCTCCGCTCGATCGGTCCAGTGAGAGGATCGTTGCTTTTCGCAAAGATCTCTCATCTCAGCGAACGTTGAAATGCGGAAGTTGAACAGTTCCCCCAAGGCTAGACTAATATTCGTAACAATCTGGAAGTAGATGGGATGAATTACCCGCGATGCCAAGGAAAAATCAACGTTCCAGTCCATACAAGAAAAAGCCGACGAAAGCCTGGATCGAAGCGCCTAGTCAACGGAGATGGCGAACCCGATGTCGAGCTGACTGAGTGAGATTTTTCTCAGAGCCATCCTCGCGGCAGGAGTCCATCTGTGATAAAGCTCAGAGTTCTTACCTCATCTTCCATGCTGTAGGCGGTATCGAGACCGAGACCCGCTTTCGAATCCAGCAGACGAGTGAGCTCATCGCGGCTTTTTGCCAAATCGACTTCGAGGATCTTCCGCTGGAATTTATCGACCTCCGGGTCGAATTCGGCATGCGAAACCTCTTCCGCCATGAAAAATACCCATGCCAGCAGAGTAGCGCCGCAACCTGATCGATAGGGAAGAGACACGGGCTTTTTAGAATCAAATTGTCATATAGCTTCTTTCGTCTTCGATCGTTTCCGAGCCGTGTGATCCACGTGACGTGATCCACCCACTTCCAGTAGCAGCAGAGAATTGCTTCCCAGAGAAGAGCGGCTTGAGACAAACAAGGTCAATACTCCGGGGAGACGCAAACTTTGAGGAAATTTTCTTTCGGCTGATTTTTCGGAAAAAAAAATTGTCAGGAACGGCTCAGTTATTCATATCGGAGCGCCGTCGATAATTCGATCTGGCGATCCATTCTGTTTTCCGGAGTGTTTTTCGAGAGGAGTTCTAAATATACGAGTATATCTGTGTATGAGACATCGCAGCGGGACCATTCGGAGCCTCGACGGCCGCATGACAACGCGAGCTCTATCATGGTGCGTCGTCGCCTAGGACAGGGAGACGCAACAGGAGCTCATTCAACAGCTGTCAACGGAGGATTCGCAATGTCATTCTACTTGACTAGCCATCAACTATCGCTCGCAGAAACGGGGACTCACCGTCCAGAACTCCTTTGAGGTAACGCTTGAGGTTGGCGCAGACAGACGTCGCTTCGGAGCACGTTCGAGGAGCGAGTTTGGTGGGGAAGACTTCGTCGATCGCCGGATAGACCTGACGAAGTTCACCGTGTGCTTTGTGAATTTCGGTGGCAGTGAGATGTGCTATATGCTTCCTCCGAGCGTGCAGGGCCAAAGCGAAACGCTTGCTCTGCGGCTCCCATTCGACAAATATTTGGTGGTCGACAGGGATTGCGGGGAGCCGTCGCGCCGGCGACGGTGTCGGCAGCAGGGGTGACACCCTGGGCTCCACCATTGTTGACATACTACCTGTCGAAAGGAATCAAGTCAATTAGCACGGAAGCGATTAGCACCTCCCGACAACTTCCGCAGATCTGCGAAGTGACTCTGACGTTGTCTCGAGGGGCAGACGCATCGTGAGTTCGCAGCCGGAAGTCGGGTTTTTCCGCGGGAAAGAAAAATAGTTCCCTGGTCTCCATCCTTCTCGGACGAATTCCGAAAGGGATTCCTTGGGTCGCGGCACGGCCCTTCGAACCCCGAGACCGAAGTTCCGTGCCTGAAGCCAGGATGAACTCTTGCGAGAGGCCGAGGGGAGTAGAGGCAGAGAGATTGACAAATGAGCTTCAGATTCTAATCCGAAAATTTCATTGAGCCGACGCATCCGACGCTCTGGGAGATCCTCTGATTCGGCTGAGGGCAGATACGGTGAGGGTTCTTCCTCCAGGACGTAATTACGGTACTCTGATGCATCGGATAAAAATGTCGTCAGAAAGAAATCGTATCTCCAAGAGAGAGTCCCTTCTCTCAAGCAAACACCAGCCAGTTGTGTTTCGTCAACGCACCCAACCAGGCCAACGACTGAACTGGCTTTGACAATCACATCAGCGATGACGGTGGCGGCGACGCCGCGACCGACAATAACGGCACGAATATAGCAAGCCTTAGAGCGATACAGCGATTTTCGGAATGCGAGACGCAAATCTAAATAGATACAGATCGTCCAACTCATGGATAAGCAGCTTCGGGACGGAACTGCTTCGTATGCTCAATCAGTTTCGATTCCGATGAAGCTTGAGAAAAAAATCCGCAGATTCCGGAGACAAGTCTAGATGGAGCAGCGCGAAATGACTTTCCTTCAGTTTCCCGTTTACTTTCCTTCCACAACAATTTTCATAGAACCTTATTCTCACGGGATAGAGACTGAGTCAGCTCTTGACGAGGACCTGCCCGGCTTGACATAAAGCGTCGTTCCCAGGACGGCTTTTTTAGGTTTGAGCATTTTCGGACTGGTAGAATTCAGGAAGGGCAGGGAGAAAGAAGAAAATGATGAAGAGAGCAGAATCATCGGTTTTGAACTGAGGCAAAGCTCCGGTAGTCGGAGGAAGGGGCGAGGAGACCACACCCAGTCAACAGGCCACGCGACGAGCGTCGCGATGTCTTCTAACGGGCTTCGATCTTGAACGATGCGGCGGAGTGTACGGAGTTTTGTTGAACGATTTTCATTGGATAAATATACGGATTGAGATGTTTCCCGAATATTCGGAAACATTGTCATCGATATTCGATCGGAGTGGTCGTGGCCTAGAGCGTGCTTATCTCCGAGGCTGCAGAGACCCGACCGACGATGACTGAGATCGATCTCCGATGTCTCATCAAAGCCTCGTGGAGCGAAGGAGTTTCCGAAACTCTATTTTGGACAATCTAACATTGTCCTTACGGAATCCCGGGATCTCACGTCAGCTCGTCCGAAGCCTCAGCCGAATCTCAGCCCGTATAGTATCGTATGGTTTATCGCGGATCGCTCGTTCTGTTTGACCATCGACATCGTGGGCAAAACGGGCAGCTTGAAAAGCGTCGCCGCCTTCCCGAACTTATCCCCGATTCTAAGCGTGGATTATTACTGTTTACGATCTGAAGTGGTTTCCAGCGAAGAGTTTACGTAAACTCTCGGAGATAAGCATTGACAGGACGATACGTGCAGTGATTATGCCTCGAATATGGTAGCCGTGGAAAGCTCTCGAGACATTCACACAGCATTCGAAGGTGATATATTGAGATATCGTCCTGATTTCCTGAGTTTCGCCACGCACCGAATTGCTCTGAAAATTCACCCGATCATCAAGAGCCATACGACATAACGACGACGGCTGGTCGGTCGGCTGAACAAAAGAAAACCGTTTTCCCAAGGATGATTCCGTCAAAATCGACCTCCGCGTTCCGCTTCCCCGTCAGACGCGGAATGCTTTTGAAGAACAAATTCGCCATAACTCGATATCTGCTAGCGGAACTGAATGAAACGGAAGTTCTTGTGACCTGAAGAGAATAAATTCCAGGAGGGTTCGAGTCCAGGGAATTTTCGACACGAAATTTCAGCTTTTGCCCCATTCCAAACATGTAATATCCTCTGTCGAGTGACTAAAACAAAACGAAAATCGATACAACGACCAACGTCGGATGTTTGACGGGAGCGAAAACTGGTTCGTCTGTAGACGTTGGGCAACAGATTGGGCAAAACCTGATTGAAACCCCGAAAGCGCGAGCGGGAACCAGAAATCGGAGAGATAGGCTGGTGACGATTAAACGACGACGAACTCTTCCGAGCGTCATCGGGAGACGGTGAAGGCGATGAGACCAACGGATGTTTCCTCGACGACGGCCTGACAAGCTATGATGAACTTCTTGAGAACTCGGAGCTCAATCGTCCATCCAGACATAAGCAGGAAGCTCATAAGGCTGCGAGAAAAGAGCCGAATACATCGATCGACCGTCAGACGCTCGAGCGCTCAGACGGTATTTGAAGAGGGCTCTCATTTTCGGTGGAATCCCGCGGTTAGGATCCAAGACGATTTTGTGCTAAAGCCGTCTATATATTCTAAACAGAGTGGTTTTCGTCGCAATCGCCTTCGTCGTATCCGCGGTTGGTTTTGCTGCTTGGCTGCCACTACCGCAGCTCCTGTTTTTGTTGATGCCAACTACACCGACCGAGTGGAAACTTCGCTCCAAAAAAAATAAGTTGCACCCGCACGCTAGTCAACGGAGGCGTCGCTTGAGACCTGACTGTCACGAGGGAGCTTCATCTGTCGTCAGATATCGTCACAAATTTCCGCATAACCTCCCGTTGAGCGAACCTCTGCGAGCATGTCCCAAAGTCGTATCCTTCGATCGAAATCTCACGCACATACGTACACTCGCTCGCAGAAGCACACGTCGACGCGCGGCGGTACACTCTGGAGAATCGGACGTGGGCGCCTTAGTGTGGGCGCCCAGCTTTCCGTGTGGCACGGTTGGATCAATTTCTTTTTCCACCAGTCTCATATCTCTGCCGCAAGCAAGAGCACTCACCGAGCTTTCGTCAGCACATTATTGACAGGAGACCGGGTTGACGCTCCACCCAAGACCAGTGATGTGGGGCCGTAACTCGGTGACCTCGAGCGTCCACCGGCTCTCCTCGAAATCGTCCAGTTCACGGAGGGAAGCGCACTCGCTCAGCTATCCATGGTTTCGCGGCTCAAGCAGCCGACTACGATGACCGACCACCACAAGCCATTATTTCCACGAAGTCAACAGCTGCTCTACACTCCGAAGTCCAGCGGTGAAAATGCCGATAGGGCGGGTCGGGTCACAAACAGATTCTCTTCTGGAAGCGCGGAGGAGCCCGACGAATTTCCCACGGCGATTCGTACAAGGCGAGTGGAGCTCACGCTTGCTCGTAACACTACGTTATAATCGCGACGTACGCCGGAATCTCGTCTACGGTTTCGACCAAAGCCACGATTTGACGGGGAGAGGGTACGGGCTATGAGGGGAGAGGGTACTCGTTTGAAACTTCCACGAAGATCACATGGCAGCAGCACCTGGGGAAGTTTCTCAATATTTTCCTCCGACTCGTCTAGTGGGATTCTGGATTCGAATTCGAAGCGTTCGAAGACTTGTGCTTTGACAACTGTCGCCGGCTATGAGTCCTCGTGATGACGTCGCCAATCACCGATCTCCTGGAAAGTCCAGAAATGACAAGAATATGCGCTCCCATGGTACGGTATTCGAAACAATCGTTCCGTGAGTTGGTGCGTCTCTACGATGTGGACATCGCGTATACCCCGATGGTCCTCGCGGAAAGTTTCACGAAGAGTGCCAAAGCCAGGTGAGGGCGCCATGATATAGAAGGATGAGCTGCTTAACCCCCGGCTCTTTCCCGCGTGCGGGGATCCTCGTCTATGATTGATCGATCGATCGATCGACGGACCATTCCAGAAAAAGTCCACTGTTCCCGAGTCCGAGCACATGTGATACCCTGACGATTCCAGATGTTTCAGCTCCCTGATTCTCTTAATTCCAGGAACGTGGAGTTCTCCACTTCATCGACGGACCGTCCCCTTATCGTTCAATTTGCCTCCCACGACCCAGAGGAATTCGCCCTGGCAGCAGAAATGGTCTCCCCGCTATCCGACGGTGTGGATCTCAATTGTGGATGTCCGCAACGTTGGGCGATCCAGGAACACTACGGTGAGCCTCATCGGGATGCTCATTCGCCGGCAAATTCTTCGAGGGCTATCTGACGCCATCTTCACGACAACATCTTCCGAAGAAAATCCTTTCCAGGATGTTGGATGCTCAGTCAGCCAGAGTTGGTGGCTGATATGATTCGAACGATGAGGAGAAGACTTCCGAACGCCTACACGGTCTCGGTGAAGATAAGAATCAAGGACGATCTGAAGGATAGCGTGGAATTCGTAAGACGCATGGAGGCAGCTGGTGCGAGTTTCATCACGATCCATGGAAGAACTCCGGCGCAAAGAGCAGAAGTTCCGAACTTTGAAGCGGTCAAGATTTTGCGTCAGGCTGTCAGGATTCCCGTTGTGCACAATGGTGAATCTTCCGCTGCTCCGAAAAGTTTCGAGTTTCGATTCTCGAATCCGTCGGATAGATGAATGTTGCGCAACCTTCGAGATTCTTATAATGCTAGAAGAGTGCCCTCCTAAGCGTGAGCTCATGTCCGATTTTTCATTGTGTTTGGCAGGTGGAGTTAGGAGCCTCGAGGAAGCCCGGAGAATCCATGAGGATACCGGTGTGGCCGGCATCATGGTGGCGCAAGGCCTCTTGAACAATCCAGCTCTGTTCGCAGGGTACGAACAGGGTCAGACTAGCGAAATTCGTGAAAAAAAAACCATTGGGTTTGTTTCATGACAAGATGTGTGGAATGAAATCGCTCCCTTTAATACTCGTTACATTACTCTCCTTACAGGCATACTCATACACCGGAAAGCTGTGTTCAGAAGTACCTCGATATTGCGACGGCGTACGGAACCCAGTTCGCGCACTTCCAGCACCACGTTACTTACATGGTCAAAGATCTCTTACCCAGAGCGGATAGGCATCAAATGAATCTCCTGTGCAGTTATGCGGCCATTTTGGATTTCTTGGAGGAGAGAAACATTCTGTGATATCGTGCTGTACAGTCCATAGAATATATTACAATCTTTCACTGTCCGGATGCTTTCCCGAATTCCGATCCCCTAACTCGAGCGCACAGATCACAAGGAACGGAAAAATCACTTATGATGCTTTTCTACGTCCAGGCTTGAATAGCACCGGCGAGGTTGTGAGATGAAGAAGCGAGATCGCCGTCGGTGAAGTGAAAGCTTTCTTCTGCGGTGAGAACATCAGTCGGCGCGTGAGCTGTTTGCGAGGACTCGTTCGTGGGGTTTTATTCGGCGTCTTCCGTGGTGTTCTCCTCGGGGTGACCTTCGACGGAGTGGCCTTCATCGGAGACTCGTCGACCTCCACGACCTGCTCATCCTCCTGAGAAACGTTCATGATCGACGACTGTCTCCTGAGTGTTTCCTGGGTCCGACGAACTCGATCCGGAGCCTGTTTTCCGACGGGGGTTTCCGGAACGACCTGGGTTTTGAGAATCCTCCGACCTCTCGGAGTGGTCGGCATCGATCGCGTGGAGGACGTCCGCTTCATCGGCGAATGCGCGGTCGAGCTCGGCTGCGTTTTCACATTCCGACGTTTCGGTATTTGAATTTGTCTCTGCGAAAGGTTCGCCGAAGACATTCGCCGTAGAGGATCTCCACCCTTCGCAATCGGTTTGCTCGGCAACGAATGCGGTACGGAGTTCGTCGCGGAGCCTAAAGACGAGATTCCTGACAGAGGCTCAGCAAAAGATCCAACGGAACTCGTCGCACCGACCTCGTCGTCTGATGATTGAGCGAAGAGGGGCAAGTCGAAGGTTTCGGCGATTTCTTGCAGAAGAGGTCTGACCGTCTCTACGTAGAGGTTTTTCAGAGTCTCTTGGATGAAGTCGAAGAGGGTACTGGGCGTCGTCAGAAACAGCAGTTTCCTCATTGCACTGAGAACCTCGGACTTCACCGTTTCTGCTTCCGTCGGACAGAGGGATACTACTTCAAAGCAAACCAAAATGAAAATTCGACACTCGTTCGCCCATTCGTTTTGAGGTCGTTCGGATTTCGACGGGAATTGGAAATGATCGCGGAGGAACGCTCTGATTTGCGGGACGTCACTCTTGAAGAAGTGGACTGTAGCCGAAACGATGCTCTGAGCACCAGCCACCGCGCTCAGGCGACCGGTCACGGCTCGGTCGTGCGTGAGACGCATCTGCTGCAACAGGGACTCCTCCGAGTTGAAGCTCCCCGCAGAAAGCTCTTCGGGTGGAGATCCCGGATTCCTCTGCTTCTGCTTAGGAACGTCTGGCTCGACGGAACTGATTGGTTTCCGTTGCTTGTGAGCGGCTTGAATCCTGGTCAGCAATTCCGGCGCAGCGTCCGCGGTCTCCTCTGACGGTTCGGCTAAACAAGCCCGTTCCAGGAAGAAGCTGTCGAACAGTTTTGGGGAGGGATCCGTTTCGGTGTTTCTGGAGAAGTCCCTGTCTACGACCTGAGCCAATGTCGCAGCCGACTCTGAGAGTGGTTTCAGCAGGAACAGGAAGTCATCGCATTTCAGGAAACAGACTGATCTCAGAGACCTGAGCTCCATCAGTAGGCGGTAGAAATGGGCATCGCGTGACGTCACCACGAAGAGGGCCAGGGCTTTTCCCAAGATTGACGCGATCGTAGGGTCTTCCATCAACCCGTCGAAGGCAAGCTCGCGTTCCGTGCAATCGAAAGAAATTTCCGTTTTGGTTTGATTGGGAAATATGTAAAGTTCGATCGGATTTAGCAGACTAGCCATGGTAAACTGGCAAATCGCGAGGGGTGCGGGCTTGGATTTTCGTAGGAGAAGGGGAACTATCCTCGACCGCGGTCCCAAGCTCGACGTGTATTGGAGCTGATCTGCCGGGAAAACACCGCACAGTTGAACTAGATCGCGAATCCGGAGAAAAGCGCATTTGCTCGACGGAGTAGGCGTCTGCTGCAACGTGTCGTGAACCCAGAAGAGCTCGATCCGGTTTTCCTGGAGACATTTCCCCAGGCTGGATGTCACGAGCTCGTCGCGGATTTTCGCGAGCGTACCAGGTGGCAAACGGGAGAATAGAAAGAGCATGTTACGGTTCTCGGGCTCGTCCACACGCTGAATGTTCTGACGACGTTTCCTCGAAGCCTTTACCGGCGACGTCACGGTGACCGAGTGCCATCCGAGATCCGTTATGGAGCGAGAAATCGCCCAGCGGAGCGTTTCGATTTGTGACACAGAGTCGGCTTTCCGGGACTCCACGACGCCCTCCGACAGCTTGGCCTCGAACTCCTCCACGGCATTCGTCGTCGGGTTGAAGAAACCTGCGGCGTCGACATTTTGAGCTCGCGATGATTCCGAATCGAAAAGCAAATAACCGAACTTGCAACCTTCCGAGAGCCACGTCGTGATCAATTGCAAGGCGGAAAACCTGGAACGAGCACACGATCTGTCAGTTCCCGAAACTTTTCTGATAATCGAATCGGGGAGACACGTTCGAAGAGTAAGAGCACTCCGACCCGGTATGATGTCGGAGATCAATGAACGAATGCGGAGGAAGCTTCCTCGTGATCATGAAATTGACCGTTCACTCATCGAGAGCCTGCCGTGAACCGCGAGCGATAGATCGATTGCTGTGGACACTCACCGGACAGCGTCGATTGTCTCTTCATCTTGTAGCCAGGAGACATCAATGGACAAGGCTATCTGTTTCATTGCTCGCAAGAACAGGTCTAGGAAACGGCCCGTGAACAAAACTGCATCTGGGAGTCTTCGACAGCACCTCCCCGCTTGGAAAATTAGCTCCCACCACCAGATAGAACGCACCGCTCTCAGCTGGACGAGCGAAAATTATTCGCGCCAATCATGAACGCATTCTGCGGGGCGGAGCCGAAAATTCAAAAGACACCCGGCGCGCTAGATCGTGCTATGCGCTGCTAGGTCTTCGCTGCAGAAGAAGTCTGTGAACGCTGTTCTCGCCAGAATTGAAAGTTCCAGGTGCTCGGAAGAGCTAGCAAATATCTCGAATGATGATCCTCGCTCGAGAAGAGCCTGATGCCACACTCAATCACGGAGTTCCCACCCCCCTTCCCGTGGATACGGAGCAAACTGTGTTCAGGAGAGACGGGACATCCCCGAAGCTCGAGGTGCTGATAGAAGAATATATCCTGAGATCATCCGATAGTTCTACCCCTTCCCGCAGGAAACATGGGAGAAGCGGAGCCTGAGGGCAACTGCTGTTGTGGAGGTCTCCCCAACTCTTCCGCAGCTGATGGCGAGTTGAATAAATGATCGATGAAAGATGAGAAGGTCGATAGCTGATAGCATTCTGGAGCTCTGGGACAGCACAAACAATGAGTAAGTTGATCATTGATCCCTGATGGAGTGGCTTAGGGTCCTCGGACGATCCGAGTGTATCGGGACGGGGGAGGTCTCGAGGAACAAGTCCAGCGCCGGCGTTGTAATGATCTGTCTGAGTGAACGAGCATCATTATCATTATTTATCAATGATCTCTCGCGAGGGGGCCGGATCATGCAAGGATAATAGCGATATACCATCTCGGGTCGATTGAGTTGAAAAAGAAGAGTGTGAGACAAGGCTCACGTCTTGTGGAGGAACTATGCCTTGTTTTTCATTCCGGGAAGTCATTTCCTCGATGAAGAATGGAGGGACCCGCCAGCTCTTGTTCTTTAAATTTATTTACATATGTAGATACACGGCGATCAATCCACTCATTTGTGGAAGCTTTCCGGGAACAACAATCGGTTCCGCGGTTTATGGAAGTCCGATACTTGATCGTTTTTCTAATATAGTTGAGCAAAAGTGTCCTGAGATGCGTCGCTTTTTGAGAGGCTGACTGAATCATGTTGCCATGACGAAGTCCTGCCGGCATTCTGGGTACGATTCCGCGCACAAACCTCCCCGCAGGCCGGTGCTTACCGCGGGCCAATGGATGGAAGTTCCATCGAGGTGAGACTCTACGCTCTGCAGGATGCCTGAGAAGAGAATGAGCATCACTATAATCGGCTGTCATCACGATCATGGAAACGTGACACTTTGGTCGGTCCGAGCCGGTGAAGTAATTGACGAGACACGGCCCAGCGATCTGACGTAAGTGGGTCATTTGAGAGACTGTACAAAGCGCCAAGAGGTTCCTTTGAGGTCCCCGTCAGGGTGCCCCAAAATTTAATCCTACCGCTCCGGCGGCGGTGATGTTACTTACGAGCGACTCGGCTATTCCGCTGAAGTAAATAATAACCGCATTCGCAGGCCGCCTTGCTGCGACAACTTCTTCGGATTCTCATGAGACGTAGTCCGGTGTCGAGGAAGTCCCACCGTGTCGGGATCATCGATGAATTTCCCTCCGTGCTTCGTGCAGCAGGCTGCGATGGAAAGCCGTCGAAATTTTTATCGGAAAGGGTCGAGTGCGATATTTTTCCCCCTCAATCATTCTCATCCAACGAGGCTTACCCCCGCCGCGCCGGAACTCGGCTCACTCCAGAAGAAACGCTTTCCGTAATCGATAACTAGCTCCAGAATGTTGGTCAGCACACCTCCGAGAAGATTCGGCAGGAAAGTCACCAACTGTTCGTGAACGGATGGGGAAAGAGAAAAAATCTGTGTTACGCAATACACAACCCTCCGTATTTACTGACCCACAAATAGAGCCACGAGCAGGGAGGAACCGGCTCAGAAAGGTGAGCGGCCGGAAGGTGTCAACCGACGGTACGAGCGAAAAACGTTCCCAAAATCGACGGTGTTTTTTCTTCTGCCTCTCTCCCGCCTAACAATGAGTTTGAGGGACTTACGCTGGGCATCGTTTTCGCAAGTGACTTTGGAAACATGAAATCCATGATCATGTCCCACAGTGAGATCTTAGGCACCTCTGAAACACTTCCCCCGACGGCCAGCGCTGGTGTCGCGAAGAACATCCACGCGAAGATTAACGGTAGGGATATCATGGCTGCCCGGCGGAAATCGAACAAGAGCGGGACTCGGAGTCCCGAATTCCGGGGGGACGGCTCACTTCGAGGGAACGAGCGTTTCTGCTTTGGAAAACACTTCGGAGATTGGTGTCACTACTTAATTTTCGGGCCGGTGCAAGTTCGGTGGCTCGATTCGTAAGTGTGCGTGTGCCTCCGTCAGCTGAAGGCCGGTCCGGTTGTCAGTCGGCCGAGAGAGGAGGAGCGGCGAGAGACCGTTCGATTCTAGTAAAGGAATCCCGTAGACGGCTAGATCGAGTGGCGGATCCAGCCGACGGTGGAACTAGAGCCTGCGATTCGCACCCAGCCTATCATCAGACCTTGATGGGATAATCGTCTTGGGAAACCGCTCTGACCCCTCGGACCTACTCAAAGCAGAGTCCAGACTGGGGAGCAAACTCCCCGGAACTACGGTCTTCTGAGCGCACCGATCAAGGAGAAATCGATGAGCTCCAGATGATCGCCATGAATTTCCGCAGCTGATCAATGATCAGGCATAGCTTTCTAATTTCTCATCCTAGCCGTTGATTAGTTGGCTACCGAGAATCGAATGGGGTCAGCTTCTCTCGCACGCTACAGAATACGGAGATGATCGCTGTACTGCCCATCGACTTTTATCTGTAGCGATTTCTTCAGGTTCTAGAGGCGACTATGTGAGGGAACTTGCTTTCGTTTATTTTATTCCAAACAGAATCCGAACACTGGATTATCTATGTACACTACCACCATCAATATTTATGCATCGATCTCGTTCCATTCACAAAAATAGCAATAACAAGACCTCGCATGTCACATGACCAAGAATATTCTGCCTCGTATTCCAAGGAGACGTTTCACGGAATTTTCCATCTGATTGGCATCATATCGAATGTTCGTCACGATCAGGATGAGGACGCGCTCCCCAATGTCGTCTGTTTTGAAAACCTAGGACATTTTCTGAAGCGGTTCGGCTCGTTAGAATGAGAGGCATTCATTTCACAATCAATTGGAAGAGTCCTAGAAGTGACGCGAGCAGCCCAACGGCCCCATTGTGCCAAACTTTGAGCTTTCCGGCCCAGAGCACTCCTTCGGGCAACCAGGATATGGCGTTGATCAGGTTCAGAGTGGAAATCGTCAGACTGAGGACCTGTTGGGCTTTGGCGCGTCTGATTTCCGCTCTGAAAATAGGAAGCGCAAAGTAGAAATCAGATTGAGAGTAGGTACTCCCGTTTATGGATTCTCCGGTATCCGGCGACGTGATTAGAGAGTTCTGCGTGATGTGCGGGCGTCTCGCTACAGTCCCCATGTCGTCTCACCGGGACCGGAGTTTTCGATACGGATTTGATGCTTGGTTCGAGCTTGGTATCCTCGTTCCTCGGGGAACTCAAAACTCACGTTTCACGTCTGAGCTCTCCTTGTTTCCGCTGGAGAGCATTCAGGGTTCGCACAGCCTTGAGACATCCGCAGTACAACGAGAACGCCCATAGGAACTTACTCGCTACCCACAGACGATTTGTGTGCCGAGTTCGGACGATCCGCTTGTCTGCCAACCAAGCCAAGTGCTCGACTGGGAAGAATAGCTGGTCCGCGATGTTTTTTATAACACTAACAGCTCTCAACAACTGGAATTCGGAGTACGCTCACGATTAGAAACGACGCTCCTCCTTCGAAGTCCATCATAAGAGTCCAAGACAAGGCGCCAAATTATGTAATCCTCAGCCGCAAAATTCGGTTCCGATGAGCACCCGATCGTGCCGCGTGAAGCCCGGGCGTCTGGGGCTCTGGGAGAGCTCCTTTCCAATCACTGTGAAGATCTCACACGATGGCTTTCTCGAGGCCTCTCGGGTCTGGCGCGTCGAAATCGAATCGAAAATGGTTTTGGTCTTTCTTCAAGTCCTTCGGATCACGAATCATTCCGATTAAGTAAGCCGAAACTTCGGAGCACCTCGAAATCATATCTCGACCTAGGCTTCGGTTATGAAAGAGTCGAATGTATCCGGCGTGGTCTAGTGGCTAGGATTCCTGGTTTTCACCCAGGCGGCCCGGGTTCAATTCCCGGCGTCGGAAGATGAGGTTCCATGGTGTAATGGTTAGCACTCTGGACTTTGAATCCAGCGATCCGAGTTCAAATCTCGGTGGAACCTTCAATATTTTTTCCAAAATTTGTGAAGTCGCCCCTAGCGAGGAACTCCAAACAAGTGCTGTTCGGGAGATGTCGACCATTCTTGGCCTTGTCGCTTACGAGCCCCTACGTCTCAGATCACTCCGTCAGTCGTCCGAGAAGCCAGTCCGGATCGATGACGTGGCGAGCAAAAGGAATTCTCTTCATATTCAAGGTGGGCAAACACGAAGTCCCCCGCAGTTCCAGCAGTCTGTGAGAGGTCGGGAAGATAGACGCTGTAGAAGAGCATGCCCCCTAGCGGCGAGGAGTCTGATGGTCTCCACGGAGAATGCACAGGAGAGAGTAGTAACAGCTGTGACCATGGCTTTCAAGAGTGCGGTACACAGCCGAACAGCATGATCTCATCGTACGTAATAAGAATAATGAGGAAAACTCAGGCGGAAGTTCGAGTCCTGGCGGAAATCTCGGTTTTTAGTTCGAACTCCGAACACCCAGAGTTCCTCTATCGACAACCGAAAGATCCGCTCCCGAGTCGAAGACTTCCTGGGTTATATTAGGATACATGGAAATATTTCAGTCAAGGGAATCGTCAGTGGCTTAGGAATGGGAGCCGAGGCGTTTCTGTACGATCAGTACTCGAGTTTTCGAGCCGGAGCGGGCTGTGGAAAATGATGGTACGACAGGCGTTTGATGAAGAATCGTTTACAGCAAGCTGTACATCAGTTATTAGTTCGTCAGGTACCACTCAGGCACCGTCTCGATCAGCATCGCTGGCTCTGACGCTAGAGCGGGCTAACCTTGAGGGTTGCCCGGGCGACGCGACGCCGACGCCCTCTCGTCTCGGATACCGTTTATCTTAGTCTCGAGAGTTTCCTATGACTCCGGAGTCCTCCTTCTTTTCGAAGGTGCAGAAGAGAAACTTTTGATCCATTATCGACCAAGGGGAAGGCGAAAGCACTCCTTCTGAGCTTCTTTTTTTTCCTCCAGATTTTTCTCTCATCTCATGGAAAGAGAGGAGCCTATCGGCACGAACCGGCGCTCGGTAGTTCCGCAGGTACCTCAGCTCGACTTGGAAGACACTCCGTCGGAGAGGACATATTGATTTGGACGGCCAGGTTCCCGAGTTCTCACGCTTTCAGGGATGAGGTGAAACGATTCACCGCATCGGTTTGCCGCTGATGGGAACGGAAAATGATCATCACGGCTCCAAGTAACGACTTTCCTCCTTTCGCAGTAACGTGATCAAGTTCACGCGTTCTTGCTGATGACTCTCACTGACTTAGCCTCGGTTGTCGTTCGGTATGACGAATCGGAAGACATCAACTCCGGAGACGCCAGATCCATGCATAGATGTGAAGAATCAAACTCAAGTTCATCTCAGTAATGACTATATACCTGATCTTCCTCTGGTTTTCCCAGTCCATACTGGAGATTATATTTCAGCATGGGCCAATCATCGAGAAGTCGGAGAATGACTCTGCAGTGCGACATCTCTTTGGAGAGGATTTGAAACCTGAAGAATGAAATAATCGCAGAGGGAGCTCGCTCCACTTTTTCCTCCAAAAGGATCCAAGTCGGATGGAGGGTGCAAATCACTCGCTCATTTGTCCCTACCTTTTCTTGACTCCCTTATCCGTGACCCCTCCGCACAACATGAAGGCGTAGCCCATCGTTTTGATGAGGCCATCTCGGCCCTGGTACGTTTGTAAAAGTCTATCACACATGTCTGGAATAAGAATGATAATGAGCATTTCTAAAGGCAGGCTCAGTAGGAGGATGTCGAGGCGACTTCGGAGAGCTGCAGCTCCATGCTCAGCTCGACCGAAAGAACGCGGGGGTCTTGGATTAATTAAAAGATGGGGAAGAGCTCAAATTGATATCACGCCGAACACAAATTCCACTCGAATGCGTAGAGCTCTGGCTCTATCGCCGTTCGATCCAACAGGTCCATCCTTTCAGACGAGTACCCATTTCAAAATCCGACTGGGGAATCAACTGACCTTATGCAAGTATGTACAATGAGCCTCCGCAGACCTAATTGACACAATTTCTGAGCATCTGTGTCCAGACCTCCAAGAGTACCACGGATAGAAGCTCGGACTTCTTATGTGTTCGAAAATCACGGCCGATGGCTCACACGATCCTCTCACGAAAACACACAGGAACAGACACTGTGCCGACAACACGCTGATCGCGGATCGGATTTTCCTCTTGTGGAGCGCTGACGTTGAAGACCTCCATCAGACTAGAGAATTCAGGCATTGACTTCTTTAGCTCGGAATGAGCCTCATCCCTCCACGGAGTCGCGGAGCTTGCTCGAATAACATTTCTATCAATTATAGGGGCAATAAGAATCCAAGAAATGTATTCTCGGACATATCCTCCCCGCGAGACATATTTCTTCAGTTGGCGGTCCTTAGCGATTTTGAATTCCCGCGCCGCTGGAACACATGTAGATCCTGATGTACACATGTTTTTCTCCGGTACTCCGGTGATCTCATCGGAGAAATTCGAAAAGCTCAGTGTAGAGCGTAACTTCGGCTATTGCATCACCTGATTCTAGCTCCTCCTAAGGCTCTGCGTCGTGATACCCTCGGGAGGCACGGTGTCGGAGGTTTTCGCTATCTCGGTTGCCGTCGTACCCATATGCTCTGCGAGTAGAGAAATTCACAAAATGCATCCGAATATGAACGACTTCCAAGCTGTCGTTCTGGCTGCCGGAAAAGGCTCGAGGATTACAGATCTCGTTTCCTGTGATGAATTCAAGTGTAACGTTCAGATCGGTAACCGGCCAATGGTGAGTTTCCTTTTAACCTACTCTTGTCAGTCAATGGGAAGTGACGCGACTTTGGGGTTTCCGAAGCACAGTTTCGTTGCAACCTGATGTTCCTCACGGAGGCTGATCTCTTGTCCATGATCCCTGAATATCTACTCTTCCGTGTCGCAGCTCTTCTATCCGCTCCGGAATCTCAAGAACGCCGGCTTCAAAGAGGCAACAGTCATTGTTCCTAATAAATACAGAGCCGATGAGAATATCGCAAGTGAGTAACTCATCCAAATTGAGACCAGGAAGGCTTTTATGATGACCCTCTCGAGGAGAAGATTTTTGATCCTACGGGAAATTCTGTCCTCAGAGGAGCTGCAGCTACACATCGATTACGTGAACGTAAACGTGGAGCTCGAGGACCAGGGAACTGCCGAGAGTTTACGATTGATCAAGGACCGTTTGAAACCGAACCGTCACGTACTCCTGGTCTCCTGTGACCTCATCACCGACATAGACCTCTCTGAACTCTGCGTGCGGCAGCGTGTCAGTGATGCTCTGCTCACCCTTCTACTGGCACCACTTCCTACGCAGCTCACCGAGTGTGCCGTTCCGGGGAGCCGAAAAAAGTTCCAACCTGAATGCGACATCGTCGTCCTCCAGACAGGCACTCAGCGACTCCTGAAGTTCGGAGCCGCAGCCGATTTCGCCGAGAATGTGACGTTCCGACAGAAACTCGTCAGACAATTCCCGAGCATGCAGGTTAGTAGGGGAAGCCTCATTCCGATGGCTTGATGTCGGAAAGCTGATCGATGACCGTCGAGAGGAACCTAAGAATAACGTGTTCCACATCTTCCTTCACAGCTGCACTCGGATCAGCTCGATTGCCACGTTTACGCTCTGCACCCGAAAGCCGTCGAATTCGTGCTGACGCACAAACTGCTGGCTACTTTCAAGGGCGAAGTACTTCCCAAGTTGGTTGAGAAACAATTCAGCAAAAAAGATCTCCGAGACGAAGACCGCAGCAAAGCGGACACGCTCGACACGCTCAAGTGAGTATCGATCGGGATATTGGGTAGCCTCGCCGTGAGCATCTCCTGTGCTTGGACAATCATTCATGCTTTGAATTCCATAGATGCTACGCTCTGCTATCGACAAGTTTCGCCCTACGGGCCAACACACTACAAGCGTACAAGATCGCCAACGGAGAGGTGAAGAATATTTTCCATGACCTCTTCCCCGGAGGGAGTGAGAACATTTTCAAAGAGAAGACGCTCCTCCATAAAGTCCAAGCCAAGAAGAGCGTCATCGGGGCTCGGGTCACCATCGGTACCGGTTCGAGGGTGAGTAATTTTCATTCAATTCTTCCATCTGATCATCATCTGCTGCTGTTTGATTCCCGGAGGAATCGGGTAGTTCAAATCTCACCTACTTTCTACATTCGATCGAAGACCTTCCGTTGATCCGAATCTCATTGCGTACGTTTTCGCAGGTACTCTCGTGCGTGATCCAGGACGATGTCGTCATCGGTGAGGGTGCTCTCATCCAAAACTCGATCGTGTGCAGAGGATGCAAGCTCGGTAAAAATGTCAGCGTGATCAACTCATTCCTGGGTGCGCGAACGCAACTCGGAGAAGGGAAGGGTGTCACGAATGAGAGTGTGGGGATCTCAAGTATGGAGTTTGAATAAATTCCGCGAGACGTTTTCGAGAGGAATTCTTTATTCCTACTTCAGACACGCAAACGTTCCCCAATATCGTTTCCCTCGTTCCTTCCACGGCTCCATTAATCCCCCGGGCTCGACAGGCCGGGCTCGGCAATCTTCTCTTTCGAAAGGCGCAAAAACTCCGATATAGGGGAAAGAAAGTTACAGCGGGAACGTTCTATGTATGTACAATTCGAGGGGAGTGTCTATTTATTCACATTGAGGAAGCCAGCCGTATTGCTGAAATACTTCCCCTCCTGAGACTTGGTGGACTCGGCCGCATTCGGGTTGACGATTTCCAAACCTTGTAGAGGAGTGAAGGCCACCGAAGACGCCGTACCTGGGGAAGAATGAAGATATGAATTAACTCGATACTGGGCACGTCCGACGATCGTAGCGGTATCAGACGGGGTACGATGAGGTGCCGCTATGGCTCATGAGGGGCTTGGAATCTTCGCGGCCAGGGGATGTCCGCAAAGACAGCATGGGGATACAAAGACGGAAGAGAATGATTCTTGTGCTTACCTGCAACGTGTTTCCGCACTGTGGTGGATCCACCGTACACCTGCTGCCGCTGTAGATTTTTCTGCAAAGTCTTGGAGATTCTGACTTTGGTCTTCTCGTCGACCTGCGCGGTTCTGATCTTTCCTGCGGCACCTCGTTTCCCGGCCTGGCCCGTAGTGAAGCCAAGATCGTCCTGGTAGGCGTCGTCTTCGATTTCTCCAAAGGTCATTCGGTTCTGCTGTTTACGAAGCTCGGTGACAGCGTACCGCTCCTTCATTCTCCGCACCCGACGACCGCCGCGTTTTTTGCGCGCGATGTCGATCGGAGCGGCCAGGGGTTTCACGGTTTTGACCGGCGGAGGTTCCTGGAGTTTCTCCAACTTTTTCTCCACGTCCGACCGCAAGGATTCGCCCATGCTCCCGTCACGGCTCCCATGGAAGGAATCGATTCTCGAGGCGAGGGAACACTTCGCTGCGAGGAGCTTGGCTGCTTTCCGACGAAGGTCCGAGGGATATCCTTGAACGTATTCTGAGTTGAAGATGAAACCCGTGTGCGGCAGCATCGTCGTCGACGAAAATCCCGTAACCGTTTTTTTAGACGCCCCCAATACTTGGATGTTGCAGGCAGGCATTTTGCTGAGCTTCGTCAAGCCTCCGGCGACTCCCATGAGTTTTGCGGCGACCGATGCGCCGACCAGAACGCTCAGGTTCGGGGCGATCAGACTCATACGACTCTCGACGAATTCGAAGATTTCCGCCTTCATGTCGTTCAGTTCCTGCGCCATCGAGCAGGCTTCCAGAACTCTTTCGAGCTCTTGCGGAGTCAGAGCTTGACCCTGCGAGGTCGACGCCGAGACCGAAACAACCATCACTGTGGCGGGTCTGAGGATCTGAGTCAAGCGATCATTGTTCTTCACCTGCAGGGAGGAACACCTCCGTTCAAGAAAAGAGCTCAATTCGAGCGGATCTATTCTGAAGAAGTGGAACTGCTTGGGAGCTCACCCGACTGAGGTCGTTGCCGATTTCTTGAACTGTCAGAAGGTAATCAGCTGACTCCGGCACCAACGATTCAAGTTCCGGGAACCTCTTCGAGTAATGGTCTCTCGCAAACTTGTGGATTATCAGCAAGTCGTCGTCGATCTCCACGAGAATGTTGTTCGAGTCCACGATCAATTTGTATTCGGGATCGGATTCTACCGGACCTACCACTGGAAAGCGGATCGCCCCGATTATTATTCACTCATCACTTGCCATGGATACAGAGAATGAAAGAAGCATCGGGCTCGATAGCCTGAATTATCCAGCTAATTGAGACGAAAATTCGTCGGATCTTACGCTCGGTCCCTCTTGACGTTTGCTTTCTTCTCCGTATGTCAGCGAGGATGTTGGTGAGCTGTTCTGAATATCGGAGCTTGGCAATCTCCTTCACGCTCCGAACATTTGTGTCGATTTCCATCTTCTCCTCTTCGAACTCCATTTCGTCCACATTTTCTTCTGGAGCCTCATCGTTCAGAGGTGCTGCGAGCCGGGCAGGTTTCACCAGCGCGTCCTACAAATGAAAAAACTTCAGCCTGTCACACCGAGACACCACGAGACCGAGCCCTCCTCCTCACTCCCGATGCGATCAGAGATGGATCAGTTCCCCGTCGGGCGGGAAATTGATCATTGCATAACATCAATCAGCAACACTTCCCTATGAATCTAGAAAGCGAAATGCCGGGATTTTCACCTCGATCGATTCGGATGGTTCGTCCTCTTCGAGGTCGGCCAGGAGCTCTTCGGCCAGAGACATCGTTAAGTCGATTGGAGATAATCGACAGATTTAATGAGAGCACCGGAAGGTACACCTCGGGTTCGGACCAGCTCGGAAGTAAAAACGTTTTAACAAGAGAGATTGCCCGGTCCGGAGAAGAAGACTCTTGTTTATGTTGATGTTTTGCTCGTGTGCCCTCTCCCGCTACAGGGTGGTGAAATGGCTCTTGTGCGGGAAATCGGGAAAAATACCGGAGATCGGGACGATTGATCGGGATCTATTCTAACAATTGACGTCACCACGAGGGACGTTTCGAGTCCCGGTCCGGATCACAAAGAATCCCCTGCTGGCAGCGGTGTGCAGCGGGCGGCGGCGAATTGGTCGCGAGGAGCTTGTCTGCTACGGGACCCGAGGACTCGGGAGGCGGTATTTTCGAAATCGCGCAGGCCTCCGCTACCATATGAAATCTTTCTCTCTGAAGTGGCGGCCTTTCCGGTAACCATTCAGATAGACCCTTTCAGATAGAGGTCCCTGATATGAAGCTGATAATCGATTTCCGCTGGTTCGTGCCTCAGCGCCTCCGCGACTCTTGTATCACCGCATCTGAAATAGGCTGCACGATTGATCGTGAATCCGATGCAGGTATCCCTTCGAGGTTTTTGTCGCTCCTTCAATCATGCAATCCATCGATCAGATTGGAGTTGGTCGTCGCATGCATCAGGAGTCTTTGCTTCCCGAGATCCCCGCTATAGAATCGTCCGCTTCCCGGAGGAAGTAGACTCTTGAGGTGAATGAAAAGATCTGGAGAATGCTGAGCAACCGTCTCATTTCTTTCATCGCGACTCCATCGAGGCAAAACGAAACTGTCAGCTTAAGGTATCGTATTCGATGCGAGGCTCACACAATTCGAAGTAAGCGTATAGATACAAGGTTTGTAGCCACGGGGGCTACTGGGGTTCATGCATATATATAGAGCGAACTATAAGATTCTACCTAGGAAAAAGAACAGTCTTTCCCTGAAGCTCTCAGCATGGGAGTGTCAATGCGTGGCTCCGTAATCGACTTCTCCGATAGATGATCAAGCCAAGGAACATGATTCCCTCCGCACAACTTTCAACATCAGTCAGCTTCATTTACTATTGCCCCCTCATGGTCTTCAAATCCTGCCTCCTCGTCATCTGTCTTCACCCCTTCAATGATTTCGATATCTCCTTGGCCGTTCTCTTGTTCTTCTTCAGGCCCCGCTCCTCCTCCTTCCTGTCCCGCATCTTCTTCACCCTGTTCCGCTTCTTCTTCATTCTGGTCCGCTTCTTCTTCTCCTTCCTCCCCTTCCTCCCTTCCTCCCTTCCTCCCTTCCTCCCTTCCTCCCTTCCTCCCCTTCCTCCCCTTCCTCCCCTTCCTCCCCTTCCTCCCCTTCCTCCCCTTCCTCCCCTTCCTCCCCTTCCTCTCCCTCCTCCTCCTCCTCTTCATTCTCATCGTCCTCTTCCTCCTCCTCCTTCTCCTCTTCCTCCTGGGAATCGTTCTCTTCCTTCGAAGGTGCTTTCTTGCAACGGCGTTTATGAGATCTGAGCTCGACGCTCGTTCGACACCTCTTCCCGCAGAATAGGCAGGCGAAACGATCGGGATCGGCGTTCTCGTGGGTCATCAGATGCTCTTTGAGGCTCACGCTCAACTTGAATGTCTTTTCGCATTGATCGCAAGCGAACTTCCGCTCCTCGGTGTGACACGACATATGCGTCTTGTAGGTCGTGGGGTAGGCCGTCGAATAGCAGCAGACCTCACATTGATACTTGTATTTGGGCTTGACAGACGCCAGCATCTCTTCCCGGTGCTGCTTGAGCTCCTCGGCGGTATTGTACGACGCTTTGTGGGGTCGGCATTTGTAGATTTTCTCAACCTTGAACACGTTGTGGAGTTTGTTCTGATGCTGACGGAGATCTTTCTTGCAGAAGAACGATTTTGAGCACAGGTCGCAGAAAGCCGTCCGAATTTTCAAGTGCACGCAGCGAGTGTGGCGGTTCAGTGTTCGTTTGCAATAAGTAGCGTAGCCACAGCCTTTGTACTCGCACTTGAAATTCTTGCCCTCGTGCATTTGCGCGTGTTCTTTCAAAATGCCGATGGTCGTGTAACCCTTGCCGCAAACGTTGCAGAAGAAGAGGTTTTTCCGATGCCATTGCGAATGAATGTCCATGGCGTTCTTCGACGGGAACCGCTGGCCGCAAACTTTGCATTCGATATCGTAAGAATCGGGGAACTCCATGTTCTTGTGTCTCCTCTCGAGATGCAGCCGGTACCGGAGCTCATTGAAGGTCCTGTATCCACATTTCCACCGACAGCGGTGGACCGTGACATTGACGTGCTTCGGGTTCGCCAGATGCCGGTCCATCATGGCTTGATGAACCGTGAAGAACCCGCACCCCGGAACCTCGCACTTGAGGGTCTTGGGCAGGTCCGGGTTCTTGCCGCATTTCTTGACGTGCCGATCGAAGGTCGACTTGACCAACATCTTCGACGAGCAATGTGGACACTTATAGGTCTTCATGGCCGTCGACTCGACCGTTTCCATTTTTTTCCGCTTTTTACTCTCGATCTGACTGTTTATAACTTTCCGGTATTCCTTACCGTACCAAACCAGCAGCTCGTCCCCCGGAACGATCGGCTTACAGGTCTTGTAATAAATCCGCTTCTCGTGCTGGAACACTCGCAGGTTCGCCTCTTCGGCCGAGTTCGAACAATTGACATACCGCAACCAGTTCGCGTGCTTGACGTCGAATCCGTCGACGACCGTCTCGCCTTCTTTGAAACCCCGCAGCTGCCAAGCATAGCCACTCTCGTTGTTGACGTTCTTCATTTTTCGTATGACTCCCGCGTAGGGTCCGAACCTCACCCCGATGTCGATGGGAAGTTTTGCCAAGACCCCGTATCCTTTCGCCCGGAACCGGTGGAACTCAAGGAAGTCTGGTATGACCCGATCGGTCCTGAGATCCCGAGGGCCGGCGGCGGGGTTTTCGATGACTTTGTCACGAACCACCGTGACGATCTGCTTCACGCCACGTGACTTCGCCAGGACCCTCGTACCGAATTTCCGTTTGGGATCTTCTTCCATTTCGCTGCGGAGTTTCTCAGCGGCGTTCGTCATTGCTCTGTCGACCATCGAACGGACTTGTTCGAAAGCCCACTTCGCATCGGCTTCATCAGCCTGAGGTGGTTGCCATTCGTCTTCGGACGAAGACAGATCCTCGTCGTCATCGTCCGAAGGCACATAGATGATTTCTTTGGGAAGTTTGTTCTTCTTTCCTCGAGTGACTCTTTTCAGAGGCGGAGACCGAGTTTTCGATCTCACGGATTTCACATCGGCGTCCGCCTGCCGGATAATAACTCTAGGCATCTGAGACGTTTCGAACGTCAGCTCAGGATCGTCAACGCTTTCTGGATCTTCGAGCCGGTCGTCGGGCTCGTCGTCCTCAAGCATGTCCTCTTCGTCCTCCTGGTACTGGACCTCCGGCATGTGCTCGTCACCGACTTCGCCGCATTCGTCGATGACCGCCTCGGCGACAACTTCATAGTTGGAGACGGCGCTCAAATCCGTGTAAACTTTCTCTACCTCAACATGATTCCCTTCGGATACTTGCGGCACCTCGACTAGAGCGTTCCTCTGACGTGTCTTCATTTTCTGGCTGAGACGATGCCAACGTTCGAACTATCGCAGCTATCGATCCGGGGAACCTGAGGAACTTTCCCCACAGAAGAAAAAACCAACACAAGCCACAGCTCTCCTGACAGTTTCAGGCACCCCGAAATTCCGTTGCGAAGGTTCTCTGCACTACTGCTGGTCGAGTGTGAAGCAGGCCTCGAAGAGGATAAGCAGAAGTTTCGTCAATTGTAACCGGACCCCCGGCTTGCCGCCAAAGCTTTTCGGCTGCGCACACTCTACTTCACAAGAAGTAACTCCTGTAGCGCTCTGATGCGACGCCTTGTAAAGTGCTGCTGTAGCGGCGGCAGCTACTACACAACCGATTATTTTTGATTCCGAATCGACACACGTTGGGTGAGTGTGTGGGCTTTTTCACGACTTCTGCTCCGGCCTACGGCGGGCGCCTCCTTCGAGAGAAGGACAACGATTGTAAGACTCAGAACCCTCAGCCTCCGATCTGAGTCTCCCGAGGTGATCTGAAATGCTTCGGCGAGATGAAACCGAGTGAACGGAGCGGCAGCCGCCGAAGAGTGCTAGGCCCACCGTTCCCGGTACATTCCAACACGCGGTAGCGGTCAACCCTGCGATGGAACACAACAAAAGTGGCGGCGTCGCAGCTCGCAGCTCAAGTGGCGGCGGTGCGAGAGCGTGAAAGAAGAAAGCAGTCTCTAATCGATTGGATTGCGATTTGCTCAGCTGCTGGAACTGTGCACTGAGCCGTAAACATGAACGCACCGCCAACATTCGAATGCTTCTTGCTTTTCGACGGTGAGAAAAAAATCACGATCGAAAAAGACACCAAGGTGAGCTTCGAGCCGTTCGTCCGATTGTACACCTCTTGCCTATCAGTCATGCACGGGGACCCGATCGCCGATAGTCGCAACTCCACGAAGTCGAAGCCGGCTTCCTCTTGTCGTATCTTCTCATCGGAATGAAGACTTGAGTCCCGATGTTCCCCGCAGGTGCCAAACGCCTCCATCTTCACAATCAACAAGGAAGACCACACACTTGGAAACATGATTCGCGCTCAGCTTTTGAAGGTTCGATTCGATTTGCCAAACACTGATTCCCCTCCGAGCGGAGGCATCCCTCGGCGATTCCGACGCCAGAAGCGGAATCGCTTTGGCTGCTCGGCATATGAATATCAAGGAATATTCTGGCCGTCGTAATGGTCATTGCGCTCTCGAACCTTATTGGTTTTACCCTCCACAGGATCCTCTGGTGACTTTCGCCGGATACAAGAACCCACATCCCCTCGAGCACAAAATTCTACTCCGGGTACAGACGACACCCGATTCTACACCCGTGGAAGCTCTGAAGAGCGCGATAAATGATCTGATGTCAGAACTTTCGTTGTTTGAGGAACGTTTCCAAGAAGCGTACAAGGAGAAGTGCGAGAACATGGATTGAGCATCGGATTTGTTTAAAATGGAATGTATATATGATCATGTGTATAAATTCAGAAGAATTTCTATGCTCGAGCCGTCCTTCCTATCACGGCAAGGAGAGAAAATGTTTACCTCTCAACGAGCAATACATCCAAGCGGCATTTCGCTCTCTCATTGTTCGGTAAGTGATCGATCAACGCTTCAGGTGCGTTGCCACGTAGGTTTCGAACATTTGAAGCTCATCCTAGTTCCGGATCGTGGCTCGAAAGGCTGCGCGATTCGTCTCACGACCACCTCGGCTCGTCTCTCTAAATTCTTTCACGCTTTCGAAACTGGGAATCCGGTTCCTGTAGTACGTCACGGAACGAACTCTTTGGTGCAGATCGTGATGCAGTTTTTCGCCGGTATGGTCCTGCTAATCCTCGTCATTTGCGCAGCGGTTCAGGCATTGGACGGGAACCCCAGGGAACTCGAGGAGTGTCGCAAGAGGAACAGGGGCAAATGGTGTACGTGCAGGAAACTTGTCAAATATATCCAGGATCATCTGCTGGGGAAACGCATGGGCGTTTTCGTGCCGCGGGTCGGTTTCATCGTTCTGTCGCGGATCCTCCCGCGGGAGAGCGTGCATATGTAAACCACTATCCCTCACGAATACACTATGTCCTTCGTTTTCTTTGACTTGGGTCACATTATCCGGAGAAATCTCCCTCGCTACTGATTAAGTTCATCCGATCGGAGAGCGGAAACCAATCCCAAAAACGTAATTTTCAGTGTGGTCAATTCTACAAGAAACTCTACGCCAGGAAGCAGTGCTACATGAACGACATGGAGTGCTGGTGCGTCAATCCGAAAACCGGCTTGATGATAGAGGGCACAAAGATAGGAGACTTCGAGAGTGACTTCCTCGACTGTAATCCCACGAAACCGGAGCTCTGAATCGATGTTCCTATGTGATATGCGCCCAGGGGACGGACTAGGACCATTTTCCTACGGTGAGCAACTAGAGACTGCTCAAGAAGAGAAGACTGCTTACATGAAATCAAGGGCTCCGTCATACGCCTAATTGTCAGGGCTCGTAAGCCTGAGCTATCCTCAGCAACTTCGTAGGCTACCCGGAAGGGAACAGATCGAGAGAATTTCCGGAGTTCGTCTCATACATTAGACGAATGCCCATTTATTTGGAAACGTAACATGGGAATAAACTCAGCGATGTCGTTGATTACGTGTATAGATCCTCAACACGATCGGTGTCCTCACTGGAACCATAGGAAGAACATTAGTCTTACAATTGGTGCAGTAAATTTTGAGGCCAGGTCCTCTTGAGAATGTTAGATCATCATTGGGAGTCCTTTCAAGACGGAACCGTCCTCGGAATCGAAACTTTGCTGAAGAGGAGTATACTCTATTGGGAGAGAGTTCTCTTGGCTTGATCCCGATTCCCCGAATGGTATTAGACTTTTAGAGCAAAAGACGGGCTGTCCCGGAAATAGAATACCGTTCTTGGAAGAAAATTCTGGGAATGAGGCCAGAAGCCAGTGGAGCTCAATTTCGAAATCAGTTATTCCAATCATCCTCACCGATTCTTTCTTAACCTCTGCGTAATAGGAATTACTCGGGTCCTCATTGTCTCTCAAATACCTCTCAACGTATTGGAGACCGTGAGGTCCTTTCGAAGAATAGTTCGCCATCAACGACTTTTGCAAAAGTTCATCCCGGAAATTCATCATCATATACACCCAGGCTTTCTCAATGCGCTTGTCCAACTCGAACTCCACGTCCTCTTGCTGACGTAGGTAGTAGCTGCCACATGAAAGGAGAAATTCCGAAGACTTGAGAATCTCCCTCAAGTCAATCGCTGCTCGATCAAGTCACAAGCTCGGGCGGATCGGACAATTACGCGAGATTTCAGTTCAATCTTTCCGGCCCGCAAATCTCCTCGCTAGCAATCAGCTGATCAACCTACTTCGGGTGATTCTCGAACTCATCGAGGAACTGCAAGAGCTTGTCATCGACATCGTACACTTCACCAATGATCCTGTGGCCGGTTCCCGGTTTGTAGAGCAAATAGGGCACATTGAATCGCGATGCAATCAGTAAAGGAAACTTTCGGACAGTTTCAGCCTTCCCTACGAAGGTCGCTTTTCCCAGGGTGGAATCAACCATCAAATGAGCGTTGGGTTCCCCACTCTTTAGAGTCCCGTACACGAATATCCGATGCATAGCTCTTGAGATTAGAGACATCCATCAGGATCGAAGGGTGTAAAAACCGTTCGTTTTATAACCGGCTTTCCGTCGCGACGACTTGAGCGAAAGTGGAGAGGAGAAGTGTGGGAGAGCGTGCGACGGAGTCTAACTGGAAGGGGGCGAGGGCATCACAGCTCGATATGCTGACTGACTGAGTGGATGAGACTGCTCGACATACATACACGATCGAGGGCCGCGCAGTGGAGCCCGAAGCTTATCCCAGGCTCTGATAGGAATTGCGGGCATTGATTTTCCAACAATTCTCAAAGGATCCTCAGGTACTCGATGAGATTCAGACGGAGATCGAGGGAGATTGACTCTCCCGATCGTCTCCAGAATGTGTCGTAGAACTTTGGGATCACTCTTTATTCGTATGAGCTCGGACCTGATCACAATAGCATCAGAATTCACACCGAGGAATCCATGGATTTCAGGCACCTCTTTTCACATCATCGTAGTGCGTATGGCCTGGATCATCGACATCTGCCTTGTTGTATTCGAGGCCGTGGGGTCCTTTCGAGGAATAATCAGCCATCATAGGTCTTTGTAGGAGATCTTCCTTGAAATCTCTCAGAGTGTAGAGCCAAGCTCTCGTCATGGAACCGTCTTCAAGCTCAACATGTTCCTCCAGGCGTCGATAGTACCTGTGGATCATCTTGAGAATCATGATTTCGCTGAGGAGAGCCTCTCGCGACGAGTAATAGAGGGACTTTCACAACGTCGTTGACTTACTCGGGACAGTTCTCGAAGCCGTCCAAAAAGGAAAACATCCTATCGTCTACCTCGAAGACTTCACCGAATATTCGATATCCGATACCCGGCTTGTAGAGCAAGTATGGAACATTGTACTTCGAAGCGATTAGCAAAGGGAAACGCTCCTGGGTTCTTGCGCGGGAGAGGAACCTCGCGTAGCCGTTCTTCCCGTCTCTCATGACATGCTCATTCGGCTCTCCTTCCTTCAAAGTTCCGTAGACAAACACTCGATTCATCTTGCCTTGATGACGGTGCGAATCATGGCGTGGGCTCGACCGTGTGCATCTTAACAGCGCCGGAAAGGAGTCGATGCGGGCGAGAGGTACATGCTTATCTCCACACGAGATTGGTTGGCTCTTTGGGTCTCCGGATACAGCATGGCTCAAAACTAATGTTCGAGTCAATCCATGCACGTGAGACTGTTTGCCGCTCAGGTGCATACCTATCATGAACCGATATGATGGAGTGCTCGGATGAGTGCTGATTCCCATAACATTATACTGTGAAAACTAGACCAATGGGCGAGCGTGCCTTCGCTATAAAGGATATTTATTTTCCTCGACGTGATCGAGAGCCATGAACCCCATCTTAGACCGCTGAGATCCAAACAACGTTGCATAACAGGTTTACTAGAAAATCGACGCTCATGATTTACCCCCGATAAATAAATTAGTCGTTACTAACATCTGACTGACGTGACCCGGGCTGCTCCGAGCTCTCCTCTTACAGATTCGAAATTTCCCTTCCATCACTACATTCAAAAAGGCAGTTTCCAGCCCCATAGCAGGTAATCGAGTTTCAGTTCAAATAATCATCTCCTGTAGAACTACATGCAACTTTTGGCTTGCGAGGTCCTGTCGACGAGACTCGATGCTCGGGGAACAATTTCTTTTGACTAAAGCTCTCGTGAACCAGCCGCGCACTGAAAGCTCAACTGAAAGAAGCGCACCGTCGCTTAGGACGCTCAGCCGACCGCTACCCCTTACCACTCACAAAAGGAACCCTAGCGAGAGCGGCGAGGAACCCTGAATGTTTTCCGCTCCTCAGCGTGAGAATCACGTCGGAGGATCGCTCGTCTCAAAAGTCAATACCGCTCACAACCTCGAGCGCATGTTCTATGGTGTTGAGCGGTTTCGCCTGACGATTTACAAGTGTGATATTATTTATAGTTTGGCAGCATAGATAGCCCGAAGCCGACTTGAGCATCGAGCACACCCCTCGTCGCTTCCTAAGTACGGTCCACAACTCCGCGTCATAGCTCTCGGCTACGTAAAATCCCCTGCGCTCATCCAAAACGAGGAAGTCCTTCAGAACGTTGATCGGGACCGAGGCGAGGACGTTCTTCAACATTGTGAGATTCTCCTCCGCCCAATCTACGACGAAGGGATCCGGTCCTACAGATCCGTCATTGGTGCAGAAAGCATTGACCTCAAGCAGCGTGACGAGACAGTAGTCGCCTCTCGAAACCGCAAGGAGGAAATTCAGAGATGACTTTGAAATAAAAACAGGTCGCCAGGCTATGACTCTTGAAATCTCCGAGTTGAAAACCCGTTCTTGCCGCGTCATGAGGAACGAAAGTTGCAAATGATCTCTGGTCAAGTGCGAACAAATAACGCTCCCTTTCACGAAGACCGCACTTCCGATTATGTGATGTGTTCGTAAAAATGCCCCGTCTTCTAGTTCGCATGCCTCGTACCGATACAGAACGGTGTCCAATTTGCTCCGGTTCGTATCGGAGATCAGGGATAAACGAGGCCACGGGAGAGATCGACTTTCGATCGGTTCGCTCATGATGCTGTGGAAGAATCGGTTGAAAAACGCAGACACCCTTTCCACGTCGTTCTCGATACAGGCGTCGAACTCTTCCCCGAATTCCCATTCAACAGTTTTACGCAGCTGATCGATCAGCGGACTGATGTAGTAAATTGGCACGATGTCGTGGCTGATCGCGACGCAGAGGAGTCCGCTTTTGAGTTGCGCGTAACTGACTGAATGCAGATTTCCATTGAAAGTAATCGAGGTGGAAGCCGCTCCCGAGTTGAAAGAGTTGTTCAGGGCGTCGTGAAGTGTCGGGAACGCCCCGCTAAGAGGAACGGGGGTTCCGGGGAATTTGTAGACTTCTCGCGCTGCGGGGCTGGAAAGGTCGCAACATGAAATACGCCAATTCATGGGAAGCGGAAATATTTCGGGAGGGGAAGGGGGCGATTCGCGGTGGATGAATCGTCCGAATTCCACTTATAGAGATCTGGACTGTCCATGCCCAGACATTCCAGAATTCGTGCGAGAGAGCAGCTGACCGCCGCCCCTCCTCCGAAGGAACGGCCGAGACTCACTCGAAGTAAAGCAGTTGGTGGGAGAAAGCTACCGGTTTCTTCGGTAGGGTTGTCTCTATCTCCTCGACTTTCTGAGATTTTCGGAGCAGATGCAGGTTGACTGATTGTGCGTTCGGTCCGATTCCTGAGAGGGTCATTTCCACGCCGGCGCGGTCCTGCACTGGGATTCCTGCAAGGAAAAAAAGAGCTACTCCTTGAAAACGAATACTCAGTCCAATCCCTCTGTTATTCGCTCCGCCGACTCGAGCATGAGGGACATGGAGGAACTGTTCAAGAGCGAAAAAGTGCGGAGATAGTCACCATCGACTCGGTGCACGATATCTCCTTCTTGAACCAAATCTTCGACTCCGACGTTTGCTTCGATCACTCCTCCCCGCCCGACTTTGATTCCAAGCAGCTTCTCGGACAATCCGGCTTTCCTTCCGAGGTTCCCGCGCCTATGGTCAACCTTGAAAGAAAATCACGTTTTCCTCAGGCTTCGGGGAAACTTTCGTTGTGACACAATACGAGAGCTCGAGACATATTTCGCCTGTCTCGGGTGTGCATCACACGAGAGCTTCCTCGAGAAGTCATTGGAGAAATGCCGCCTCGCCCACTCACCGGGAGACTGACTCTGATTTCTTCCCAATTCGGTTCGAGCGAAGTCTCGACATAGAAAAGTCTGCCTTGGGCGTCAACTTTGTCCTCCCAGGCTTCGGTAGACGAAGAACTGCCTGTTGCTCGTTCCAGGCCGGACATCCACTGCGATTCGGGATATCGGTGAGATGAAGTCATGCTCACGGTGAGCGGATCCCCCACTCTGGAATTTCACATTTTGAATTCGTGACTTCCGACTACACGAAGAAAGTCCGAACCATCCGGATTTCCATGAAAGATCCGAAATTCCTCTGTTTACTGTTTGACGTAGCGTCCGTCAGAACCGCTCTCCCATTCGGGAGCTCCCTCGCCGCTCAAAACAAAAACAGCTCAGCATGGCGGTGCAGGCGCGAAGACGCCATCGACCAGCTGATCCACCAAACGCACTCATGATCGAAAAGGGAGCCTCCCGCTGAAATACTCTCCATCATTCGTGGTTTCTTGGGAGATCAATCGGCAATCGAACCTGAACCGCATGGAAGAAGAGCTCGAAGACAAAACATCCAACCAGGATCTCCCGCAAGGAGACGCTCATGTGAGACTCGGAACGACCGCTTCCAGAAGCTTTCATCTCCCTTTCTATACCTTTCTCGAAGGGGTTTGAGCTACAATTATTAGTCACTGAGACTTTTCAGGACTTCATGGAACTCGCCTTCAAAGCGGCGACCGAAGCTTTGGACAACCAGGAAGTCCCCGTCGGGTGCGTTTTTGTTCTGGACGGTAAAGTCATCGCGACAGGAAGAAACCGTGTCAATGAAACGAAGAACGCTTGTATGCACGCCGAGTTCGTCTGTCTGAATCAGGTGGTCGCAAATCAGGGTCGGGAAGTTTTGCCAAGACTCGAAGTCTACGTCACAGTCGAGCCATGTATAATGTGTGCGGCGATGCTGGGTCAGATCGGGGTGAGGAAAATTGTTTACGGTGCTCCGAACGATCGTTTCGGAGGTCTAGGTAGTGTTCTCGATATTCTACGAGGAAACTCGCGAGTCGCTATCACGTCCGGAGTTCAGAAGGAACGCGCCGTAGCCCTGTTGAAGAAATTTTATACGGGTCAGAACCCCAACACCGAATGCCTAAAAAGAAAGAATAAATGACAATTCCTAATTCGGAGGTGAGCATATGATTTTGATAGGTTACTGGGCTTTCTCCTCGCCGGATTTCGCCTCGAGCCATGGTCATTCCCGCTGCCCTCGGCATTTACTACCAGAATATCAGCGTGAGACCGTGCGAGAACACTTCGAGAATATCTTCCGCCATCGAGATAAGAACACTCTACAGTGCTCGAGATCCATATTTACGTTCGGCAGTCTCGTGTTCGGTAACATTCAGAGCAGTGTTCCTCCCCTGAGATGCCCAAAGTCTTCTTCTATGGAACCCTCAAGAGGGGCGAGCCGAACGAACATGTGCTTAGGAATCCTGGGCTCGGGCTTGTCTCTTTCATCGCCGAAGCGAAGACCGTTCAGAAGTTTCCGCTTACCATAGCCTCAGAATTCAACCTCCCGTATCTCTTACTGAAACCGGGACAAGGGAACCGAATCCACGGCGAAATTTTCGAAGTTGAGAATTTATCTATCCTCGACGAATTCGAGAGTTGTCCCAGGCAAGTCGACGGAGTTCAATGGACGCGGAGAAATTTCATTTATGATCCAACTGGAAATCTATGCGAACCGATTGTCGAACACGTCGATCGTCCCATGGATTTTCAATCTGATTGGAGCAATCGTCGCTAATCGGGTGTCACCTCTCGCAGATATTACACTCGGGTGGAAGAGCTAGTTGAACTTGAAAACGGAGAGCTCATCAATGTCTGGCTCTACGCTTTGGAAGGTTTCAAGCTAGAGCTCCTCGAAAGACCTTTGTTGAGCAGCTATTCGTCCAGTGGTACGCACGGGCTCGCCTACAGGAGGGGCGCCGGTCAGAACCCACAGCATCGGTACCAGGTGATGAAATCTGAAGATGATGGGGTAGACGATTGCCTTCGAGGTCCTCCACGTTGATGTATTATTGAGCCGTCTTCTACGTCTGTGGAATGGAGAACTCTCTGCAGGAAGTACCCACCGGTGTACCATCACCGGTCGAGCAAGAGTAAACGAGCTCTTCGAGACTACATGACGTCAATAATAATTTATTACGTTCATAAGAGTAAATAAACGTTATCTCGTCGGTGAGGTTCTCCACGACCGGACGTAAAAGCTGCGAGAATACTTGCAAACTACTGAATCAAGGATCTGCTGCATCTCTCGCCTTGGGGAGAGCGATACCTTGTGTACACGTCCCTCCTCCGGGTACCCCGGTCTCTGAGAGTCCTCCCACGAGCGCTAGAATGGTAGACATCCTGCCTCTCAAGTAGAGTAGTTGTGGTGACGACTGGCGGTATCCAATCGGACGCTTGTGAACTTGACGAAGGAGGTTTCCAGGCATTGGTTTTGGGACCATTCTGTTCCTCGTTCACGTGCGCAGCCTCCTTTCTAACGCAAACTCGCTCTCGCCTGATCTCAAAGTCAAGCTGTTTGCGGACGACACAAGCGTATTACTCAGCTTTGATCGAGCCAGCTTGAGCTACTCAGATATTCGACTCTGCTACTCTGGTTTTTGGAGGCCAACTCCGATGCAAACTATCCTCGCTCAAATTCTGCATACATCGGCTCCGACGCCTCGGTGGGAGGAACTCTTCTTCGCAAGGGTTTCTTAGATCTTCCGTGCAATTCTTAGCAGCCCCAGTCGTACTGTATCTCCGTATCCTCTCAGCATCGCATTTTTACAAACATTCGTCTATCATCACCGTAAGGCAACTCAGCACTGACAGACTATCGTGTCTAGCTGTCTGCTCAGTCCACCAAACCTTACCCCGCTCTCTATCGATAACGGATGCGGTTCTCTCTCAACGCCGCTCCCGCCAACTGCTCATATCAAACTACCAATATTGCTCCCCATGCTTTTCTCAGTTCGTCTTTGCAACGGATGGTTCTTGCTTGGAACAGCTATCCCTATGAGCTTCGTTCCGCTAGCCTATTTTCTCGATTCTAGAGGCTTACTCTCGACCATTTGATCGAAAGACAGGATGCGACCCAGGGCCTGCGGGTCAATCGTAGTGACCATTGTAGAATAATAACTCCAAGTCAAATAAAATGAATAAATACTCAATTCAAAGCTTCAGTTTCGCCGTCCTTTTCTGAAAGTCTATCGAAAGGCTCTCAAGTCCTTCGAATCTTCTCAAATACCTAACAATTGTGTCCCCATCGCATTCAAGAAACTCTTTGCCGATGCAGACAAAAGCTCGGAGATCTCGGCCATTGCGCGGATGCATCATAACTAGAAACGAGTTTGGCTTAAACCCCACCAGGAATTCGCCAGAAGAGGGATTTCGTTGGAAGCGGAAGAAATTCGTTTCAGAAATTCGTTGTAATGGTACCACAATTATCGGATCTTCGTCTTCGTCATCCGAAACTTCGTGCGAGGTCACCTGGAATTCGAAAAATAATCTCCTTACGCCCTCTCCAGGAATTATCCACGGGCTCCGAAGGGAATGAAAGCGAGGAGGGGAACAATCACGCTGCTCCAAACCATGCGTGATATAAGGATACTAAGTATTGAACAATTTGAATCCCGAACTGACCTTGATCACGTCATCTTCGATGAGAGCGTAATTGTCTCGAGTGACTTCAAAGTTGAGTTCACCGTCGAGAAAGTTGAGTTCCAGACTGATTCCTTGGAATCCGTCGAGTTGTTTCATCGAGAAATCTGAGTAGCCCTTGATGAGAGGCACATCGTTGACTACTTGATTCATTTTCATCCGTGCCTGGCAAATCACATCACTACAATCAGAGCAGAGGAGCCACACGAAAGCCGCAGATAAATATTTCGTTGTCATATGGTGTCGCGTGTGCACCTCTCGGAGACTCAGGTACAAGTGACTGCCGATTCGCCGTCATCGTCGCAGTCGCCCATAATAAGGCCGAACGGAGGGACGGACGCACCGACCGACCAACCAACCTGAAACTGCCAGCCTTGTACGTTAGGTGGGAGAGAAAGCGAGCTCTGACACTGGAGCGCCGCGCCGACTGAAAACGTCGCGGCCGGAACGACAACAGTTCAATCACAGCGTGGAATACCATCAGAGCGATACCACTCACTCAGGGAGAGTACTGTCAGCCGTCCTCGATCGATGTTTTCAGAGATAAGTATAAGCAAGCCGATCCGCTCCCGAGATATTGGGCTCAAATTAAGCAGAGGTTCTCGAGGCCGCAGGCGAAGACACAGCGCACGGTGATTCACTAACGCATCCGCCGTGTAAGCACGACAGTTGTACAAATATGCGGTTTCGTGGAAGTCTGAGCCAAGTCGGAGCGTGACTCACCGTTCCAGTGAGAGTTTGGCCCCGTTGCCAGGCTCCGAGGGTACTGACTGAAGCGAGCTGGGCGTAGAGTATCCCCAGGACCTGCATACAGTGGATTATCCCGCTCACGCCCCAGTCACTCAGTCAGTGGGCCACTCACCGAGCTCAGACTTCGCCGAATGTGCGCGGTATCGTCGTCTCGATCGCTATTGCTCGGCGCTGTATCGCCTGTTCCGTAATTATTTGACTTCGGCTTTATCGGTGTTCACGTAACAGTTCGGCCTGGCGACTTCAGGAGTGATCTTATCGGCGTAAAATCCGGTTGGAATCATTATTATGCGTCCACGTGCTCGCTAATAGAATGAACAGTTCCAATCATGAATCATAGGACCGCTGTCAGGAACAATGCTCGGGAAATTATATTATACATCGGACCTCGCTCATCACGGATTCGAGGTCAACATTCCAGACCGCTTCCGTAAGAAGGGCCGGATTCACTCCGCGATTGAATTCTTCAACGAGCGATTCTTCAAAGAAGTTTCACCTGCCTACTAGACTAGCCGAGATTGGCGGGATCTGAGCAACATCCGAATTCCTTAGAAGTCGAACGCAGCCGGCAAAGAATATCAGACCGAAAACGGTGCAAAGAATCACAACCTCGTGTGACCGAGTCACGGCTCGGGGATCTACCGAGTGCTTCGGATCACGCTCCAAATATGTCACTCGACATCTAGGGGAACTTCTACGGTTTTTCAGTTGAACTATTGTGTCCCATGTTTCACTACCGAAGGGCACACCCCTTCCACCTGTCCTCGAGCGCCTATCATTCGATCCCGACCAAGGTGCAGGACCCGGAAATATTTCGGGCTCTCGTATCGCGGACGAGATCGATTGCAAGAGTAGATGGCGGACGGTAGAAGGCGCTAGAGGAATTCGATAGAGCGATCACGGGAAGAAAGGACGTCAACGCCGCGAACGGCTCTCTTCCGGAGGGTCGCACATGGATCTCTGGCCTATGAGACAAAACGGAAATTCGTTGATCGTTTTCAGTGATTTCTCGCGACATCGATCCTGCTCACGGTGGAAAGCGGTGGACAGGTCGCCCTTAAAGAATGTCAACCAACAGAATCGTGCGCTAATGACCCGCTTTCTTCGCCTGACAGGGACGCCGCTTTTTCTGTTGGTTCAACGATACAGCGGAGACGTCTCTCGACATCTCAATTGTCAGTCGACGTTCCAATGGATTTCGATTAGTTCTTCCTCTCCTGGCTGTGAAATGCAATATTGAACACAAGAAGGCAGGAAAAGCTCGGGATAGAGCCCAAGTTACCGAGGAGTCAATCAAGATGATCGAGAGCAGACCACCGGGAGTCCGTCAAACCTACGACCCCATTAGTCCACCTGCCGACCGCAAAATCCAATAAGGAGAACAATGAACCGCTAAGTCGCTCATGTTTACCCGAGGAACGTGTTTGGAGCACCTGCTCGCATTGCGGCTGCGGAGCCTCTCGCTCACGCGCGCAGAGCTTTCGGAAGCGAAAAGCGGCTTAGATTCGCTCTAAGAGGCGACGAACGAAATCGTTTTCGAACGCGGAATCCATCCGTGAAATCTGAGAAGAGAATCTGAAGAGGAAAGCAAAAGGCGCCGAATCAGTCTTCGAGATGCTTGTGCTCGGTAATTGACAGTAGCCGGGGATTGAGGTCTTACAAAGAGCGAACTTTCGCGACTGGAACGGCATCGTGTGTTTGAGGGAGATTCTGACGTTTTCTTATCCTCCGGGCTTTTCTAGAAAGAAGGAGGATGTCTCTCCCACACACTAATCGACAACCAATTGAGGATGGAACTGACTATTGGAGGGCGAGAGAAAAAGTCTTGTCGTTCGCTCCTCTGGCACCGCCGCAAAAACGCGAGACAGCAAAAAAGCCGAGGAGCTCCACGACCGCCGCGACGATTCGATTGAATAAACGCTTAAAGCTGTCCACGTGAAATGTCCACCTCCCGTTCGAGAGGCTGTCTGTTGATGTTCATTGTGGCCGGCAGGAGCGACGACGATTTTCCCGGGAGACCGGATAGATTATCGTTGGAAACGCTCGCGATACCGTCAAGAGCCCATTTGAGGCGGCAGAGCGCTTTGAAAATCACAGCTCTTCGTTTTCCTCATAGAGGAAGGAGCCCCGGATAATCCCTCCGCCCTCGCCGGAGTTCTCTGGGGGACTCCGAGAAGCTGACTGAGTGCCTCACGTTCGCACAAGATGCGTTCGATTATGCGGCGCGCTGGATTACACCGTAGTCGATGTCTAAATCCGTAGGAGATATGAAAGCATTCTCCCGCGTTGCCGTTCCCGCTCTATTTCTGGGAGCTCGCTTCAAAAACTACGTGCTACGTACCTCCAACGCCTACCTATAGCTTCGGTAGTTCGTAGCGTTTTCGATCTTCACGCATACGTTGGATTCCATAGTCAAGAAAATGAGAACTCCCGGTCTTACCTGGCTATTGGTTCCGCAGTACTCGCTCAGTGATGGGCGACGGTAGACCGGATCCGTCACTTGCTGGAGCAGCTGATCGCTGACCGCCGCCGCTTCCTTGCTCCGAGCCTATCCTTCCTGTTCCAGGGGACACAACAACAACAAAGACGCAGATCAGAACACTCCGGCGATGGGTTCCGAGCAAGGGATTTTCGAGGTTCCTGAATGAGCAGCAAGAACATCAGACAACGACGAAAACACACAACGGACTATACTTTTTTCCTCGAATCTCTCCCCTCGCATTTATTTACGCACGCTGCAGGACCGCGCATGCGCCGTCGCAGCTTTGCTGCGCTCGCTCTGCAGCAGCCTGTCGGTGGTGAGAGATTCACGCGCCGGCGGCTTTTTTGACGTCGGTGGCGGCGAAACTTTTCTTCTTTCTCTCTCTGTCTCTTTATCTCGCTCTCTCCCACTCTCTCTCTTCCTTCTCACGGACTCGAGCCGTCGGTGGCAAACACCGGCGGAATGACTCACGGAAGGGCCTCACGAAGTGTCTGAAAGGAAGAAGAGAACGATTCCGCGTCTATTCACAGGGCTCGGAAGGCACTTGCTCGACCTGGAGCACGCTGCATGATTGATCATGAACGAGAAGCTCATGTCGGATGTCGACGACGATGAGTAAAATCATCCGTAGGGACAGTACAACGGATTCGAGGTGGTGTACACATCAACGGCATCGAGAGCCCGTCCAGGTACCCGCGGAGCGCCTCGAATTCCCTTGAGTGCGGGACCGTGGCCGGAAGGGAGTCCCCAGAGATCCAACGACAACTTTCGGCTCCGGAATCCGGAACCCTATCAAGTCAAGGCTCATCTTTCGCGAAACTCACCAAATATGTTCATATGTAGAAATTAATGATGCTTTTTCCCTGAGCGAGCTGAACGCCCGAGCCGTTTCCGGTGAATCTTGCTCCTGGGTGATCTTGCTCGAGGCTCGAGGCTCCCTCTTCATGAATCCGACTGCGAGCTGTGAGCGTCCTCGATTCTCGTTTGATACTTTCGTGTGTCGGACAGTCTCGGAAACTTGTTTTTGGTCCAAATATCCTCGCTCGGGCCAATGGAATCTCGGATGGTCTATCCATGGTATATTCTCCTCTTTATAGCCCCAACACACATAACATGTCCATCGGATTTCTTATCATAGGTGGAGCGGGTTTTTATTTTTATCTGACTGCGGTGCTCCGAAGAGAGCGTATCTCCATCCATAGATTTTCATTCGGGCCCATTCGTTTATCGGATGTGATTTTGCGGATCTGCCGGATCTACTCGCTCTTGGCTGTCCACATCGCTTCACGATGAATCCTTCTGGCGTTTTCTTACCGAAGATTCATCGGCTCGAGACGGTAAACTTATGATCGACCGTCTGTCAATCGGATGATTCCCTGTAGAGGTGGAGCCCTTCGTCGGTACTAATATACGGTGGTGCTAAGAAGGGTTGTCGGTCGCCACAGCCGGTCTCTGGACAGTCTGACAAGGGTTCAATCTCGAATCTACGTATCTGCGGTTCACTGATGGGGGCGGAATCCTATGCTCATGGAAGCTCGCTAGGAACACTGTTCTTCTCTCGTCATCTCTCCTCCGAGCAGAATATTCTCCGGTGCTAAGAACTACGACCCATGACCCTCACAGCCCTCGACCTCGGCATCAGGAAGGGTCCGGCATACAGACAACTTCGTTCGTCGAGGAAGGGGTATCTCCTAGCGCGGTCCTGCTCCGGGGTGAGATTCAGCTCTGACGACACTTGAAATTTCCGATAAGAAGGCTCATATTCCGTCAGTCGCGCTGATTTCTGAGGGAAAATGCACAGTCTCGGAGTGTACGTGAGCAGTCAGCTGAATCGATACAGAAAAGTACATCGTGTTGGAATAGCCACAGATATTTCCTAGATGGATTCCGCTGACCTCTCGAACCCCTGTCTCAACGTCCGAGAGTCGAACCGTTCCGTTCTTCGAAAGTGCAATTGTGCGTCCGGCGGCGTGGAACGTGCATTTTCTATTGACTTCTGTGGACCTCGCCGAGACACGCGCGAGAGAATTCTTGAGTGCTTCGAATTCGTGAGTATTTCGATCTGAAACGATACTCGATCTATCTCGCGGCTCCCGAGGTCTCGTGCGCAATCGTACGGTGTGAGCATGAGAGAATGCTCTCCCCCGCCATCGTTGAACGGGACCAAACGTTGCCACCGATCGAGGCTACGCCTCTTCCAAGGCGATGCTATGGGGGGAAACCCGGGAGCTCCGAAGCTTCTCGAACCTCAACTACGGAACCGGCGAGATCTAACGCTCTCCGAGGACGCAGATTTCGGCAACCCCGGTATAATTCCACCGATTTCCCGCTCAGTTTGTATCATCCATACGTTTCCGGAAGGGAGCAATGGGCATTTCAGCGATAGGATACGCCACCTATGCTGGACGCCTTGTCCGTTATAGAGCCGACCACAGCAGCCATATAAATGTGTCAGTTACAAACATTTGAAAAAGGGAGAGAAGCGTTGAGCGCGCGCTTAATAGCATATAACAATTTGCATGTGGAAGGCGTACGTAAGACATTCCTTGAGGGAAACTTCGCTATTTCTGCAGAAGCTGGTCGATGAACGATGTCGCACATGAAACGGAGAAGCATTGCTGCTCTTCCTTCGCACTTGTCGAGCCTTATCAGCTCGAGCTCGAGCCAAGCTTGGAGTGGCGGAAGTTCCGTTGCTCAGGAGATGTCTGATGATTTCTCTGAGGCTGCCATGGATGAGTTCTTCGAGAATCGTGGGTAAGTCCAATTCCGCTAAGCATTGAGTTTCTCTGAAGATCGATCCCAAAAGGTTGTAGACGCTGAGGTGAAAGCAGACGTAACTCCGTCCAGTTAGCATTCTTGATCGCGGTTTGCAGATCGATAGGCTTGACTCCTGTTCCCGTTTTTCGCATGGTTCCCTTCGGATATTCATTCGAGATATTTGTGTTCTGATTTTCCTCCAGAGCGTTTTCCTCTTCTCACTTCCTTGAAGTCTTGTTCCCACAATGTTGCTGCAATGGCTCGTGGTGAGGATTTGTTCAGGAAGCGTGCTGCGTAGGAATGATTTCCGTAATTCGCGGATTCGGAATGCAGCCATAAATCCCCTGACCTGGGAACTCTGCTGGAAGAGCCATTCAGCAAACGACGGGGAATTCAAGGCTAAAATCCAAAAGTCGATGGAAATGATTTCGGAACCGATAGAAGAGTCTGATAATCAGGATTCGGGTATTGTGCGCGAGGAGTTCATTGCGGGGTCCGAACAGCAGACTTGAATTCGCCGACGCAATCAACCCTGTATCACTCTCTAAGTTCGCTGATCAAGCTCCGGATGCACCATCATAGCTCCACGATGATCGTAGAGACTCCCTTTGTGTACCATAATCGCGCCCTCGTCTCTCCATCTGAAGCTACTCTCCATTCGCAGGCTCTTCAGGTACCACTTGCCGGTGGACGGCACGTGTCTTTTCCGAGCCGTTTCTGAAGCACTTTTTGGATGTCAAACCAAACATCAGGCGATCCGCGAGACCTTCCTCAAGTACATGGAAACGAACCAGAAACAGCTCTCGAAAGATTTCGATCGCAACCAGAGCGCTGATGAGCAAGTCCAAAGCATGCGTGACATCCAGTACCCCAGCGTAATGTCCGAAATGCACATCTTGTCAAAAATCTATAAAGTCGACTTCCTCGTCTACTTCTTGCCAGAACCGAACCCAAAGAACGTTACGCGCGGCAGCCACGAAAAGAAGGTTCGTACTCCTCGAAAGTTATGGATCTGCCGGACTTTATTTCTGCCCGATGTGGAGGATCTCGACAGGATTTGAGATTTGTCCTTTCTCTCCCACACCTTCAGATCGTGCTCTGTTGGTCGCACAGCAAGCAATACGACCTCGTTTACACAAGGCAACACATCGAAGCACTGAGAGTGACACAGGCGATCGTATACGACGTATTGTACAAAGATGTCTTCGAGCTGGGATCGGACGAGGTCGATTTCGCCGTCAACCAGATGCTCTACGAGAAGGATAACTTCAAAAACAAGCGACATCTCACCTTCACGCAGTGGTGCAATTCGGTGAGATCATTAGGAAAGCCTCCGCACTTTCTCGGCGGCGGACGAGCGTGATGGAGATCTTTTATTGCGTGTGCATGCGTGTCCGAGGTAAGTTTCGCCGGATCCTCAATCAATTCGTCACGACAGGTCACTGAGGGGGAGGAGAAAGACGTGCCTCAGCTCCCGGAAAATAAGGGCGAACAAATTGTTCTGGCAGTTCGCTGCGGAGTCCCACCATTCCCATTCAAGGTATCTCCCCCGACTGCTGAGTTTATTTTATAGCGCCCGGTGTCCTTTGCGATCGACCACGACTAACTAACAATAAGCCCGACCGGAACCGCTGGTCAAGATCTCGGCTGCCCTCCGGACTTGAACGAGGCTCACCCAATTTAATCTTGGGCTAATCTTCCTGAAGGTGGCCAAGTGCTTGGACCCCAGAATACTTCGAAACGTCGAGTATCTGAATTGGTGTGAGGAAAAGCGTGACGCTTTCCGATCAGGGAATCTCATCACACCCGCATTGGACTCGGGGGTCAAATGCACAGCGCGCATTGGCATGAAAGAACACACGGGATTCGTCCAATCTATCGACAGGAAAGCCGACTCGGCAGAGGTGAGTTTCGACAACTTGGACGCCTTGAAACAGCATCACCTATCTCTTGTTTTGCATTCCGTTTTTTTGCCGAAGGTGTTCCTGCAGAGTATCGGAGCAGTTCGCACTATTCCGCTGTGCCAGATAGAGAGTTCGCCGGTTAAGAAAGATCAACGATGTGGTAGAGACGAGGACGATATCGGCAAAATCAAACCTTTCACTTCCACCCCCATGAAGAGCCGCCGGAGTCTGAGCACGGGTACGTCGACACCTTGCAATGGAAGCTTAAGCTTCCCCGAGTCGAGTTTTCGTATTTCACTTGACAGCCCTCCTGAATTGCAATATGACGGACCGTAGACGCCGTCCGCGGGACTTCGGACCTCACAGTGTTGCTCAGGACCAAGAGAAACAATTTTCGGGGCTGTTTTTCTTCAGGAGACGCGATCACGAAGGACCAGTCGAAGGCTCTGAGTGAGCGGTTCAATGTCTCCAGAACCAACAGAGAGAGGACGCTTAGGCAAATTCCCGAAATGAGCGACTACGAATACAACTCTTACGATGAAGTTCATCAGAAGGGCAAGAAACATGGACGCAAGGGTGAGTCAACTCCTACATCCATTCAGTGTTCGGCCCGGATTGAATGGACTGAGTCCTAAGGATTAGTAATCAATGATCAATCTTCGGCGCAAAATCGAGGGCCTGCAATCCGGTCTCATTCAGTTTCTCCGAAGGTTCTCTCCCTGCTGCTCATCTGTCCCCAATTACGAGCAGTCCGCCGACGACATATGTTCAGAGCTCACCTCCGATCGCGATGATCTCGACTCCGATGCCACCGGTGATTGTTGACGTATCTGGCCGCTACCATGTCGGCGTCTCGTCCCCGACAGATGCTCCGTTGTACAGCCCACCGTCCCACTTCGTGCGCTCAAATTCCGAGCCGTACCCAGTGAGCGTCCCTGTGGTCCCTCTGACGGAGTTCAACCCGTCGGTTCCTCCTCCAACATTGCACAGCATGCCAAATGAAATTGATCCTCCGGATGAGGTGGTCGAGTTCGGATTCTCTTTCCCGGGGCCTCCGGGTAGCTTCGATGCACCTTCTGTCGGCAAAATTGAGCGGAACGATGGCGCCGATCTGCCAAGAATGGACGTCCTGCGGTGAGCTTACGAGTCTTAGAACCAGGATGGGGCCCGAGAGGTCCGGAGCTGTGCTTATGACGAAGGTGAACGTTCTCTTGTTCTCATGACGCTTCTCGCTTCCAGATATTTCTTCAATCTCGGTGTGTCCGTCTACCGGATGCGCAAATCGGCTGAAAACAGCATCGTCGACGACTCGCTCCTGCAATCATCGACTCCGAACAACTCGTACTCGATAACGACGCCGATCTCTGGTTATTCGATCGTGCCGCAACACAGCGTAGTCTATCAGCCAAGCTACCCACACTTTTACTCGTTGGTGCCATCGCAACAGCAAGCCCCCTACGCCGAAGTTCCGACCTATCAGGTCGGATCCATAATGGCAACCAAGCCGATGTCATGAGCTTTCGTTTCTTTCGTCTGCGTAATGCACTGGGAGGAATCACGTAAGGTGGATGGGTGTCGTGACGGTCGATTGCGGTTTTCGATCTGGATCGAGCGGGGTGGGGCGAGAAAACGGTACCATGGAAAACGTGACTCTCAAAGTAGCTCACTCCTTGAGACTAAGATGAGTAAAGTATGGCCCTTCATTCTTTCGTCTGTTGTGCACCATGACGTCGGCGCAGCAGACGCCCGTTTTAGTGGGGATTCAACGAAAACGGCGGGGCTGGCAGCGGAGCCCCCTTGCCTCTATACGAACCCGAAATCGATGCAGTTTGGATACGAGATAGAAATATCCACGGCATGGAGAGGAGTCCGGAAATCGCTTCGCTAAGATTAGGATGAATCGATGTCCGCTTTGAGCTCCGCATCGCTCGATATACTTAGTGGGAGATGCTTCTGTAGATACACATACCTATATATTACGAGCTCTATTGATCTGCAAAACACGGACGCCTATTTAAAATCAATAAATCTAAGATGTTTCGCGGATAACGCTATCTACCCCTTCATACATACAGAGATACGAGAGGGGGCGTAGGCCTGAGTGAGTCGCCAGATTAAGCATCGGAATCCTACGGAAAGAGATAGATACTCTCCGTTTTGTTGACGCTTGCGGAAGTCTTCGGGGAACGCGGCTACTCATGGAAAGATGGAGTCATGAACACGATAATACGTTGAACCCAGCTGCCTCCGATCCGATTTACTTCGTGGGGAGGAGGCGACTCGTGGAGAGTTTCCGTAGTCGATAGACATCGACGCGTGGTTTCGCTACGAATAAGCTCTCTGTCGCGAACTCATGGCTACCTATTCACAATCTAGATACCACATATCCTATCACAAAATGTCTACGATGCATCTAATTGAGCCGTGCGATAGCTTTGCTTGTGGCACATGGGATAGTGATGGGATGGACGGGATCCGGTCCGTGGCGGGGAAATCTTCCCCCAGAAGGGGAAACCGAGGCGGACGCGAAGTTTGCACTCATTCCCTCGGCAAGAGGAAACGGCTGCGGCACGGATCGCCTCGTGCTAACCTGTGTAGCAACTCTCGGAAACTCCAACTGTCTCGATCGTCGGTGATGAAATCGTTCGGTTACGAACGAGAGATTTCAAGCGAGATTCTAAGAACGCATCGGAGGTATTTGAATTCCTTGCGGGAAAATTTCGATGAAATCGCGGTATGTCCTGGAAGGAAAATAGGAAATTCGTGGAAAACCCCGAAACTGCCTTGAAGTCGCTGAAAATCGCAAAATCCGCTCCTTATTTGCGAAGAGAGCAGCTGCCGGGAACGAATAGGTTTCCTGAGGTCGATTCTTACAGCGAATCTCGATTCCCGATTCGGCCGTATTTCCGGGCTCGTGGCCAAAGGCCGGGTCCCCCGGGCCCTCTTGAGACTCAGAAGGCCGCGAATTCTCGGAGCCTGATCCCACGATTCGGGAGGAGATTCGTTCGAGTTGTTCGAAGGTCAACCAATTATCGAGTTTGGGAGTGACAAACGCGGGAATCGCTGAAGACCCTCGGGAATATCAAAGGAGCCTTTTCCCCAGGCAAAGGATTACCTTTTGCGCGATCGCTATCCCATCCCATGATCGGAATCAGAGCCGCCTCTGCGGGAAGCGAGCTCATGGCGCATCATGCAGATGATCATATACCTCACCGCTGCGAAAAACTCACCTCCCCACCCATCGGTTGACAATCGGATGTAAGAACTCTTAACTCGAACATGAGTCCTAATCCAAATCAAGGAGAGCTCTGTAGGACTTCATAAACATTCATGGCGGGAATCGGGGGAAGGGCGCGCAATCAATGCACGGGCGAAGCGTGAATGGGTGGGAGCGCCTCACCCGTGGATGCACATCGGAGGCAAAGACAATAGACGGGCGAACTAACACACTCCTACAGGAGCGATAAAAACTTGACGCGATCCTCATCGTGTCAGACAGGAGAGAGCAACACGGCTGGAGCCTCATTCGGGAGACCTCAGCGTACCACGATTTACGTCAATCACTAATATGGCAGGCCCTAGGATGGTTGTGTGACGCCTTGAGATATCCGAGGCTTTCTCGCTTCCACATATCTTCAGCGGATACGAATCCCGATACCTCGAGTTCATCGATACTTCGGCGACCACAATACAGCCGACCGCGGGAGCGATTGCTTAAGGACTACCGTAGTTTGGGACGCTTCCCGAGGAGTGGCGTATGGGCACGCATGCCGTTCCTGGACGGAAACTTCCGAGCCGACGAACGGCACCATTGTCGTGCTCTAGGACCTCGATTAAGGACGTGATGATTCTTTGCTCATCTTGCTGAATTATTTGATGCCGTTTCCATCAGGTTGGAAAGCGTCGGGGGGTATGGACATGGGACTTGAAGGGTGTCAATTCTATGAACGTTCGTCTCTCAGCTATCCAACTACTTGCACAGGCGTAGGCAAGGTAGAGATTGTCTAATTGATCCACCGGCAAACATGAATTATCCCTCCATGAGAGAAAGGAACAATTTTCTTGAACGGCTGTTGTCGAACCTTCATGGTCCACGGGCTTTGCTGCCTGGAGATAAACCAGGATGAGCCTGAGCAAGACGACCTTTGATAGTCCATCATCGAGCACATCGGGAAAACCCGCTGGGGACGGGTCACTCGATTTTCAGTGGACGACATCTCATCATCTATCACTAATGAACTCCCGCTTGAAAATATTGTCGTCGCGTTTTCTTCCTAGTATCAAAGCCTCTCAATCATATTGCATCAAACGATGTCTAGTATGCCGACAAATCTAGAGCGCTCCCCTTTGACCGCTGGGCTAAGGGACGTGATTCCGGGAGTTTCTCCTGTGATGAGTGAGATCCTCCATGCTTTCCCGGGGTTGCGCAACAGGTTCTTCTCCGCAAAATCTCCTATCGGGGTCGAGACTCAAGACTCACTGCACGATCACTACGCTCGGGAATTCTCTCGTTCATCTCTGCTGACAGACAAGCCTTCCCAGGAAATGCGTCGCGGGGTTCGATCTATGAAGAGTCCCCCATGCATATAATCAAGTTCTAAAAGAAGAAATACACAGCAAGAGAAAAGCGGAATGAGGCAGCAAACAAGCCGATTCTACTATAGATGGCGATGCGACGGAATGCTTAGGAGCCCCAAACCGCGAAAACTGTGATTCGAACACTGGATCTCGAAGCCAGAGATCTGAGAGGATTCCGAACTCAGACCCCGTGGAAGATAAATCGCCCACGAACTTAGACATCGGAACCTCTCCATTGCTTGATGACTCTCGGCTCAAGAAACGAAATTGTTAGTCCGATTCATCGGGTCGTGTGATAAAAAAATGAGTCGATTCACTGCCCTCAGACGTGGGTGCACTATCTCTGGTGATTCATATCCTTCGACGGAAGGTCCATTCGGACAGCTTCTCTTACTTCCGTGAAAGGAGCTCCCATATGCTCCTAGATTTGATCACTCCTGACTTGAAAGTCCCCAGACGGCTCTATGCGCCTTTCCCACAATAATTTTCAAATGTTCGAGCAGGAAGGTTCTCGAAATACTCATAGCGAGGGCGACGTCATCGGCGCTCGTCAAGGTCATCTGAGACATTGAAAACATCCGAAGTCGTCCGCGGAATAGAAATCAGGCCGAGTCGAATTGTCGGAATGAGAGGGCTTAGCGGCTGCAGGGTGACATTCACTCGGAGCAACAGCTCCTTCTGAAGTCTGTTGGGAAAAATAGTCGATCCCCGCGATGCTCAGATCATCTTGCATCGAGGTAAGACGCATGGCAGACGAGAGAGCTTATGCCGCGCTATCGATCTCTGACTGGTTTCTGTGTCTTTTAGGAATTCACATCCTCGTTAAAATCCTGGTATTGACCAAATGTAGTAGATAATTGAGCTCCCAAGCGAAACAATCTCCAAAAAACACATTCTTAGAAATAATTGCGGACTCAGGAGGAGATTGGAGCTTAAGACCGCGGCGACATGCGACCTTGAAGTCGCAATCGGAACTCGACTATGTCATAATCTGTGGACCGGAGTTTTTCCTCTCAAGCTAACCCCGCTTGGGCTAAACCTCCAAGATGTCTCTGCTTCCGCTGTTCGGAAGATCAGTCCGAAATAGATCGAGTCGCGGGCCGAGAGAAAGACGCCAATCTATCCTCTGTCGTCATGTACACAGCTGTCTTTATTGATGGAATCGGGTTTCACTTTTGTTCATCGTGCTATTCCTTTCGCTTCCCGTTTGTAGTCTGCTCGCTCAATTTGATTCTCCCGATACCATGGATCAGTATTATCTCACAGTCAAACTCCGACGATTCGAAGGTTCCTACACTGTTATCTTGTGGATCTCTTTGATCTTCTTCGCTTTGTATTCGATGTATGAAACATACAGTTGGCAGCAGATACCAGCGTACGATCTACATATCTATCGTAAAATACACAACTCTCCATCGGTACTCTCGCGTCCTCCATTGTCTCGCGATATCTATCAGTCCGCCAGTAATTTCAGCGTTCGTTCATTTGGTGAAGAATTTCCATTCTCGAGCGGCAATGAATTCCCATGAGTCGGGACGCCGTTTCCCCTGGTATAACTCCATCAGATGCGAATGAGATGAGACCGGGAATAAGAAGCCAGCCCTGACAGACACTGATTTTGGGAACGAGTTCCGCGAATTTAACCAATAGGGAACAACATAGAACTCCGATTCCGACATGATGTGACGACGAGGAGAATCGTCGGATTTTTTTCATGTTGCACCGTCAGATCTAATGAATTAATTGTCTCGCTCAGATCCTCTGAGCTTTTTTCCGCAAGACAATGAGATACTCAGCCTCGACGAACCGATGGGTGATCGGAAAAATGATGATTGCACATTTGAATGCTACGACTGATGAAACTTCGGGCGCATTCCCCACCCACTGCTCTGATGAATAATTATGGACTATGCATCGACTGACGGATGATCACATGAATTAATGGATGGATGCATGGATGGATGGGTAGATAGATAGATAGAGCGAGTTCTGCGAATAACTAGCTCGGTATATTTTCTACATCACTTGACTTCCTCGAAGCATCCGAAGAGCCCCTGCTGGTTCCCTTCGCACGGGAAAGGTTGAAATAGGAGTTTCTCCTTCTCGACTCCCTACCGCTCAATTCAGCGCGGTCCAAGAGCGACGAAATCGATGTTGAAGTTTTGTCGACTTTGGTACTTATGAAGTCAGCCCAACTCGCAATGATCCCATTCCCCGATTCGAGTATCACCGGATGGATGTCTCCTTCGAGGACTGAGGCGAAGCTCGGAGTCGGTGGGGCCCTCTGCTTGTGGAATTGTGGTGCCCCATCTGATTCGGTTCCTTCGTATGGGCTCTCGATCAGCTTCAAATATAAATAATACCGAATAGTGTTCCTCTCTTCAGTAACTCGGAAACTGACCTCCGGTTTTGACCACAGCTTCCTCCCTGCGCGTGATGACTGATGGTCGCCGTCGCTGAATACCGAGCCCGTCTGCCGCATGGAGTCATATGTTGCGGGAAGTATTTCCCAGAACCGAGAAACGAATATTTGACTCCAAGACAAGAGAAGCTCCGGGAAATGATTATTGTTGTACCATGGCGACTCTTGTCTTCCTCTCTGGTAGATCCACATAAGCGAGCCCGGGCGCCTCTCGAGACGACTCCTGCGGTGCCTGTTTCACGGTCTCGATAATTCCCCTGGTATCCAGCTCGTACGTTCAGGTTCACGAATACATATGTATATTGGCAAGAGACGAGTCGGAGGAGGAGGACCATACGGGAGGCTTCAGCTTCGTCGGGGGCATAGTCTGCGGCCGCCAACGATGCGCGAGATTTTGGTGACCTTTCTTTCATAAGCGAGATGAATCCTTAGACAGACTTGCAAGAGTTGACTTCGAAGACAGTTACAGCTTGGCAGTTTCGTTGCACAGAGTGTATTCCGTCGGCATCGACGGTACATCGGTACCCGTAGCCAGGGAAGATCGCGGCGTAGTAACTGTGGGGGAGAAAAAAATTATCGATTTTTTTTTCCGAGATTCCGGATAGGGATCTCTGATTCCTAACAAGCTCAGCGTTGGTGAAACTCTAGTGTCATGGAATGACCAGCAGCACGCTGTGACATAATTCTCATTTTGGCAATCTGTAGACACACATGAATATCCCTTCAGCTTTGGCCTCGCGAGGCAATCTCTGTGTGAGTCAGCTTATCCAGAGTAGTAACAGCTTCCGGATACAGAGGCGAATAGTAAGTAAAAGGCTCCATAATAATCCGTTGTTTACGAGTCTCGTAACCACAAGCCACGGAGGCATACTTTGTGGTTGACGAACAGAACCTTATGGTATTTCCTACGACGAACAGATTCTCTTCGACGTGACCCCTCGATAGCATGACCGCCCCCGCTTGCATGCGGGGTTCGGCTACCCCCGCGGACAAAATAAAACAGCAGTCTATATCGCAGTAGAGAAGCATGCTGATGAGAACCTACGTTTGTCGGAATGTGGTAGAAGACGCCTTAACGCGGTGGGACAGTAGATACAATGACTCAAGAAGCGTTCGATCCTTCTTCGAAGTTCTGTAGGCGCTGCCAAGGTGTATATCACTGGGTTGAGGGCTGAGTTGATTGGAAGTACAAAAACCACCACCCAAGCGTATACGTCAGCTGAAAAAGGATATATATATGATTTCCAAAGATACCATTATTAATAACCTTGGGGTAAAGGTGGAGCTAGGAAATCATGGAGTTTGGCCGGACGATGACGTTTCCCGGGACACCTGATACGAGCTCGGTCGAAAACAAGCTATAACATTGAATCCTGACGGTTCGCCCAGCTGTTTCCTTATCAGAGGGAAACGAATCCTCGTGGCTGGAGGTAGAGGCACAACGAAAAATAACCCGTTGGAAAAGTACGTGTTCAGATGTCTTGCCACGGTTCCCAGGTCGAGCCGATGCTCTCCCTAGAGTTCCATCTCATTGAGCTAATCTCGAGCGCCCTTCGTCTCCAACGAATGATATCAGTCTGCACTGAAATCAAGCGAGAAGAACAACGACAAAGACTTTCTGTGTGCCCTTCCTCGACCTCCCGCTACACCTCTGGAGCCTCTGGCGAAACTGTTCAAGTGTTCCTTAATAAAAACCTTCCAGGCCACAGGGGCAAGAGGTTTGTCTCGATTTCCCGTCGCCGATTGGCTCAAGACCGTTTGGAGCGTGCGGTAGAATGCCACGATAATTGCGGGGAAGATCTAATTCAGAGAGAGCTCCTCTGATCCGGATCCCTGATCGACGAACGATTTTATAACGGATCGGAATCTTTCACGGCGTCAGGCAAAGGAACACGACATAAATTCGTCAGGGTAATGACTGAGATTCAGCTCGCGGAGCGTTAAGGTCATGGAGACGATCCAGCATGATGTGTAGAAACAAATTTCTCCTGCTCGAGCGAGTCATTTCTCCTATCGTCGGGCTCACTCGACAATTATGTCATTCAATAGACGGGAGTTCGACATTTCGCTTCTGGGCGAGGTTCCTTAATCACTGTCTATCAGTCCCCGCTTGCGAGAAGGAAGCAGATGGACAGAGTATCCATTCTGCGGGAAGATTCGCATCGGCTTGCACTCTACCCGTTCTCATGATGGATCGATCAGGGATCGAGCATTCCTGTCGCTTGGCTTGGCAGAAATCTTCTTCCTTCATGGACCACGCGGTCTCATAATTCATTATCGATCACTATACTGTACCATACGGTCCATTATTATTTGCTCGTTCGATCGCTGGGTTTTTTTGGGAATCAAAACTGGGACTCTGCATTAATGGGATGCCGACTTACGAGAAATTTTCACGTTGCACAGAGCAGCCAGTTTGATGACGATTATCGGAATCCAACAGAGGCAGTCCGTGAGAACGATGAGGAAGAATCGGAACGCTAGTACTGAATCTTCGCGTCTCTTCAAGGTCACCGGACGAGCATGTTGCCGGTCGTTGCGTATTATAACGAACATCCATGCGTAAAGCATGCTAATCAACAGCATCTGGAAGTAAGTAGTGAGGCTTAAACTCCGATTTCGGACCCGGAATCGGGCCTTCGATATCTCAAACTCAGTCCCTGAGTGAATCCGACCGTTCGCTTTGGGGAAAGCGACTGCCCAGGTACCAGAGGAAAAATCGAGAATCACATCGGTTTCGAGATGCTCCGATGCCGGAGGGCGTCGACTCGGATGTTTGACGCTTTTGGGAGGAAGAAAAACTATAAGACCACGTAGAGAACAGGATGTCGTAAAGGTTTCCAAGCCGGAAAAAATGCTTCATCTCCTGGCGTTGATCCCTTCCTTCTCGCTGGGAGCGGCGACGAGCTCCAGCCGCCAATGTCCTTGTCGACTAGCGCCGCCGGGATCGACCTGAATCGCGGTATGTCTCAAATTTCTACCGGTCCAATCCTCGGCAACAGTGTCGTTAGACGCGAAATGCGTCGCTTCCAATTCGCCGGCCACTCTAGTCGAACGTCAGGATGACGGAATCGGTCAGTCGCGTCTGCCATCGATCGAATCGGAGGGAAGTCTAACCGGTAGCCTCTGCTTGCTGCAAAAACGTCCACTGCACTGCGCGTCGGAAAGCACTCTTTGCGGAACTCCCGGAATCCGTATCCGCTCTGATATAATTGTCTGCTGTCACGGGCTTCATCGGAGATCTGATAAGTTCCCGGTCTGCTTGAGAAATTGCGTGCGTTGCGTTCAGTTAAGTTCGACCGGGCGACCTCTTATAGACAGCTGCTCAACGACGAGCCAGTTTCCACAGAGTATCAGTTTCGGTCCCTGGCGTTTCTTACGAGGAATCGTCAGATGCCCGTCATTTCGAGGCTGATGAATGGGGGAAGTAACGCTCGCCGCCACCATTTTTCTGATTCCTAAGTCTGGAGGGACCGTTAGAAGTTGGAAACCAGTCACCGCTCCACTGCACAATATGCTCACAGAAAGCACCTAGTAGTTCTTTTGAGATGACATCGCTCCTGCCTGTCCCGGTCGCTACCCTCATCCTGACCGAACGAGAGCCAGCTAGCATTGTGATGGATTTCCATGATGTTTCATTATGTGTTTGTTCGCCTCTGCCTCTGGCGGAGCGCCGAGGCACGGCTGACACAGGACCTTCGACACGCCCGTTGACCTGCTCTGCTAAATCTTCCCGCTTTACAGGCCCAATGGAATCAATACCAGAAGCTCCCTGGCCCGCTTCTGAGCGTCGTTTCGAAAATAGTCCTGCATCCTCGGCCGCTTGGCCGGAGAGAACCATCCCAAGGGTATAGTGATCCAACGGAGCGAATCGCAATTTTTGAGCTCTGGTAAATCTCAGATTCCACGCTCAGAACAGTTAGACAGAGAAGACTAGGGAGTCGTACTCCCGAGCAAGCCAAAGGAAAATGATTCCCGGATCCCCAGGATCCCTGGGAACCCTGAACGACCGATGTTTCAACCCCTCGACCTCGGATCTGAGATCTGCGATTGAGCTCACCACTCGAAGACCGCGAAATGATTCCGTTGTACGCTCGACTCCGCGTCGAATCCACGGAAGCTGCGGAGTCGGGGGCGGAACCCCGTGGGAGTATCGCAGGAATCCGCCGCGGCGCAACGTCGAGGATTCAGTCGTCCTCTTCTGACGTTTCTTGTCCCCTTTCCGTTCCTCGAGATCGATGGCATGTCGCTCAAAACGGGTCGCCACCGCTGCCCAGCATTCTGACAATGGGTTGGCCTATAAACGAAAAACTGCTTTCCCCTCTGGGACCCCAGTTTTTTTACGCATCTACGCTCTCGTCTTTGCGATACGGCTATCGCTGTCGACGAGAGTTTCATGCGACTGCCGTGAGAGCAGAAAGGTCATCGCCTTCGAGATCCTGGACAACTAGCACAGTATGACAGTAACATTGAACGAAGAGTGGACGGACAGGCAGACAGGAGTGCGGGTCAACGTTTTAATATGTGTTCGGCAGAGAAAGTGCAACCGGAGCCGAGTCCGGCCCGGCGGACGGACGTCAGGAGAGAAAGCAGCCAGGCGCAAGTCCACGCCATTCTGGCCGCTAGCCTCCGGGATGACGAATCTCATATCAGAATGAAGGACTTCAAATCGACAACTCGGGTTTTTCCCCCATCCAGATGAAGCTTGATTCTCTCCACCGAGACTTTCCTCTCTGACCGATCGCGATTCTCTCAGATCTCGCGTCGAGGTCATTGATCCGCTCTTCATCAAGAACTATCCGAGTCAGAAAACATTGGAAAAAGTTTTCCAGCCCACTCGCCACACAGCTGACTCAATAATATCTGACGTCGCGACAGAGACGGAAATAAGTTTGTTTTTGGGGAATTTCCGATCTGGAAAACTGCACCACCAGCTGACTCTCTGCGGCTGGACTGGAATTCCTCTTCGTCTCCGTCCTCCACAATTATCCGGCATGGATTGTGTACGCGGTGATAACTCGATTAGAACAGTGCACGAGAAGCTCCGGGGAGCTCTGGATCATGAAGGCAGCTCGGAACATCATCATCCGAAAAAAAATCGGAGCGATCGCTATTCGCTCCGAATTTATTTTGGAGGGTGTGAAAGGAAGCGCCGAGGCGGGAGCCGAAATTCAACGGGCCAAACAAACTCGGAAGCCAGATATGGGCGCCCGGCGGGTCGACGCGACGACGTGAAGAGCGGAGAACAACGTCATGCTAATGAAGGCCCTTTCGACCCTTCTGACAGGAGCTCATCCAAGCAATGGTGTCAATGTAATCTGAGCGATTCCCACAGAGAGGCCGAAGGTGCGATGGGACAGAAAAATTCCCGGATAAGGCGCAGTCGTATCGGTATCCTAGTATCGGGATACAGCTGCTTCTAGTGCAGTGACCCTCGGCACTGGTGTCCTTGTCTGTCTCCGAAAGGGTCCGATAAGAAATGCAAGGGTATCGATCGCGGTCTGATCTGTGAGAATGCAGCCCAATGCCGCGCGGTGATGAATCGGGAGCCTCGAGGAGACCATTCACAGACAAAGACGAGTGCACAGCTCGGATCAGATCCGCTACTCTGCACCCTTTTCGGTGGCTCCGAGCGACCCGCAATCGAAGCTCGAAATCTCCTCAAATCTCCTCCCTTATGGTACTTTGTTCATTCAATCATCGAGTTGGACTCACCGCGGCGAGGTTGATCCCGAGGAAAACAAGGGCAGAGTATTGCCAGCCCAGAGTGAATGGATCATCGATGTGAAGCGGGAAACAGAGTCCATTCGAAGAGTAGAATGAGGGCTGAGGCCAATGGAAAACCGGGTAAAGCGCCAGAAGGAACCCAGTACACCATACTCCCACTACGCACCAGCGGGCTGCTGTCACAGTCACGACCCGTACATTGGTCTTGATACAGCTGCAAAACAAGAAACAAATTAATCTCGACCGAGAGAGATTTTTTCGTGTTCTTCGAATTTCCCAGATTTTCCCCGATCCTCTTTCACGCTAGAAGTGAACTCTTTTGTTTTTCCTCTCTTCCAACCCATCTGTCCTTCCAGCCCATCTTCCGGCCCATTCTCATAGTCTCAAGTCACGATCAGACTGTTGTCAGTCTCTTTGCCTGCATGGACCAGAAGAACAAGAATTCGCCATCATGCTTGTCCTGTCGATAGGACGATGGCCTGGAATTCTGTGTACTGCGTCAGAACAGTGTCGTGGACTCGGGTTCGACGTCCACTACGCGACGAGGACGTCAACGTCTTTCACAGTGAGGACACGAACGACCGCAAGGAATCGCTTGATGGACCGTCTTGGAGCCGCGCGAGTGAGTGGACGAGAGGACGACCGACCGCCTGCCCGGTCGAACGAGTGAGCGAACGAGCGAAGCGGTCGGGCGGCCGGCCTGCCTTCCCGCTCGTGGAGCCAAAATCGCATCGCAGCAAAAAGAGCTAAATTCGCTCTAATGGTCGCTAACGACTCCCTGATACGAAACGAGCGCGTGGGGGCAAGACGGGCGAAACACTTCCTTGTCATATACTACGCTCCAGTGCCACACCGCAACAAGAACAAATGTATAAACACATTAGTCCATACATCTCGGGGGCCGTATGACTCCTCGTCGGATGAGGTCCGAGAGGGAACAAATGTATTTTCGGTAGGATCTGAATGTCAAAGGATCAAGTCTTCCGAGATCTTTTGTCAACAGGGACCGCTTCTCTTCCGGAATGTGCTCTTCCAGAAGTTGAATTATTTGCGGCAGCGCTCGCTATTGCGGAGTTCCCCATTCGAATTCTCCGAGGGAATTTTACATCCGAGTCTCCCGAAAAGAGTCGAACATTGGTCGAAAGTCCCTCTTCGGATGAGCGGGACTCTGGACTGTTAGAGAATCGCTTTCGCCCTCGACTAGTGGAGTTTTCCGAAGGCTGCGAGTTTTGAGCGTTTTCTCCCCTGGCCCTCCGCTTCATCTCCGGCGAATAAAACGAGCGATCCCCATCCCCGAACAGATCATTCGCGAAGAGGCTCCAGGATTGGATTATCAAATTATGATTCATAACTCATAACGGCACTGTTCGTGCTTCGTATTTCTGGGAACTGCTCGAATTTCGGTATCGAAAACAGAGACGGAACATAATGAATTGGGTCGAGTGTCGTCTCGGCTCCGCGCCGGGCCTGCGCGCGAGATTAGTTGATCTCGAGGTGTAAACTCATGAGAGCTTTCGCTCCGGACCTCTTCCCTTTACGTCTTCTCGGTGCTTACTTTGGCATCTGCTAAGCATGGCATCAGTTGTTACCATACCGCAACGATTTCGCCAACACGTCTCCACCAGCACGCGACAGCCCGACGACGGGCGAACGGATGAAACGAGCGAGCGAGTGAGCAATCGACCCACAGACAGACTGACTGGAGCAACGGCGACAAGTGATCCCAGACATAGCGAGACATGTTTCGGCCTTGACATTCAAAAACGTGTTCCCTCGTGCATAATACTCACCGGTATCGTTCGATAGTGATGAGGGAAAGGATGAGAACGGAGACCTCGCAGCTTATCATAGCTAACAATCCTACGGCAGTGCAACGCCAGCTCGTCATCCACTGTCTCGCATGGCGATTGTACTCGTCTCGGAAAGCCACATCCAGGATGCCGACGATCAGGAGGTACACTCCCATGAGGAAATCGGCGACTGGAACCAGAAAGCAATAATTATCATTATTTTAGATTACTGTTGATCATGATTTCGCAACCTGGTCCATTGAATCCCGCCCTCGCTCCCATTTCGGGGTATGCCCCACGATTCTCAATCCCTCGCATGGGCTACCGTTCATCAGAGATAAGAGCTAGCCCTTCAATTTGGTTCAATCACATTCGAGAAGAGCAGATTTCGTCCGAGCCCAGACGAACCATCGAGGAAAAAGGCTCCTTTCAACGGATTGAGGACGATGAACTTTAATCCCCTGTTTATCCACTATCTACATATTTAGTCATGTAGGTACACCACAAGTCGTATCCTCTATCCGCGATTCCCGATCCGGACCGCGCGGCGCCCCTAAAGTGGAGAATGCCCCTCAACATTTGGCTGTCCCCGAAAGGTGCCCTCAGATGCCTGCCCCCCTATGAGAGGATTCCCTTCCATGATTGAAAGGGAGACGGTATCTTAGAACCGTGTATCGACGGGTTGTTCAGATCATTCGAGATAAATTCGAGCTCCCTTTCTCGGGTTGAGGGGCAGAGAAGGAGAAAAATAAATAGTGGATCAGCCAGGTTTCGAAACCGCTCCGGAGAAAGTCATGAACAGACCCCAGAGCCACAGGAATGCGATCCCGCCTCCGGGTGTCTAGGGAACGATAGAGAAGTAAATGGGGTAAAATGAACAAGTTCTCCGCTCGTCGGTCTTTGGAGCTGACAGGACTCATGCCTTGGAGCCCGATCCGAGCTCGCGAGCATGGATCTCGCGCGCCAAGAGAGTGAGCCGGCAGGCACTCGCCGCATGGAGTGAAGCAGAAGACGAAAAGTAATTCTCGCGGGAGAGCTCCTCCTGACCCCTATCTCGTCTTTGAGTAAATGGGGTTACATTGATCAAATTTGCTCGAGTGTTCGCTCGGCTATAACTCTATCTTACTGTTAGTGGGCTGTTTGTGGTTGTCGCAATCTCGCAGAAGCCGTGGATTCTAATCACCGGAGAGGACACAAGACAACCACATAGGTTCGGTGGCGGTCAATGTCTCATTTCGACACTGTCCGCGGGGACCGGCAGAAATATCCGCAGTCGCATTGGAATGAGGCGATTCGAAATCGTCTCGAGAGACAGAAACGGACGGGAACTCGGCACTGATAGCAAAAGTCGCCGGGAAAACGAGAGACGAAAAACAATTCATTCCTCGTGAATATCTCGACATGTCTTCAACGTAGTTGATTAATCCATTGGAATTGAAGCTGCTGATTTTCGAAAGATTTTCCGGTCGGGTCAGGAGGACGAAAGCTCGTCGACAAAAGAAAATTTCTGGAAAAGAATCTCACGTGAACCGCGCAAGCAGGAACTGCCGCACAGCGGACGGCTATCAGCTTGCCGAAAATTAATGGCGGGAATATTAATACACTGTCAGGGTTCCCTCCGTTCTTCGAGCTTTCCGGAGCCCTCCGATTTTTCTCCTACGGTTGAACGGTCGAGGAATCTCAGCTGGTTTCGAGACTAAGTCTCATGCAGAATATTTAGAGCTGTTCATGGAATCTCAGCGCTCTCAACATGTACCTCATGGGGTCCGAACCCGGAAGTCAGTCCCGGATCATGCGGTTCTCTACGCTCGACAAGCCCAGTTTTGAGTCTCTCGGACTTCCCATTCTGTTTTAGACGGGCTAATTTTTCTAGCTGCTGGTGCCTTCCTCAAGATCCACATCCCCCGGAATCCGCGGCTACTCGACGCATTATGTTCTCGTGGGCGTTGATGCAAGAGCTCATGCGGGAGCAGCGGCGACGGCGGCCCAACAGCTTTTGATCTTGCGGGCAATTTATTCTCGGCGTAGACTTTATGAGAACTGTTGCTCTTGACACCGATCCCTTGTTGTGCCAACCGCGACGGCTTCTCTCGCGGGGAACAACAAGAACAGCGTTGCAGTACGAGCATAATTTCAGCTTTTGCTGAGCCTCGGCCGTGGTCCACATTTTCGAGACCGGAGACAACAAGTGGACCTGCCGAAATGCCACTCTCCGTTCTCCGCGACGAATCGAACTGTTTTTCCTTCTCAGTCTTTGACAACCAGCGGTGAGCTCCTCCCGCCTCATTTCAGGCGGATCGGAGGATTCCTCCTCCCATGGAGCGTCGATCTAACCCGGAAGGAACTTCGTTGCAACAAGTTTTCTTCGTGTTTTACATGCCGAGTAAACAAGAGTTAAGGTATCTCGTTTGACCCCGTAGTTCGCTAGCTGGCGCACCGCATGAGCGAGCGCTTCATGAGGATGTCGCCGCATGAGACAAAGCCCATAAAACAAGCCGTGGACGATAGGAGTTCGTTCGAGGAAAGTTCGTTCGCTGCCGTCAAAACGAATTCCGGCCCCGAGCTCGATCGATTCGTGCGCCTAAGGAACGACGTCGGGTTTTTTCCTTCGACTTCGTCGTTCGACATTCTCTCCCGCCCGAACGCGCAGTATCTCGGCAACGGGACAGAAGACTCAGGCGACTAGCGCGTACACTAGCTAGCGAGTCGTTCCTTAGCAGCTTCTTGTCCACCCCTTCGGTGGGAAGTACGAGGAAGCGCCGAACGAGTACGTTCGACAGTCTCGTCGGGCAAAGCGCGAACAAGTGAACACAATAAGCTCGTCGTAACTCATACCGTTGCGTACACACATCGCCCCGATAATTGGTCTCGCAGTTCGCGCGGAGGATATGCCAACGGAGGAATGGACGGGCAAACGAAGTAAGTAGAGCCGCGCGTGGGAAAATGCACCAGTCTACACGATCGCGGAAGTCCGGAGCCCAAACGTCCGCTATGACTAGCCATGACAAAGTGTTGACAATTAAGGCGAGGATGGGGCTGTTGGGGAAGAGACGAAGAATCCCTTGTTGTCACTCTCCCCTGCTAGAGCTCTTGGTTGACTGGCGGCGCGGCGGTGACCATCGGATCGACCGCTTAACGGAAACTGTCGGATTTCCCGGAAGTTTGTTCAGCAAACAGCACGTATGTACAGAGAGCTTTCGTATGTGTATGACTACGAGTATGTGTGTCTGTGCGAGAGGCGTCTAATGGAATACATGAAAGGAACGGCGGCGTTCTTCCGCGCCTATGCCGAAAGCTACACCTCCTAGAACTGTCATTATAGCTGCGGAAGAAGAAATAGGGGAGGGAAGGCAGCGGGAGGAAGGGAGAAAGCGACAAGTTCGGTAACGGAAACACCCGTTGTCCCGGAGGTGGGTTCAGTGACTTTTTCAACCCAGCAGGACTTGTTGCCGTAACGAGTTAGTCGGCGACGGAGCCTAAGGGGTAGTGCAACTAGTCGGCCTGTGGCTTATCCCGACAGTCAAGAAGAGCGGGACTCGATGAGAAGAAAAATTCCGGCAGAGAATAGGGGACGGAGTTCCACACCTGATGTGAGAAGGAGCGGGAAAACTGCAGATCCGGAATAAAATTCCGCTTCTGATTTAGATGCGTTCCGCTCTCCGAGCCGTCGGGGTATCGATGGGGGGAGAAGACCAGGTCGAGGACAGTTACAGACAACGACTCTTAAAAAATAGAATCGGCCGAGTCAAGTGAGGAACTCGGGGAACATTATCGACAAAATACGGACAGAGATAATCCGGCGCAGGCTCGCACTGGGAGAGTCGTGCGTTGCTCCGAAAACGTGTCCGTGTTCTATCAGTGTCCGCTAATGGTCGCGCTGTGGGGCCGGAATTCCCGACTGCGTAGTGCGAGAGCTAGCGTGCCGGTCAGCTGGTCAAAGCGACTGACACAGGGCATGCTTGGGAACGACGGGCTCAGACAACAGTCGAGGGTTCGACGCCCTCTCCTCGTTTGGTATGACGTTCCGGCACAGAGGCTACTTCTTCTCTGTTTCTTCTCCTCCAAGTTCCCTTGTCCGCTACGCACATTTCCTTCCGAAATTTCCCGCTTCCCGACTTCTTGGCAGCGGGGACACGTTTTCGGCTGTTGTTGGAAAGTCGAGCGATCAGATTCCCCGGTCGCTTTTTGTCGGCGATTCAATCCGCGTACGCATCTTTACGCAAACTCTGATGTGTTCCGCACAACACAAGCACGGACCGTTTGGTTCCGCTCCTCGATACGATTCGTTCGAGCAAGCCCCTTGTCGTAGTCTCCGCTTGTTTCCAGCGCCTTTTCCTATGTACATCTTTTTGCTCTCTCTTGCTTGCTCTCTTCGCTCCGTCTGGCGTCTCTGGTTTATTTGCTATTCAGGGTGCTGGGTTCGCCTCCAGTCGCACTCTGAGCGTACAAGTGTCACCCTTTTATGACAGGCTTTTTCTGGTCGGCTCGTTCGCCGGAAATCCCTGGCTGAACGAACGGAGGAGTGAATGAATCAGTCACTCAGTCAGGCAGTCAGTCGACGAACTGGAGTTCTGAATTTCCCATGGATGGGGGACCGTCAAGTTTTGGCACTGGAATGGCTGACAGGCTGCCTCTTCCCGTCATCGTACTACGTACCCGAATCTCAGTCTGGCCTGGAGGAGATCGAGCTCGTTTTTTCCGGACGTCGTCATATCGTATATTCCCCACCAGAATACGAATCCCCCATTTCCCAGAAGGATGACACTTACTTGACAGATTCTTGATGAACAAGGAAAGCACTCGGTCTTCCTTCTTGCTGATGACTCTCCAGGTGAACACGACGCTGTTGGCTGCACACGTCGAAATCGCAACGATCCATACGGACAGTCGTAGGATCGGCCATTCAAGCAAATGCTCCGTAGAGGAAACGCCATCGGTTTTTGGGTAACAAATGCGAACGTACGGGGCGTAGCTACAGTATTGAAACTTTTTGAAATATCTGGAAGAGAGAAGAGCAAACAACTTTCACTCGACGTCGACTGGATCGATGCTCTTTCCCGCTGTCTATTCCCCCCGGTCTCTCGTCCTGACTACCCCTTCCCCTCGTCAACCGCATCCGTCTCTGGAGGGATCTGCTCGCGCACAAATAGATGTCCTGGGATTCCACTCTTTCCACCGGTAAGCTCGTCCGGCCGCGCAGTTGGAATCTGCGAGCCGTTACGCATGTGGAAGAGAGATGCCGTTGGCATCTGAGTCTTCTGTCGATTGTGAGTGTACGAAATGGATCTCTCGGCGAAGCACAAGAAATCACTGTCTATCAAAGTCTCTGCGTGTCTGTCATGACGTGTCTTGACATCAGGAAGTCACAATGAGATATGGGCCATTGCTGTCCTCGTACACATCGAGGCAAATTGTCGCTCAAGCATCGCAATCAGAAGAGAAATGGAACTGGGATCGGTAGAACTGTCGAACGAGGCCAGAAACAGAGAGAACGAGTGCTTGAGGGAGCGGATGCTTCGTATCCTCCAACGCCAGAGTCATTAGCCACTCACATGAACTTCAAGCTCCGCAAACGATGAAAATGGGCGACGTCGATATTTTCCAGCTCCAAGTTCGACAAATTTCTGCAAGAAAATCACGATTGATAACTTGTTTCGGGAGCGAATGGCATTTCTAACGAGTCGATTTTCTGATTACCCCTCGAATGAGGAAGCTACGGTCGAAGAAAAATCAGAAGAGCAAAATAATATTGTATGTCCATCCGTTTGCAAGCGCCAGGCACGAAGATCGTGGACATTTATTCATATCTAAGTATGTTAATATGAATAGAAATCTTCGTGGATGCTCAGAATTCTCGTCCGGAATCGTGGAGTTTCGTGCGGAAGGATGGCGGCTCCGATCGTGGGGATCCACGGTTCCCGAGGAAGCTGCTTTCGCTTCCCTCCGAGCTGAAGCCACCCCGTGGAAAAAATCTCGGACGATCGCTGGACACAGCAGAGACATTGGATCCTGAGTTCGGCCAGACTGACGAAGCGCGAGTCCCGAGGCCGGAAACGTTCTAAAACCTTTCCAAAAACGTGTCCGTCGCGGATTGACGCAAAGCGGAAGCTGTTACTCTCACGGTAGGGCTCCCGTCAAAAATCGAGATTAAAACGTCTACCTATTTTCATGGGGGCGCCCGACGATCCGTTCCCCCCTCCGTACAGCAGTCGTCCGTGTCTACCTAGTTCGGAAAACTCGTCAGAATGGGAAATATCATGAATTCACTTCTGCACTTACAAAGAAGTAAGGTTCCGGCTGTGTACAAATATATTCACGTCGAGGGTTGTCAAAGGATTGTTCGCCAGATTCCTGAAAGTCGAGCACAGAAACATTTAAGGAGCTTATTTCACAAGGGAAAACATATGTTGAAGAATGTACGCTCTTCCCGGCTGCACATCGACTCCGAGAGAATATCATGGTCCATTTTTCAAGACGAAAAGCAGATGCGCTTAAGCTTGCTCAGTGAAGCATCTGTTGGCTAAGATCCATAATCAGGAAGCTGCGTTGATGCAGCCCCGAAGCGAGGTTTGACGCATGGAATATTCTCTTTTTTTTCGAAGTGGCTGGTTTTGGACGCTGTCCAAGGTTCGATCACTATTCGAATGTATCATGATAAGAGCATGAATGTCTAGGTGATTCCTTCCCACACGAGAAAGCGCGGGAGAGGGTCTTTCATGCGATCCAGGTTAGGCGAGAGAGAGCATTCGCTGGATCTGCATCTCATTTTTATTTTTTGCAGAGATCCTTCAGTGTGACGCTTCCCCTAGGAATGCGCTGCGAACGCGCCCTGGAACAGCCTTGCAACGCTCCGCTGGGCAGGTAGCATATAGAAAAGTCTCAGGCAATCGGGTAGAAGCAGCCTAATCCGGCAATACCGCCTGAGGTCTATGGAGAACCGTTATACCTTCAAGAGGATCGAAGGAGCCCTAATCATGACAACATCTGCTCATAGGTGATGATCATTAACAGTCCCCCCTCCCCATAGCGAGACCAGATGAGCCGGGTCGGAAGCGCGGGACCAACTCAAGTCGGTAGTCCATCATATAAGGGGGGTAGAGGGTAAATGAGGGTATAGAGGAATAAGTGAGCAAAACTAACGGCATCAAACTCCCGTTTTTCGCGAGGGCAACCACCTATATTGGTCACTGTGCGTTTCGCACGATCAGAATTTGACGCCATCCTAGTGGCACAAACTGCTCAAACTATTCATGCAACTATACAAACAAGTCTCACACTCAGGAGAATACTTACAAAGTGGCGAGCCCCCTCAGTTTTCGGAAGATTTCGGGCGCTAGATATGTGATTTCGTTGCCGCTGAGATCTCTGAAATCAGATCGAAAGAACAATGGCAATGATTCCTAACAATGACGTCTCCTGCTGTTCCAACTTGCCCGGTGCAGGCGCTATCGGGTACACTGCTGATCCGAGCAATCGAATCCTCAGAAAGGCGAATTCAATCCTTCCATCATTATCACTCGATGCTTGGAAGCGAGAAGATTATACCTAGCCCTCAGATGTCGCCTTAGTGCGACGACGAACAAAGGATCTGAGATTTTTCACCCCGAATATTGTCCTTCGCATTAGTCTTCGTCGAAGTAAGCTTTGAGAGAAATTTACTTTTGAAACAGATCTTCTATCAATCTCAGTTTCTACGATTTCCTCTAGCCTCCAGCATGGAGGTGCACACGCGTTAAAAAACATTTTCGAAGCTAAAATTCGGTTTCGCCAAAGTTTAAGTACTTGTACACCCCATGACTCGACGGGGGCGGTAGATGCTTTTCGAACAACGAGTAGGTAATCCTGGGCGGTCGGCGGATCGGGCGGGTAGGCTGGCTAGATGGCGGGTGACGAGGCATCCAGGTTCCTGACCAAGGAACAATTTTCATGCCAAGAGGCGAAATAGCCCCCGGTCTCTCCATGGCGTTCCTCGTTGCTCCTGGTTGTCCATAGTTGTCCCACGAAATTCATGCAGCCAGTCGATGGACGACGAGCCAAGATCTAATAACACTCGCACAACAACGAAAAGTTTGTAGGCCTCTCCTCGCGCTCATTTTTCCTCACTCCTACTCTTGCCGAAATTCCCCTCCGACTACTTCTCCCGGTTCTGCTTTTATGGCAAGTCTTGCATGCACACTGAGGGAGGTTCCGATGGTGGCATGCTTCGGGTTTGTTGCCTGCTTGTTCGGGTGGATGGATGGGTGGCTTGACCCGGGCTGCGGCAAGACACAAGGGGCGAGTCGATATTATGAGCGGGAGGTAGAAACCCGCGAAATTCCTCCCCACGTCACCACGCAAGAGCGGCAGATCAGCGCGCTATTGGAAGCGCTAGACATAGGCGGAGGGGTCGGGTTCGAGACTCGCTCGAGCAGGGCCGAATTGTTGTGCCACCGCGTATCAGCAATCTCTTGCGATCGATGACTGATCGTGATGCGTGGAGGCGGGAAATGGAAGCGAAATCGATCGGAGAACGGGGGCTCCAATGATTTCATTTCATCATTCAGAATAAATGTCCAATACTCACAGCTCGATGAGCCTCGGATTGTGCTGGAACACGTCCGGATGCAGCTTCTTGATACGATTATTCCTCAAGTATCTGTAATGGAAAATTGCGTGATCGAATTTTCCCCTTGGATGCACAGATCTTTTTCATTCACAACTAATCCCCATCCTGAAGGACAGGGTACTGGGTGAGGGGGAAATGTAATAGAGGTCCGTGACGCTTCACTCCCAAAGACAAAGAAGCGTTTCTGAGCGTGCCCACTTGTGGCATGCCTCTTCGTTCTCGTCAATGAAGCCTGCGCTGGCAGGATATCTCAGCGCCCGAATGACAAGGATTTCAATATATACGACGCGAGATTCTCGGGATGATCGAGCAGCGTTCTAAAAGCATCCGAATCTGCGGTTTGAGAAACCCGTTCAGGAGGAAGACAAGTACGAATGCGAACGCTGTACGCAATCGGTCGGGGCCGTCAGAATTCAGGCAGGAGACGGAAGGGGACACGGAGGAGCGATTGTTTCGAGTGCACCTACGCTTCCGAGGCCAGTTGGGGACTAGGCGATCGGAAGACAGCCGCCCAGGAGCTCTCGACAAACGGAGGCGTATAATTGATTCCGCTCTGTCGTCCTGGGCGTTCCATTTCAGCGTGTGAAAAAGCTCATTCCCATTCTGGACTCGACCACGGAATGAGACCACGGAACCTCGCATCCGGAATTGCTCCGGGAAACCCCCATCCCGTGCTCAGAGAGGAAGCCGTCCAAGATGGGTCGCGGCCACCGCTTTTCACGAGGCGTGACAAGCAGGTTTGGAAGTTTTTTCCGCCACAAGTGAATCTAATTTAACGTTAGCGGACAGAGAGCAAGCGAGAAGTGAAACTTTCCGAAACGGTCGCCAGCCCAGTCGCGCGCTTATTCGGTTTGCGTGGGAGAGACTCTCTTCCTCCAGTTCTCTCGAAATTTCTCGTCACCCACAGTAATTACGTAATCAGACTTCGAGTATCCCTACGGAGGGGGAATGACGATCCTCCGGTCTATGATCTGATGGCAGAAGCGACTATTCGCCTCACGAGCGACCACAGAACAAGTCTGCTCGCTGGAGGTTTCCCTCCGTCATTGTCGCTCCATAGTACACTTAGAGCTCCTCGAAATGAGCTGCATTAGAACTGCCGAACGATGTTTCTCTAATATTTTGGTCGGTTTCCTGGGCTTATGCTGCATCATCTTTGCTCTAATGTCCATCGAAAACAGCTCCGAGTCTTTCCTTTCGCCTCACAATGGTCGAGCGCTATCCTACCCCTCGAAATTCTTCCTCAAAGTTCCTCTCGCCCGCCGTCAGTGATTCTTTCAGCACGTTGTCGGCACCTCCGCTCAAAAGTGTCTTTCTAGTCGAGATATGTAGGTCTATGGCGTTGCTAAATTGCAGGGTATCTCCAAAAGCAGCTGGATTGCTTTTTGGGGCATCTATCTGACAGCATTCACCCCGGAGTAATTCCAATGCTTGAACCGGGAAGAAAGATGTCAGTCTTACGAGAACGACGACGAGCACTGCATTTTCTAGGCCCATTCCAGCTCGAAAGCTCATGGAGAAGGCTGTCGAGCCACGCTCGACTAGACTAGAGAAAAGACTCGGAAAGCGTTCTTTTCCAGTGTGCTCGGAAGGGAGCAACGCTGTCAACCTTTGAGCGATGGGGAAATCGTTCGATTGGTCGACGGAATTATTGAGTCGATATGCGAAGCTGTCTCCTCTGTCCAGAGACATCTAGTCTGTGGAATGCGATATTTAAGTAAAGATGTACATATTATGCTTGAATTTTACTCGGCGACTCGGAAACGGGAAGCGGGAAAACAGGGAAATCTTTCGTGTAAGTCGAGGATCATCGATGCAATACGGCGATGTTTTACTCGCGTGAATCTTATCTCAAACGCTCGACCGAGGAGCTCAGAGCGGTTTTCGAAGTTGACTCTCCATTTCGCTTCGTGCCAGACCTGTTTTCGGGGTCGTTCCGGATGAGCCATCCGTTCGCCCGAATCGATGAATATAAGCGGGTTCCTATATGCGCAGGAAGGAGAGAAAATCGCTCTGCATTAATTTCGACGCGCCAGAACGAGTATCGCCGAAACAGTGCACTACTTTGGGAGCAGGAACCAGATCACAAGGGATACTGCGGAGAGAGCAACACGACGCCGTGGATGTTTCCGTCGATGTATCTACTCGGACGATATGCGCTCGTCGGACAGTTTGTCGTAGCGGCGTTTTCTTCATTGGAATTCGCCAGCGTTAACGGCGATCGCGAAGATCAATCGTCGTAATGAATACAGATTGGCCGAGTGGCGAAGCCAAGTAGCCGGCGATTTGGATGGTAAGCATCAGAGTACATAGTAGCCTCGTTAATATTGGAGCGTCAGACGATGAGTGCTTCTTGGAGATCGCATGATCACTATATATTGGTGGGGTGTATAAGCAGAAGCGGCTCACTCCGTCCCACCTTACTCGACAAGCCGACCCACTGACGGGCGGTTCCTCCTTAGCCGTCCCCTCGCCTCATGAGACTCGGACTGTTCGGATACATACATCGGATCAGGACTCCGAATCAGAGGGAATAGATACGACCGTCCCAGAAATCCCAACGGGTTCGAAGTGCGAATTGCCTTCACGACTCTGTCCGACGGAAACTGACACGGCTGAACATCGTCTCCATGACTTGACAGACACCGGGAAAAGCTTTCAATTGGGAAAAAGCATCCGATGCCCGAATTACTGGATGGGGATTCGACGCTCACAATTGAGTGAAAAGCAAACTCGTCCGCCTCCGCGAAACATCAAAAGAATCCGCAAAAGGGCCGGACCGGGTTGTCCTGTCTGAAGGTCCTTCCCGCTCGACTGGCAGAGACTGATGGAGATTCGAAAGGGTCTGATAAGACCGGCAGATAAGTCGAGATGTCTCCGAGTCACTCTCGCCCGGAGCCGAATAGAAGAGGGAAAACAACAACAAGGGCAAAAAAAACAGCGAAGAGAAATGAGAGGAAGCAATCGCGAGAGAGAAGGAGCTCAGATTGCTCGTTACGAGATAAAAAAAGCCTTGCTGAAAACGGCTCCATTGAGTGCAGCCAGTAGCTGGAAGACGGATAACAAAATAAAGTCCTCTACGGTATTTCGGCATTCCGATATTTCCCTGAGTTCCCTAGACACTCGGTCGCTCTCCGTAAGTCATTAGGGTTCAGGAACCTACTCGAGAGCTCTGGGGACGGGACCGAACGTGCATCCGGCATCTATCAGGGAGTTTATTCTTTGTCTCGTTTTATTGCAATCGCTATGAACTTAGACACGAGGGAGGAGAATCGGAGAACGAAGAAAAGAAGCACCGGCACGAGTTTATAGAGCTACGCTTTTTGATGCTCTTGCGGCCACTGCTGGTAGAGAGAGTTCCGAAGGGAAAAATAGCCGACTGAAGATTCTTATGCGCAAAGCTTTTCTATTCCGCTCGATCATCCCCAGAGAGCTCTTAATCAGCAAGTTGCATCTCTTGCCATATTTCGCCATAAAGCCTCTCACAAGGACGTTCGCCTTTCTTGCCACCGGTCGTCGACAGCAACTTGAACCTAGCGCAAGTTGGCAGCCCATTCGTCGTATTGACGTATGTCACGCAGTGCCCATAACGTTCAATGGGCTAGCGCACATTATCTCCCGTTCCTCGGGGAAATCGCGGCCACGTTCGGTCAATCGTCCGACTCCACGGTTGGAAATAGCGACGTTCCGTTATGATATGTCGCAGATCTTTTCTGCATGCGAGGGATTTCTGGATGAGCATCGAATACGTCGGGAATCTCAATGGAGTTGGCGAGCGTCAAAATTCGAGAAAACGCTCAATCTCGTGCGACCGACAGTTGTGACGAGTGTTTACGAGGAGTTTTTCTTCGGATTGAGATTTATATGAGTGGCCGGAGTTGGCTCCTTTCCTGTTTCGTCCGATTGCGGAACGTGTCGGCGCGGTACGCGGAAAATAGGAAACTCAACGCACAGACGACTGACAGCGAGGTCGTCGACGGAGAACAACAATGAAACCTCATCGCACGCCCCAGACACCTTAGGAATTTTCGAACCTCGAGAGGCCGTGAGCGAACGAGGCGGCTCGAGGGAGGAGGAGACGGGGAAAAAGTTTTTCTGTTCGTTCTTCCGAACATGTCGACGCTCATGTACGACTCTGAGCGGAGCTCGAGTCTGGAGAACTCCCACCTCTGAACGGCGTAATCTATCCAGTTTACAGCGGGGGGCATAAACAGTAGCAGGCTCTATAGGAAGCTCATCCAACCGAAATTGATGAGAGGCTAAATCGAGAGGGGCACTCACAAAATTTCTAGATTGACCAAACGGGCCAGCATCGTTTGGTCCACGTCCTCCAGCAAATTGTCCTTCAGATCTCTGAAATACGAATCGACGGTCATTATTCGGGGTTGAACGCTAGTTTCTCCCTTCCCCTCTCCGAGTGGTCTAGCCGGGACCTCGTAGGATCCGAACCGCTCGGCGTCTCCCGTCTCTCTGGCAATCGGCGATGATCACAAGCAAGCAAGCATTTTCCTCAGTAAACCTGAAGAGATCGTCGGAATGCCCGCTCCGAGCGGAAGCCCGCTTGATCTATGGTGGACTGCGTAGTCGGCAGAGGAATGACGTATAATGATTACGTACAGATTACGGAGGGTGTGTAGAGGCGCCGAGGAGGACAACGTCCTGAGCTGGTTATTGACGAGGAAGCTGCAAACAGAAAGTTATGGATCATCGTTCCACCGAGGCACCTCTTTTGTGATACAAAACGCGAGCGTTCGACGGGACTATTTGAGATGAGAGAAAAAGCGATCTTGACTGCCTTCGAACTCATAATTCTATTGGAGCTCAGCACGAGTTTCTAGGCGGCGGCTCGAACTTTTTTGAATGAGAGCCGAAGACGCGCTTTGGCACGTCTCTATAGAGATTTCCAAGGAACTGCAGACTGGTTTCCATGGATGTTCGAAAGGGTGAAACCAGACGCACCGCTCTCAGCCAAGCCCGTCGAGCGGAAGACCTAGAAAATCTCTAGAATTTCCACGCTCCATACTCACAGGACTCCGAGTTTCGACATATAAGTTAAATGACTCAGATCGAACGACTCCAGACGATTTCCAGTGATTTTTCTGCAGCAAAGGAAAAACTCACATTAGATTGACTGACAGGGTCCCTGACCGCGACCCGACTGAAAGAGACTTATTTGGGCGGGATCAGAATCATGACCTACTGAAAGGACAGCATTCATCGTGTAGCAGTGTACACGTACATATATCCGGGCAGCGGAACTAACACCGAGAAATACTAAGGGAGCACTGTCAGGAGAACTCTTCTAGAGAATCCGACGCATCGACACTCACAATACATTGAGTTCATTCAATCCGCTGAATACACCAAGCTGAATGTTACCGAGATATTCGTTGTTGGAGATATACCTGCAAGTATGAGGAGGAAATTATTCCTAGCGAGTTCCCGTCCATGACCGAGACGTTGCTCCCGGTTCGGAGACGCCATTCAACCGACGGATATACCTAATGAATCCCTAGGAAATCAAGGAGACCAGTTCATCTCCTCCACTCACAGTTGCCGGAGTCGCTCCTGCTTTTCAAATGCATCCGGCGTAATACCTGAGATGGAGTTGTTGAGGAACCTGTTCAAATGTAAAGGAATCCGGCGTTAGGACCGATCCGAATCGAAGTCTCGAGTCTCGATTAGAAGACCTTGGGCCAGGGATAGTTGAAGTCGAAGTTCGGACACTGAGCTCCCGTTCAATCACCGAATTCTGAGCTAGGGTCCGAGCTGAATCTATCCGTTTTTCGTCAAGGCCATCAATCTCCATTGACTTATCTCCGAAACTTCCACAGACGACGGAGTCGCTCATCTCACGCGCTGTCGTCCGGACGTCCATTCCGTTTTTTTTTTCGCGCGTGGGGGAGGGAAATCCCGCTACTGGTCTAGAGAATCGGAGGCGATGAAGCTTGTCGAGCCCTGAGCTGCTAACAGAGTCATCTGCGTAGGAATTTTCTGGACAGACGCCCAAGGACGTAAGCAATCCTCCGTCTCGGACTGGCAAAGCGGAGATCTTACAAACAGCTTGCCAATACTACGAAGGGCGGTCCCGTTACACCCTATGAGGCTCTTGGCAAACAATGCTTATCATCGTATCGTCGCTGAGATCACTGCGATGTCTAGCACATGTCAATCGTACGGATATCGTCCGGATGCCCTGCCTGCTCAGTGGCGCCGACAACCTTCGCTCGACAACCTGAGAACTACCGAGGCATACCCAATCAGTGAGCACACTGACACCGGAGCGTTGCTCCGGATCCCTTGCTCCGCGATGACGCGCAACGAACAAGGCCTTGTCTTGCTCACGACTTGATCAGTCGTAACGGTTTATCATTCGTCATCGACCAAGATCAGTCTATTCATGTGTTGATTGGAGATATTTATCGCTCATCCAAGGGCTGACGAGCGTGAAAACGCTACGCTTTGAATATTCGAATCGGAACCCGTGGAAACCTCTGGCTGACCGCATCTAAGCATACCGATACTCGATATATTCCCGTCGCGGGCGGTTGCTTTCGTTTCGACTTTCCTGATCGATTCAGAGACTCTTCGATACTCACAAGATTTTCAAATTCGTGAAACCAGCCAAAGTGTCGGGTGTTATGACGCCGAGATAGCTGTCCTGGACGACGCTGAAAAGTATAGAAGAAATTATGACCCGTCTGCGTGCCGTTTTTTCTTCTCCATGATACCGGGCCCGCAAGTGAAAGACCGTATCATAGAGAGCTCAAAACTCTGTCCTCTACTATAGGCACCGGCTCTGTGGGTCTTGCGACGACGCCAATGGAATCACAGTCGGACCAGATCCCCGTACGATGAGAGACTCAGCTTTTCAAACTTTGACCTGACTTGAGCAGCTTCAAGGCCAGAGCTCTAGCTTGGAGCTGTTGAATTGCTGAGGTCATGAAGAAATTTTTCGGAGGTGGTGAACCTATGATTCATGAATGAGTGAGATGACGATGATATGCATCGAGGAAAGTTACTTTCTGGCGATATTGCTGTCTCGAAGTCGAGGAGACTCGTCCGCTGCTTGTAAGTGGATGTTGATGTCTGTCCAACCCTCGGCAACGCTCCTGGTGCTGCTCATGTGGTCGCTCAATTTTAAACGCCGAAAACAACGGTTGGTGTCATCGTCGGCTCGAACAGGATGTGGTCGACTATTGACAACTGTTGTTGGAAACACGAGCAGCTCTTCAGTTAGAATTCGTTCCGGCTAATAGTCGACTTCAGATTGCATTTCCCGAAGCGCTTCATGTGACCCGACTGACATTACACGCGTGACCAAAAACACATTGTGCAAAGATATGCCGTGTATAATTCGAATATTCTATCGATGAATGAGAATGATCTGAGGGCTCTCGTTCCTATTCCAAGATTCAGAGGTCTCGCGACGCACTCTGAGAGGGCAGTTCTGGGCTCTTACAGAATGCTCGAACGATGAACCGCCGCCTCCCGTACCCGCACCGGGAGAGGTCACGCGGGGAAGCAAGGACTGGCGAGAGAACAACGGTTGTTGTTTCTTCTCTTTACTGCATCGCCGTGCCTGCAAACTTATATCTAGAATTCGAGTCACGCTCGGCGTAACGATAATACATTCCCCATATTCTCCACTCTTAAGTCGTTTCCTCGCCGGGAGGAAGCGAGAGCAAAGGAAATAGGAGACTCTCGTGGACACAGCAGACACGGAATGGCGGGAGCGCTTAGAAACCCAGCGATGTTCCCCGGACCGGCTCGTCTTGATTGTCATCGCTTTCAGTTTCAAATCAAAGAGCCGTGGTACCGCGGCACGGTGGCTGCATCTCGTCCACGAAAATGAGAGTGGTCATTTCACTGACGAAATGTTCGCACTCAGGTTTCAGCTCAACTTCATGGCAGGGATGGGCAACTCCCGCGGAAATGACGATGGGAGGGGGAGGGGAATGTGGGAATTGAAGCAGACTCTGAACAGCATCCAGCGACCTCGATCAACGACCTATAGCATCCATAAACCTTGTTTCGCTACCGTTCGAGATTTCGTTCAGGACCGTTTTCTGCTATTCCTATGGTGGAGAAAGTCCTATTTCGCAGTCGATGGAATGTGTTGATCCCCTCGGAAGCACCCGATCGAATGCCTCCTCAAACCATTCGTTTGGATAGACCCGGAACCCGGATGAGATCCCCAAACTCGATGACTCGAGGTACTCACAGTCTCTGAACGAGCGGATAGCTTCCGTTGAATCGGCTGTTCACTTCAACGTTTGCGCAATTAACGTATTGTTTGCCATCTCTGCCAATATGGCAAACGCATCCTTTGGGCAGTCCCAGACTCGGCGTGCACAAGGGTGGCTGGAAAGAAAATAGAATTCTAGAGTACTGGAATGAGCCCTCATCCCTCTGCATTCCCCCCTCAGAGGGATTAAGACTTCCGAAAGCGATTTAGAGAATCCCTACATCGATCATCGCTCAGCTTTTCAGAGGGACCTTCTCCCATTCCTCAAGCCAATATCCAGGCAGCTTCATCCTTTTGCTTCGACAGCTGACCTGTCCGTCAAATCTGTCGCCGATCTTATCTTGACTTGCTCGCAGATAGCGTCTCCAGAGGAAAATATTCAGAGACTATCGTTCACCCATGAGTGCGAGCTCAGACATGGAAGGAGGGGAGCGGTAGACACGACTATCTCTCCCCACTATATCTGACTCTCCCTTTCTCCGAACACGATTCGAATCTCGCGTCTCGAACGTCACTTTCTCCATTGTCTACTACTCCCTTCACATGCGAATTCTCCCGGAACTCTCTCAAGCATGATGATGGCAAAGCATTATTCGAGCGACGATGCTCTATATTTTCTCGGGCTGAGAAGTAAATCATGGAACGGAGAATTCTTCCTCACGATGCGGGACAAAAGAAAACGAGCCCGGACCCGATTCGTCCCGCTTACTTTCGAAACGAACCATGGACATCTGATTAAAAACATTCCGAAAGGAACCGAGAAAAAACTCACCTGATATTCATCGTCTTCGCCCTCTTCTCTCATCGTGGAACTCGTGAAATCGAACTTGACCACGCCACCCACCGAGATGATGCCTTTCGAAAGATCCTCTGCAATTGTTATCGCCCCGTTAACCTGGGTAACTGACCGTGACCCCGACAAATGTCTCTCGAGACGATGAGGAATTTCCGAGGCGATACGTAGGCCGTGTAGCCCCGCTATATAGGATGCTGTTCCCAATGTAATCTCCGAACCTCGATTCTCGACCCCAGCCACGATGAATTCCCTAAAATTCGTTGAGTCGTGGAAAATCGGTCGCTTTGATAAGATGAAAAGGTCCGTACGAAAACGGTCCCATAACGCAGGGAGAAATCATCGACCCTCCGATCACAGCGCATCCTCTGTGGCGCGGTGTGGAGTTCATCGAATGACGGGATGCTGCACGCAATGGTACTCGTAACGAGATCTCCCACGGAATCGAACAAGTACCGACGATGGACATTGAAACTACGCAGAGCTTAGTGCAACCGCGAGAGCGATACGTCGAATGAGAACGGAGAAGCGCCGCGATCTCCACAATAATAATTGGAGAAGCTTCTGTTGATTTGTTCGTCGCAGCGTCTCTTGCCGAGCCGCTCTCCCCTACGGTCCATGCATGGATGAGACTTTCGTCTGTCATCTAGTACTCCCTGGTGTCGAATTGGCATCCCCGCCGCCGCTTGGTGGCGAGTCTACCAACTGTCCAGCTGACAGGCCCATCGGCCACCCACCCATACAAGCAGGCACAGAGCCGAGTGTAGCCCTTCCTAATATAACCCATCCCTGGTCCCTAGATCCTAGTTCCGCGCACATCAATCAACGGCATTCGTTTAGAGTTGCGGTGTCTCACTGAGCGAAGCGGTCCCGAAGAAAGAGAGAAAATCTCCTGCCGCCCTCTGGGCTGAATTGTACGCGCCCGTTGAACGGACGCATGAATGAATGAATGAATGAATGTTGGATGAATGAACGAACGGGGGAAGGAAAAATGAATGACCGAACGAGAGCGGGCCGAGTTTGGCTCTCTTCCCCCCGGCTCTCCAGAGACGAATTTCATTAGAACGCCACGCCGTGGCGCAAGTTGCGCCAGGGCGCGACTCGAACTCTGGCCGCAGAACGAGACGGAACAGCTGGAAAAACGACCGCAAACCGCGAGTCACTTCCCATGACGAGGGAGAAGGGAAGCGTGAGTTAGCCTCTAGGTGTCCAGAGCATTTTTCACGGTTCATCGCGGGTCAAAATTCGCTGCGTCAGTCGCCAGAGGTCCAGAGCCGGTAACGACGATGGTGTTCACAATCACTCATCTCTTGCACGAGGGCCCTTCCAGTATAGTATGTACCTCCGTCATTCGGGATAATAATAGGAGCGTCCATTCGGGATCGGAATGGATCCGGGAGCCAGTGTTACGCTGTCTTGCCTACCGGTTTCAACAGTGTGAGAGAACGGGTGGGAAGAGGAAAATGGAGAGTCGGGGACTAAAACGAAGCAGAGTTAGTAGCAGCAGTGAGCATCTGGCGACGAGGAAAAGTCGTTCGGAAGTCCGCGTCAGCTTGCTACCGTCGAACACTTTCCAGTCATTCATTCGCGGCGCGTTCGCAGCCCACTCTCGAGAGTAAACAATGAAAAATGATTGTCGTTGTTCCCAAATCGATTCGCTGATGCTTTATGATGATTCATTCCCTCAAGAGCTTCTTCCCCAAGCGTCAACACAATCTCGCTCAGCTTCCTGCGGGAAACCTTTCGTCGAGCGGGATTCCCTCGTTCGAATCATTCGTTTCACATTGACCTTTGACACTCGTGGTCGTTTCTTCTCTCCATTCGAGCGAGTTTGTCAAAGTTTCTGCTCTTCGGACATGGAACACCTCAAGAGCGAGGTCTCGAAAATGATTTTTCTTCTCGCCCTGTTTCCTTTTGTAATTGATCTTCCCCTCCGCGCTCGGGAGTGCTACCCAGACGTTCCAAGATGGCTAGTGTCGATGGTGTTGAGATCTCTGGCACCACCATAAAACGTGGTGGAAACGACGAGGAGAACATAGCCGCGAGCCATAAGTGTCTCTGGAAAATATTCAGACCGGCTTGGCTGGTCAGTAGACCATAAAAAAAGTCGGGAAGAAAAACTGCGGCGACCGAGACAACAAACATCGCTCGAAACCTGAGCGCCCCGAGAAACTTTCCGGTCCATCTTCTCGTTCATGGTGACTCCCTTGTTGTCGCGAGATCGAGACGGCTCTCCGTCCGCAGGTGCGCTCGCCCGGTGGAGAGGGCAGGTGATCAGCAGGACACGCATGGGAAAAATTTCACCGCCTTCCAGCGTGAAATCAACCGAGTAGCTCATGCTCACAAATCAGCCGAGAAATTCCGTCGGTCCCGTCGCTTCTCCCTCTGATGTCGATGACTGTCGTCCTACCCAATCAATTGTATTATCATTTGCGGGCATTGACTCTTCGAGGCGATTGCGCGGGCGTGCCTAGTATTCATCCCTTCATTGAACGCAACGTCTCGCGGCACATGGGCCATCTGAGAGCAGAGTGGGGCTCGCATGCAATCTTCAATGAGCGGAGCTGGACGACCGGTCGTTTGACAGAACACACACACACATACGGAGAAAGCGGCTCCTGATCCATCTGTCTATTTATGGATCCGCACAAGACGATGATGCAATCACGCAATCGCGGCGCGATTTATCCGGCCGTCAAGTCGAGACGCTCCCAGTGGGGATCCCCGAGGCGTACGAACGACGCTTCCTTCTGCGGCTGCGCTCCTGGAGAGAGGGAGCTCGAGAAGATGCGACGCGACATCGGGAAAAGCGCTAATGGATCCCGGGCGATCGGAACGAGGACGAAAATCCATCCCAGACTTCCAGGACAATGTCGGCCCACTCCAGACACGTCGCTCAATGGACACAGTCACGGATGGCTTCCGTCACTGTTTTCGTCCTTGCGCGGGTCATCGAATGTGGTATCTGCGGCTGTGCGAGCTGACTGACTCACTGACTGACTGAAAGACTGAATGTCACAGAGACAAGAGGTGGTCAAAATCAGCCAAAGAGGAAACAATAACCTTCCAGCGACCACTTTCAGTTGCAAAGGCGAACGAAGCCGTCTTTGTTTCAGTCGACGGTCCTGCCGTCGCCCAGGTCCTTGCTCGTTCTGCTTCCATTGACGCGAGAGCACGCCAGCGCCCTTCCCTCCTCCCACGCCCCCGGTGCCACCAATTGCGCGTCTGACGTGTTCTAACCCGGGCCTTGGTCTCTGTGTCGCCAGCCTAACGTCGCGTCGAGATTGAGGATTCGAGCGCTCGGCCCACCCATGCAAATGAGATCGTCGGGCGAGTTGAATGTGGGATAAAAAAAGATAGGGTTAGGTGTGACAGAATGGAGCGGAGGGAAATGAATGGCGTGCATATACTCACGGCATCCCTGTTCGTCCGCGCCATTCTCGCAGTCTTCCTGGCCATTGCAATGGAGCTCTCTCGGAATACAAGTCGTCGAGTTCCCGCAAGGGAAATGAGTTGCCTGGCAGTTTGACCGCGTCGGGACGATGTGATCTTCTATGATGTGCTCTGAAACCGATTAACGCACGTTAGAACTCGTTCACCCAAACGGAGACCGAAGGAAAAACTCCTGATGCGGGAACGGGAAGACCTAGCACCTAGAAAGGAAAGATGGGAGGAGAGTGAAGCCATCCACCTCATCGATCGTGGTGGCTGCGCGATCGCCTATGTTTTTCGATGAGTACTTTTCTGTCGCTGTTTTGTGCTTACGTCAGATTAGGGATATGCATAGCCTCAACAATGGGCAGCATGGTCTCGACCTGGACAATGACGACGTCAACATATACAACCGCCATCGTGGCGCATGCCCGCCACCAATATGACGACAGGGCAGGTAGTATATGCTAATTAAGAAGGAAACGACAGCTGTTTGCTCGCCGTACCTCAATGGGTGAGGAAGGGAGCTGCGGTCAGTCAGTCAGTCGGTCGCTCAATCAGTCAGTCGGTCAGCGAACCACGTTTCTCAATGTGAATACGTGGAGAATAGGGTGCACCGACGCTGCCGCGTGCAAGTAAGCATAATTATGCCCGATCGCAATGGCGAATCCAACGTTTATTCATTTTTATTTATTTATCAGGAATCTGATTTTTATTTGAGAGATCTATTGAGCGATTCTCGGATCTTCAAATATTCGTGATATGCACCGTGTCTGTAGTCCGCTTTCTGCTTCCGTGCATCTCAGATTCTGCCGGAAACACGGGAAACAATCAGTTTCGTGGAATAAGCGATTCTGTCTCGTAAAACAACAACGCCTCCGCTTGCGCTATTTACTCTGGCTTTTGCTTCGTCGCGGACTATCGGGAAGGGGGTGGGTCAGGCGGGGAGCTAGGGAGGACGAGAAATCTCATCAAGTCGCGCGTTCACCCGCTCGCTCCTTCGGCGCCGATCGCTTGCGCTCCCACTCGAGCCTTAACATCCGCACGCCGAGAAACAGAGCCATGAATTCTCAACAAACAGCGAGTTCTCGCCTCGGACTCTTTTGTCTAGACGATCTAGTGTAAGTATACTATATACGGAGGCGGTTGTCGAGCCGTCGTAAGCGTCGGTTGAGGCGCCTCCGCACTGCACTTTGATGAGGGGGAGAGCAGGACAATTTCAGTAAGATTTTTTTCTATCGCGAGACGTCCTAGTGCGCTCCTCTCTCAGGGCTCTGCTGACGATGATTTAGGAACACAACGAAGCTTCCGCTAGTCTCAATCTTTGGAGGGGAAAAAAATGAAACCGATACCTTCTCCGTTGTTCTAAATAACGGTCCGTGTAAGCGGTCACAGGACCGGATCCCATGGTGGAGCGTTCCCGTAACCCCATAGTGACGGGGTACGGATTCCCGTGAGCTCGTATTACGCGCCGGTAAGTGCTGAATCCTTGTCGTCAGGGTCCTCCATGGATCGTCGAGCCATTAGGATCATGAGAGCGGAATCGCCATGCACACAGATCCGCGAACAAGTCAAGAACTAGGTACGCAACGGAAGCGACAATAAACTCGAGGCTAGGCCTCGACGACGGTTTTTACGCCGCTACCTCGCACGGCAGGCGGTATCTCCCCATGCCGCACGCCGCAGTTCCCTGGAAGAGGCCTGCCCCCTCTCTTCCCCCTCGCCCGGGTGGGAGGGTGCTCTGGGCTAGAAGCGTGAGTTCGGAGGGACTCGCTGGAACTGCGGGCGGAGTCGGGGAACAAACGACGCTCATTTTATATGCGGTGTATCCGGTCGCCTGAGCGGGCCAGGTCGGTCGTTCGTTCGCCTTTTGGAATTTCTTCAAAATTAGTTTGGCTTTTCTTGTGCATTGCGTCGAAAGCGAATGACCGAACGAGGGAGCGATGACTGAACCGGAGCTCCTCGCCCGAAATGAGTTCGTTCTGTGCTTCTGAGAGTCCGGAACATCGAACGAGAGACCGGACGGCGGACCAACCACGGCGCCGGCGTCAGAAGGAAATGAAACTCAGGAGAAGGCCCAACGGAAGTGAATCGCCTTTTACGACGAATCACTTCAACGTCGTCGGCACCGCTAGGCGACGTGCCTCGTACTGGAGGGAGTCCGCGTGACGGAGAACTAATATTAGGGATTCCGTGAATAATTTTGCACATTCATCTCGCCGTCGCGCGACGCAATGTCGATCAGATGCACTCATCAGTCGGATTCTGTTACTGTCGGATCGGAACTCGACAAGACATTCTCAGTGTACTAATCGGTGGAGACGATGAATTGCATTGGATGCTCGATCGATGACCTGCGTGAGTGGCAGCGCTCCATCGCACTTCTCTCGCTACAGTTCGCTATTCTCCTACCGATTTCTCTAGTTCCCGTTGAGATAAAACCGACGCTCCATGGAATTACAATTTTCGTTGATGGACTGCGGCATGAGACCGCATTGAAAAGAAGACCTGTGCCGTGTCGAGACCTCAGGATTTGGGCTTCGCTCCGGAATCGAGGAGGGAGCAACCGAGATTCCCTATAGGGGGAGAAATATGTTTTCCTTTTCAGGGCGAAACCGTAAATATTCCGCTTCGCATCCCAACGTTCCTAATAATCAGAGTGAATCCGAGAAGAGTAAATGAAGGTACTCATGATAGGCTGCGAAAATTGTGAGAGATGCATTGTCTCTCTCCCAACGTTTCCCCGAACGAAAAATGCTCCCGCGAGCTCTCGTCCGGAAGCTCCGCAGGGTTCGGCCATGCACGGATTCCGACAGTTCAGACGACTCGTCGGAAGAGAGGGGAACAGTTCTCTGTTGATAGTTAGTTCCATCCGTGGCTCGTTTCTGAATCGACCGACCGGCAAGTCTGACTGAAATGCCGCTTGAGCTCTAGGTCGGTAGCCCGTATTCCGGCATCTAATGTATGGAGCGAGAGACGTGTCGACCGACGCAGCATGAGAACGCACTTGAGTCGCCGCGGGACGTCCCACTCCCAACTCTAGCCCAGCTCAGGCCAATCTAGTTCATTCGAAGTGCTGGCCTATTTGAGACTAATTCACTTGCTAGACTCCGTATCTCTGCTCGTATCATATGTATCCGTCGGTCGCATCGTTCACGCGACCGACCGACCGGCCGTCCGTCACCGATTGGCCCTTTAAGTCGAGTGTTGTGTTTCTCGAAGCAATCGACAACAACGGAGGGTAATCTCAACAGATACCACAATTACGCATGCTTATCGATTGAAGAGTGCTAGCGTGAAACTCGGCGAGAACGAGAATAAGGTAAACAAATCGGCAACCGATTACTCGGACGCGTTCTCTTCCCCGATGATTTGGCGCTGTTGAGTCGTGTTAGCTCTTCTGGACTTGGCAAGCAGAGGCTTCAAGTGGGTGCTGTCACTCGAGGAAACCGACCGCGTGACGATTAGCAAGCTTTCCATTCCTTGCCGGAGGAAGACAGTCCTCGAGACCGATACACCTAATTGGGTCATCATTTTTCCGGTCGGTGCCGATTTGTGAAGTGCTTGTGAGAGGGAGCGATCATCGGTTTGAAAAATGTTATTGCATGTACATATATGTATGCGAGGATTCGGACAATGGCTTCGTAGACACCCTTCCTCTGAACGCTCGAATTCAGCGTTGCTTCTGCGACGACCGAGAAACACTTTTACAATCTTTTCAATATGCAGACGTAAACCTACGAGCTTCGGCGATGCGGCTCGTATACTGGCTATCTGTTCCGCGACCGATATTGACTTGCCAGGATGAGGCCGAGAAAGCCTCGGAAGCGTCACCGGAACGAATGCATCCTTCGTTTCTTCCCGAAAACTCGATGGCCGGATCCGACGCATCGAGGAAGCATGCCGGGAAAATGCGGGTGAGCTCTAACTGGCGCTTCTGAGCGTGGGAAATTCGCGCACGCTTCCGAGAGCCCTGCTCCCGTACCTTCGGTCCGGAGTTTCTCTTTCGAAAGGTCAACGACTTCCGACATTGGATGTAGTCTCTCCACAATCCACACCGCGAGCTCGGGCAGGGGAAGGGAGAGCGCTGTATCTCGATGCTGCGCAGTCGATGAGAAGATGGAGAGAGCTCGTCACACACTTTCGACGAAATAAATGAATCGCCACGGCACGCGCAGAGCTGAGCGAGCAGAGCTCTCTCGCTTCCAAAGGAAACAAACCTTAACTCGTTGCGATCACCCTAAGACTATCACTTAGTCTATCGGACCACTAAACACTTCTACATCATACGGGTCGGCGATATATTCCATCCATGGACCACTCAAACGCGGAGCATCAACATTTCCTACGTTTCAGCAAGCTATCCGTGGATTCCTGACCGTCATCGGATACCCTGCATCAGATCCCTCTGGTCTCGTGAGCTCGAATCATGAATAATTATCTCGCTGATCCGCATGGCACCAGAAATCTGTCACGAAGCTGCCATTTTGTTCATCTTTCCTCTCCCAAGACCTGATTAATGGATCTTCTCAAAGAGGATGAAGACTCGACGAGGAGCTCCGTGCTACGGAAAATTATCCGCGGTCATTCGTCAAATCGGACGAACCTGAATGGACACGAATGCTCGTGTATGACCCAAAACCGCAGATATCGTAAGATTCGAAAACAAGTCCTCTCAGACATTACGTCACACAGCAGGTCAAGATTCTTTATCAAAGGATCGGAAAAGGAGTCGACAGTCATAGAGAGCTGAGACCAGGATAACAAAATCGGACACGACTACATGAAACGACTCCGGGCTAGATACGACTTGGTGACGTCGGCAAGTCGCAAACTACGATCCGCTCTGTCTCAATCCTTCACGAGTTCCTTATCGAGACCGGCATCCTCCGAACGGCGCGGAAGCGGAATCCGCTGCAGGCCCACGGCGGAAAGAGCGGTCGAGATTCTGCGCCCGTGCCGTCCGCATCGTTCTTCTGACTCCTCGCTGAGAAATCCCCTAACGAAATTCCTCAATATTGTAGAGGTAGGTATTCATCATTTTCAGGCTGCCTCTATTTTCCTAATTTTTTTTCCTTGTAGGTGAAGTCTTCCGGAAACGCCTCCCAGCTGAGACTGTAATCGACTAGGAACAGCAATCCCTTAACGCAGACGCAGAGGATCGAACAAGCATCCTCCATAAACGCCGGAGGCGAACCGTGATCCGAATCTGAATCTCGGA